TGCCAGACAAGTTGGGCGTCCTCAGCCAGCCCTCAGCAGTGGCTGTTGGCTGCTGGCACAGCCGTCCGCAGTGCCAGTTCTGTTTGAAAGAGAAACTGGTTCAGTTCCCTTGGACTGAAGGTTGGGCCTGCTGCTGTGTTCCCGGGAGGGACACGCCCTGGAATGGCAGGTGGAGCCGGGAGTGCGGCAGGGCTGGGGGTACTGGGCTTCCCTCCTGGCCTGGCCAGGCCTTCTAGAGAAATGTGTCCCGTGAGGCAGAAGACTCTGACGCTAAGCTGGGTTGCTCGTGGGCCAGTGGCAGCCTCAGTTAGCCCAGAGGAGCACCGTCAGGGACTGCACGTAGGTATCACATCATTTTCAGAAGTAAAGCATTTCAATGGAGGTGATTCTTTTGCAGGGATTAACTCAAGGAGATGCTATATTACTTTTATCATAAATTACTTTTATCATAAATTCCAGAAAAGTCCTTAGGCCACTTCAGCTTATCCTTCCCCATGGGGGTCTTATCTCTTAAGTCATAACTGCTTGCATCAAGACCGTACCTTTATGTTTTCTAGACTGTCCCATTTCAGTGTTGGGGTAGCTTTGCTGCTTGCCCTGGGTCCATCCCAGTCCCATGGTGGGACTTCCCTTTTGGGTATTAGGAACTCCTGCAACTAAAGCCTGAGTCAAATAATCATGATGCATGCTCAGGAGTAGACATATTTCAGAGTCAGTCGACTCCCAAATTCTAGAGGCACAGCATTAACAATCTTTCTGTGTCTAAGCAGAGAACACGGATCTATAGTAAAATATGAAAAGGCTAGAGGGGAAATAAAAAAGCAAGTAATCACTACAAAGTCCAGAATCACTAGAAGTTTTGACTGACTTGGGGGAATGTAACCATGAGAGGTGGAGGATGAAGCAAAGGTTAAAGACAAACTCAGGAGATTAGGGATGCTCATAAGAGCACTGTAAGCTTCTCTGGGAGGAGGGAAAGAGGCAATTTACTGATGAAGCCTACAACACTAAGAGTTAAAATCCAACACCCTCCATCCCCAAGTAATAAAGGGAGCCCCACTCGTGGAACAAACAGGTGCAGAACTGGAGTTCAGGCTTGTATATAAGAGCCCCAGGTTCAATCCGAACACTGAATAGCCCCCCAAGCACTGCCTGGAAGCGCATGTACAGATGTACAGTGAATGGCTCTCAGAGCATTACTGGGTATAGCCCCCCCCTTCCCCTGCAAAAGAAATTCAAAAGGAAAGGAGGGACCAGGAAGATGGTTTGAGCAAGGCCCTGAGTTTAGTCCCTGGCACTGCTAGGTGTGGCGCAGGTGGCCCCTGAGCACTGCTGGCCCATGCGAGGCCAGGTTCTTTAAAAAAATTTAAAGAAGAACACACCAAAAAAATGGGAAAAAAAGCCCCAACCCAGACCTGATTGAAAATTTGGCAAATGCCGTGAACAGCCTGTTCACCAAAAAAGACATACAGACGGTTCTCATGCAGAAGGAGATGCTCAGCTTCCTTCATTGAGGCAGAATGCAGATGAAAGCGTCCCCCCCCAGTGATTGGCAGACACTCAAAGGTTTGATCATGTGTGCCAGGCTGGTGTGAGGGCCAAGTGGCCGCAGGCCCCAGGCAGGGGATTTGCAAGCATCTCACCAAGCACTTCGTGTATTTGCAGCACCCCCGGGAGCAGTTCTGGCCAGGCCGGGTGCTCTGCAGCTTCCTGGGGGTAAGGTGAGATGCTGGTGACAGTCTGAATTGCCCTGGGCAGCGGCTGAGTCAGGGGTGGCCGCAGAGCCATGGGCCACGGCATGCAATAATGAAAATAATAACCATGGGAGGATTTCACAGCACAGCAGACAGTGAGGGCCGGGCAGGGTGTAATGAACCCAACTATGAACAGTGCCAGCTGAAGCAAAAGCCCTGGGTAGCAAAAATTCCCAAATTTATTTTGCCTACCATCCCCTCTTTGGAAAAAAACATGACTCATGTGTGCCCCTGGAATTCTTCCTTCTTTAAACAAACACACAGGAAAGGCTCCTCAAACCCCCCCATTGACACTCCACAGTTTCTGCCACAACCTGGGTTGCTGGAGGGAGATCACCCACTTAGAGAAAGAAACACTGTATCAAAATGTGTACATAATTGTTTACCTTTCCTATGGGAAAGAACAGGAGGCATTTACTTAGTTTTGTGAAGGTCAAAAAAAAAAAAAAGAAAACAAATCCAAAATAAACTAGAAATGTATGAAAACAAAGGGCTCCGGGCTCTGGTGTGAATAATGGGGGGAGGGGAAGAGGGGATGAGGAGGTTTCCTTGACTTTTTATAGGGATTTGAAATTTGAACCCTGTGAATGCTGTTCCTATCAAAAAGATCTGAAGGAAAAAAAGTCCTGGAATTAGGTGCCGAGAAGAGAACCTATACATCTATTAGACCAGAAACATCAGATAGAAAAAAGGAACTATGGGGCCTGGAGTGATAGCACAGCACGTAGGGCATTTGCCTTGCATGGGGCTGACCCAGGTTTGATTCCCAGCATCCCATATGGTCCCCCCGAGCACTGCCAGGAGTAATTCCTGAGTGTGACCCAAAAAGAAAAAAAAAAGAAATTAGGGGCCCGAACAACAGCACAGCAGGTAAGGCATTCACTGCCGACCTGGGTTCGATCCCTGGCATCCCATATGGTCCCCCGAGCACCAAAAAAGAAAAAAGGAATTAATGGGACTGGAGCAATAATTGTACAGCAGGGAGGGCACTTGTCTTGGATGCAGCCGTCCCAAGTTCTATCTCCAGCACCCCATGTGGTACCCTGAGCACACCAGGTATGATTCCTGAGCACAGAGAAGGAGTAACCCCTGAGCACCACCGAATGTGACCCCACCGTTTGCCTTGCATGTGGCCGGCCCGGGTTCGATTCTCAGCATCCCATATGGTCCCCTGAGCACCGCCAGGAGTGACTCCTGAGCGCAGAGCCAGGAGTAATCCCTGTGCATCGCCTGGTATGACCCAAAAAAGCAAAAAACAAAAAAACAAGCAAAAAAGACAATATGATTCTGATGACCAAGGGAATGCAGGTAAATATTATTTTTTGGAGATTCATACCCAGATATGCTCAGGGCTTACTCTTGGCTCTGCACTCAGGGATCACTCCTGGTGGGGCTCAGGGGACTATATGGATTGCCGAGGATTGAAACCAGGTCAGAGGTGTTCATGGCAAGCGCCTTACCTGCTGTGCTATTACTCCAGCCCAATGCAGGTAAATCTGGAGTTTCACTTGGCAGCTTGGAGATTGGCAGTAGGAGGGGGGTGTATTCGCAATTCTGAACTTTTGCGAACGCAGAAGGACAAAATAAATATATCAATAAACTAACGGAATTGGGGAAAATAAAACATTCTCACTGACGACGAAAGACAGCGATGTGGGCCGGGAGAGGGGAGGGAAGATCTTGCAGTCTGGGTTTCATCTGAACCATTGGATTGATGAAGAGTCAGCACCCCAGGCCAGAACAGGGACTGGGTCCTAAACATATGTCCTGCCTCAATATTTTTTTTTCTTTTTGGGTCACACCTGGCAATGCACAGGGGTTCTGCACTCAGGAATTATTCCTGGCGGTGCTCAGGGGACCATATGGGATACTGAGAATCGAATCCAGGTTGGCCGCATGGAAGGCAAATGCCCTACCTGCTGTGCTATTGCTCTAGCCTCTTGCCTCAATATCTTGAGGCACCCAGACCCGAGGGGACGGAGGAGAAGGCTGCTCAGAACACATAGGAACAGGCCAAAGGACATGGGCATGAGGGAGGCCCTGACTGGACATTTGTGGACCCGAATGGGACAGAGAGAAGAAAAAGTAATGGATTAGAACAGGCTAAAACCAACCAGCCCACATGCCACGTGGCGGTGGGGGTGGAGGGTGGGAGAAACCAGAAAGTTCTTTCCCATCATCTGGTCCTTGAGGCCCCCAGACCTGATTTTTTTTTTTTGCTTTTGGGGTCACACCTGGCGATGCTCAGGGGTTACTCCTGGCTTTGCACTCAGGAATCACTCTTGGCAGTGCTTGGGGGACCATATGGAATGCTGGGAATCAAACCCCTGGTTCCGCCACCTACAAGGCAAACGCCCTACCCGCTGTGCTATTGCTCTAGCCCCCCCACGCTTTTTTTCCTTTCCAGACCTGATTTCTATTCTCTCACATGGGCTGCGAATTTCCCAACACCGGGTTCATTCCCATTCCCCCTTCTCCTATGGAGAGATCCAGGCCCCTCAGCCCCTCAGAACAGGGCTCAGCTTACCTCATCACTTGCTCTTCAGATGTGGCTGTTGCCCCAGATGTTACCTGCCCCTCCGACCTGTCAGTCAGAGGGGAGAGGCAAATGGAACATTTTGAGGTGGGGAGGATTTGGGCCACATCTGGTCATATTCATGGGCTTCCCCAGGCTCTGTGCTCAGGAGTGGCCCCTGGCCATGCTTGAGGGACCATCTGTGGTGCCAGAGATTCAGACAGGGTCTGTGGGATGCAAGATGAGCACTGTACCTGCACGAATGCTGCTTCTGCAAAGAAAAAGCGTTGCAAGCCAGGGACACATGGCCCTTGAACAGATATTGGCTTAGAGCTTGGGGGCAGTAGTGATCTGGGTTGTGTCTTAGATGTGCTAATGTGTTGGTGTAAAGTTCCATGCATGCAGTCTGACAGTGTTGTCCGCGCCACAAGGTCTTTGTTCCGATGGAGCTGAAATTCCGTGGTGTGAAGTGATTTGTGTCTGCAACTACACTGGTGATGGTTTAGCGGTTTCAGTGGCCTTCTGGGTCAGGCGGAAATGAGGTGTGCTTTTAGCTCCGTCCCTTTCCTTAGCTGGGCACCCAGGCAAGGTCTGCTTGCCTGGGCTCTGAAACTGACAGGCGCAGGCTCCGGCTGGGTCTGGAGTCAGGATTGGGGAGGGGGGCAGTGCCAGGGGGCACTGTTCCAGCCCCAGGAATCACCAGGTCTCCCCTGTCCCCTCTGCCACGGCAGGCCCACGAGCGGCTGGAGGAGACGAAGCTGGAGGCGGTACGGGACAATAACCTGGAGCTGGTGCAGGAGATCCTGCGGGACCTGGCGCAGCTGGCCGAGCAGAGCAGCACCGCCGCCGAGCTGGCGCGCATCCTGCAGGAGCCCCACTTTCAGGTTGGGGGACCCGCGGGGAGCTGGAGGGGGGAGACTTTTGCAGGATGTTAGCGCGGGGGCGGTCAGGAATCTTCGCGGATCTTCCTTTTCCCTACTTCCTCAGTCCCTCTTGGAGACACACGACTCTGTGGCCTCCAAGACGTATGAGACGCCGCCCCCCCAGCCCGGGGCTGGACCCCACATTCAGCAACCAGCCTGTGCCTCCCGACGCCGTGCGCATGGTGGGCATCCGGAAGACGGCCGGAGAGCACCTGGTGAGCCGGCAGGGCACGGTGCGGGTATTGGTAGTGACCCAGCCAGGACGGGACTGTACCGCCCCTCCCCCACCCCAGCCGTTCTTACTGCGCCTGGCAGTGAACGGTGCGGGCTGAGGAGGCTCCGAGAGAGGGTGCAGGGCTGCTTGGGGACCTCACCAGCCGCACCCCTGACTCCCCAGGGCGTGACGTTCCGCGTGGAGGGCGGCGAGCTGGTGATCGCGCGCATCCTGCACGGGGGCATGGTGGCCCAGCAGGGCCTGCTGCACGTGGGCGACATCATCAAGGAGGTGAATGGGCAGCCGGTGGGCAGCGACCCCCGCGCGCTGCAGGAGCTCCTGCGCAGTGCCAGCGGCAGCGTCATCCTCAAGATCCTGCCCAGTTACCAGGAACCCCATCTGCCACGCCAGGTGGGCCCCTCTCAGCCCCCCACCGCTGCCTCCAGCACAAGGCACAAGACCGCGTCACCAACCATAGACTGGGGCACCTTCCTTGCCAAACCCATTTGTCCCCGAGCGGACCACTTGCGCAGCGAGGCTGTCACCGGTGCCTGCGCCCTGGGCGCTGCTGCGCATGTGCAAGGGAAGCGCTTGTCCCAGCTGGGCCAGCTGGCTGGTTAGTGCGCAGGGGGTCTGCAGCCTGCGAGCCCCTGTGGGTGCGTGGGTGCCCTGCGCAGGGTGCGGAGGTGCTGGGAGCTCTCCCCACCTCCTTCATGACTTCTCTAGAAGCTCCCAGAGCCCACTCGTCCCAGGAGGTGTGTGTGTGGGGGGGTATCCTTCATTAACTGCCCCTTTCCAGGTGGTCTTGCCTCTGTAAGACCGTGGCTGCAGGCCTGGGCAGACCTCCCCAAACTCCATCCTTCTCTCTGAGTTCCTTATTCTAAAGCAACCAGGAGGATGGTACCCCAGAGACATCTGGGCATTGCCAGGGCGTGGCCTGTGACCTTTGCCCTTTGCCCCTCTGCTGGCCCAGGTGTTTGTGAAATGCCATTTTGACTATGACCCGGCCCGAGACAGCCTCATCCCCTGCAAGGAGGCCGGCCTGCGCTTTAGCGCGGGAGATCTGCTCCAGATCGTGAACCAGGACGACGCCAACTGGTGGCAGGTGAGCCCCTCCGGGCCGCGGTTGGTTGGGGCCGGGCTCTTGCAGACCCCCAAATTGCTGGCTCCTTCCAGGCTTGCCACGTGGAAGGGGGCAGCGCTGGACTCATCCCCAGCCAGCTGCTGGAGGAGAAGCGGAAAGCTTTTGTCAAGCGTGACCTGGAGCTGACGCCTGCCTCAGGTAAGAGCCCGCCCCATCCCACCCTGGGGTCCGACCCCTTCCTGCCCCGCCTCACTCGCCCATGCCCATCTCCCTGTACCCAGGGACGCTGTGCGGGAGCCTTTCTGGAAAGAAGAAGAAGCGAATGATGTATTTGACCACCAAGAATGCAGGTGGGGTCAGAGGGCGCCCCCCCATCGCCTGTCCCCCAGCATCAGGGGATTCCTCCAGCGCCCCCAGCCCTCCCCCCGCCCCCATGACTATGCTTTCCTGGTGCTGACGCTGCTAGTCCGTTGGTCTGGTTTTAAATATTTCTTCGTGTGCATGTGTGTCTTTTGGGTCTTTTTTCTCTTTAAATTCTCTTTGGGGGTGGCCCCGTGGACTGGCCTGCCCCGCCCCGCCCCGTCCCCAGCCTAGCCCCACCCCCTTTACCTGCCAGTGGACCCTGAGCAGTGTCCTCTCCCGTGTCCAGAGTTTGACCGGCACGAGCTGCTCATTTATGAGGAGGTGGCGCGCATGCCCCCCTTCCGCCGGAAAACCCTGGTGCTGATTGGGGCGCAGGGCGTGGGCCGCCGCAGCCTGAAGAACAAGCTCATCTTATGGGACCCCGATCGCTACGGCACCACAGTGCCCTGTGAGTGGGCGGCGGCCACTGCTGGATGGGACAGTTCCCCCCCCCCCCCCGCCCCCCGGGGCCCGCTAAATAGGCCCTGCCCCTTTGCTCCCTTTGGGCATGAGCGTGCGCCCTCTGTGGGTGATTGGGGGAACTGCACGCTGGGAGGCGTGGGGATGAGTCCTTCTCGACCCCGAGGCTGGTGGACTGAGCTAGCCTGGCCGCTCCTCCTGTGGCCACTTACTAAAAGCTGAGATGTGAAACGCAGCTGCATGTGGCCTTGCAGAAGGCAAGGCTTCTTGGAGTCAGAACCAGCTTAGGGTGCTGAAAACTCCTACAACTTGAGTGCTAACTCCAGGTCGGCTTGGTCCTGCTCTGTGGCTCTCTGGGCTTCCCCTGCCCTTTCTCACAGCTTCCACCATCTCTGAGCCCTGGGTCTGAGCACGTGATCTTGGAGGGGACCTTCGGGTGCACCTGTGGGGGTTGAGGATGGGGTTGTGGGGAGGGTGCTCCCCAGGGCTGTGTGTTTGAGGGGTTCTGTGCACCTGTGCTCATCGGGCGCCTCCTGGCCCCCTAGACACGTCTCGGCGGCCCAAGGACTCAGAACGGGAAGGCCAGGGTTACAGCTTCGTGTCCCGCGCCGAGATGGAGGCCGACATCCGTGCGGGGCGCTACCTGGAGCACGGGGAATATGAGGGTAACCTGTACGGCACCCGGATCGACTCCATCCGCAATGTGGTCGCGGCCGGCAAGGTGTGCGTGCTGGATGTCAACCCTCAGGTACGACCCACACCTCTCACCTGCTTCTGGGTCCCAGGCCACTGGACACCTCTGGCTCAGACTGCTGAACTTCCCAAAGTTTCATTGCCCCAGAACCCGGCCCTCTCCCGGGCCCCTGTTGCAACCCCATCCTGCCTGCAGCTCCCAGGACGTCCTTGACAGTGGCCCCCCGTCACCAACACCCTCTTTCCCCTCGCCCTGCAGGCAGTGAAGGTGCTGAGAACAGCCGAGTTTGTCCCCTACGTGGTGTTCATCGAGGCGCCCGACTACGACACCCTGCGCGCCATGAACCGGGCTGCGCTGGAAAGCGGGGTGTCCACCAAACAGCTCACGGTGAGGGCTTGGATGACTTTGGGGCCAGCCTTAGAAGTGGCCCAGTCAGCACCAACCTGCTAGACCTCTACAGGGACCCAGCAGTGCAGGGTGCCCTGGGCTGGAGGGAGAGCTGCAGGCAGAGTCCCCACTGTGGTGTGGGGGTGCTCAGGGCTGCTTACCTGGGGAAGACAGGGGGCGGAGGAAGCTAGGTCTGGGGAGAGTTTGGGGTTTCTGGATCCCAGGGCATCTCCGGAGCCTCCAAATGCCCCTTGGAGCCCCCTTCCCCAGGTGTAAGAGTTTGCGGAGCCCTGAGCTCAGGGGTCCATCTACTGGCTGTGGCTGGTACTGCAGCTCTTCCTCACACTGCTCAGAGCCGGGCTCAGGGCAGGGGAGCTGGGCTGGGCTCCTAATTACTGCAAGTCTCCCGCTCCCCGCAGTGATTGGACAGGGTGGGCTGCCCAGAGCTACTGCCCTGCTTGCTGAAGTCATTCCATCCTTCAGACTTCCCCGCACTGGCAGCGTCCCCTGCGCAGCTCTAGCTGGGGCCTAGTCCTGTGGCTGTTTTACCCCATAGTTGCATTGGGGGATCAGTTGTCCTGCTTTGCAGAGCTGGATGAAAGATTGATTATGTGGGTTGCAAAATACATAGTGTCCTGTTTGGCATTTTTTTGGTTGGGAGGGCACACCTGGAGGCACTCAGGGCTTACTCTTGGCTCTGTGCTCAGGAGTCACTCCTGGTGGGGCTCAAACCTGGGTGAACCATGTGCAAGGCCAGAGCCCTGCCTCCTGTCCTGTCGCTCAACTGCCTTCCAAAGGTTCCTTCCTCCCCCTCCCTCCCTCCCCATCCCTTCCTTCATACCCCCCTCATTCCTTCCTCTTTCCGTCCCTTTCCTCCCTCCCTTCCTTTCCTCTTTTCGTACCTCCTTCCCTCCCTCCCTCCCTCCCTCCCTCCCTCCCTCCCTCCCTCCCTCCCTCCCTTTCTTCCCTCTTTCCTCCTCCTTCCTTCCTTCCCTCTCTCCTCCCTCCCTCCCTTCCTCCTTTCTTCCCTTCCTTCCTCCCTCCCCTTCCTTCCTTCCTTCCCTCTCTCCTCCCTCCCTCCCTTCCTCCTTTCTTCCCTTCCTTCCTCCCTCCCCTTCCTTCCTTCCTTCCTTCCTTCCTTCCTTCCTTCTTCCCTCCCTCTCTCCCTCATTCCCACCCTCCCTCCCTTCCATCCCTCCCAAATTCATTCCTTCCTTCCTTCCTTCCTTCCTTCTTCCCTCCCTCTCTCCCTCATTCCCACCCTCCCTCCCTTCCTTCCCTCCCAAATTCCTTCCTTCCTTCTTTCCTCCCTTCCTTCCCTCCCAAATTTCTTCCTTCCCTCCCTCCCTCCCTTTTTTCTTCCCTCCCTCCCTTCCTTCCTCTTCCCTCCCTCCCTCCTTCCCTCCCTTCCTTCTTCCCTCCCTTCTTTCCTTCTCCCTCCCTCCCTCCCTCCCTCCCTCCCTCCCTCCCTCCAACCCTTCCTTCCTTTTTCCATCCCTCCCACTTCCCTCTCTGCCTGCCCCTGAGTGCAGGGAGTCTGGGCCCAGGCTTGGGCGTTGGGCTGGCGGGCGGGGCGCTGACTTGGCCTGTGTGGGCAGGAGGCTGACCTGCGGCGGACAGTGGAGGAGAGCAGCCGCATCCAGAGGGGCTACGAGCACTACTTCGACCTCAGCCTGGTCAACAGCAATCTGGAGCGGACCTTCCGGGAGCTGCAGGCCGCCGTGGAGAAGCTGCGGACAGAGCCGCAGTGGGTGCCCGTCAGCTGGGTGTACTGAGCGTGCCCACCCCACCTTTCCCCGCCGTGGCCCCCAGCGCGCTCCCCCGCTCCCTGCCCTCCCCGGCCTTCTGGCTCTCCCTGGGTGCGTGCATGGTGCCAGGGCAGTGGGCGTTCGTGGGGTATCTCTGTGCCCAGGTGCTGCCTGTCCAATGCCCACTGGCCACCAGAAGCCCTTCTCCCAGGGCTGGGCTGGGCCCAGAGTGTGCCAGGGCCCCTGTGCAGCCCCATCTGGTGGGGGTGGGGGGAAGAAGCTGGTGGTCACTGCCCACCACTCTCCAGCCACACTTGCCCCTCTGGGCTGGACTCTGCACCCCCACAGGTGGCCCCCAGGAGCAGGCTCAGGCCGGGGGGCGCTGGTGCCATCTGTGGGCTGGAAAGCCCAGGCTTGAGATTTCCCACGCGGAGGCAGCGTGCTCTCACTCAACGAGTGGACGCTGCTCTGTCCCTCCCCGTTCCCCAGCTCTTCACTGCCGGTCTCTCCACAGACCACCGACTCCCCTAGTGTGCCCCGGCCGGCGAGGGGGTGCTGGAGACTGGACCCTGCAGTGAGGGACCTGATGCCACCGACTGAATTGCTCCCCCACCCCCCTTACTCAGATAGAGGGACTTTGGGCGTCTGCGGTGCAATATCCAGCCTGCACCGCTAGGGGCGCCATCCACACCCAGGGCTCCAGGTTCTTACCTTGTTTTGGGGGAAGGGGAAGCAAAGGGTTATTTTAATTTCAAGGTCATTCTTTGGGGCTCCTTTTTGGGGGTTTCTTCTCAGCCCGCATTTCTTGGGAGTCCCTTACTTGACTCTCCAGAGCCTGGCTTTACCCCAATGTCTTGGTCTGAGCCCCGCAGCCCCGCCCTGCAGTCCTGCAGAGGGAGCATCGGTAAAATAGCAACACCCCTTTCAGAGAAGAGTCTCCCCCCAGCCTCTCCCCTCCCCGTTCCCCATAGTGCCCCCTGGGATGAGCCTGGCCTCAGAGGGATCCCCCAGCGCCCCCTTGTGCTCCCCCCGAGTCTAACCACGCTGACCCTTGCCACTGTGTGCCCGCTCTGGGGTGGGGGGGGGAGAAAAGACAGAATATTTATTACAAAGGTAGAAATATATTTATTCTCTTAGGAATCGCGTCTGCCCGCGGTGTCAGATGAGGGGCGGGGTGGCCCTGCTATCTCATCTGCGTGGTTTGCGCCCACTCTGTGGTCATCCGTCCCCCCCTGCCCCCCCCAGCCCCACCTTCCCTGGCCTCACCCTTCCCCTTCACCCAGCAGGAGGGGAGGGGGTGCTCTGCCAGTCCCCACCTCCCCTTAGAAGCAAGGGGTCTGCTGTTGCCCCCTCCTCTGCCCCCCCTGTTAATCCCCAAAGACCTTGGACATACCAGCCCAGTGGGGGAGGGGCTGCGGAGCAGTTGCAAGGGAGCTGGTGCCATCCTGCCTCATGATGGGGTGGGATCCCCCAGCCTCTGTCCCTCCCTCATCAGTGACTCTGTGCCCAGGGGACCCCCCCAGTTCCCTCTTCCCATTCTGGATGGTGGGACCCTGCCCCCGCTCCTCCACCTTCAGTCCCATACCCCCACCTTTTCCCTCCCTCTCCCCTCTCCCTCTTCTCAACCATCTGTTCTAGATCTTTCTCCAGCTGGTTTCTTTTCTTTTCCTTTGATTAAACGTGAACACAAAGGCTTCTGATCATTGTTTGTTTCTTGTGGGGGTTTGAGTTCATGGCTTCAGGAGAGGGGTGGGGGTGAGAGTAGAGAGCAGAGCATGGATGGATCTGGAAGTCCGGGAGACACATCCTCATGTGTTCCACAATGTCCCCCACAATTCCCCATCCTGCTCCTCCACACTGACTCTACTCCGAGACAATGCTCTTTCTGTATGCTGGTCCCCAGAGCCTGTGAGCGTCCCTGAGGGAGGAGGGTCCCTTGGCACTGTTTCCTGTGCCGAGGCCTGAAGTTCAGCCTTGGTGGAGATGGTTCAGGCCCACTCTTTGCTCCAGATGATTCTGGGTCTGGTCTCCATGGGCCAATCCACACCTTGAGTTATTTGGAGGAACTTGGCATGAGATGGTGATGAGAATTTAGAGGTAAACAGGAATTTAGAGGTGAACAGTGAACACCCCAATTAGTAGATGCTCTGTGGTATATATCAATATCACATGGAATGTTTTTCTCAGAGTCAGGGAGATGGTGCTCAGAACTTGTGCTCTGACGCAGAAGGCTGCTTGGGCCAAGCACCGCCAGGAATAACCCCTGAGCACCAAGCAGTGGCCCCAAACATAAAGCAAAATGTTTTTCCTCCTGAGTCCCCCTAGATCCCTTCAACTTTCTGAACTCCCCCTTGTCACTTCCAGACATCCCTCTTCCTGTTTTGCGGGCGCTCCTGGGAACTCAGATTTGCCCATGCTACTGGCTAAGCCTTCTATTTGTCATAAACTAGCAGTTCTCTCTCTCTTTCTCTCTGTGTGTCTCTTTGTTTTTGTTTTTGGGCCACACATGGTGGTACTCAGACCTGACTCCTGACTCTGTGCTCAGGGATCACTCCTGGCTGGGCTCATGGGATGGGACCATATGAGGTGCCGGGGATCGAACCGAGGTCAGCAGCTTTCAAAGCAAGTACCATAGCTACAGTTGTCATTCCTCAGCCCTGGTCTATAAAAAGCATAATTTTGCAATAGCATCAAAACCTCTGGAAAGAAGGCATAGCTGAATGCCTGCACCTACCTATACACTAGAACCTACATAGCATTATGAGAAGAGTGAAAGACCTAACTAGTTGTATCCAGAGACAGAATTTCCATTGCTCCGGTCTAAGTTTTCCCCTTGTTGATCTACGAAGCAGGTGCTCTCAGTCAAGATCCCAGCAAGCTTCGCTTCACATATAGATCGACAACCCCATGTGGTCTGTGCGCAGCAGAGCTGGTCTGGTTTTGCACCAGACTTGGGAGACCCACACCCAGCTCCAGCTCTGTGCCACCCCTGCCAGCTGCCAGAGGTGGGTACACACCACTCCCTCCAGCTGCTATGATGATGAATGCTCCCCACTCATCTGGGAGGTGCCCAAAGTACACCCCTGCCCATGAATGTGATCTTGGAGGGCCTTCCCATCTTTACCGCTATGAGCTCCTCCCCACCCGCATTTTCTGGGTGAATTCCAAAAATTTCTTCTCAGTGTGTCTCAGTCAGCTAGGATTACAACACCCAATTCTTTGTTGCAGCTGATTTCAGGGAGACCGCAACTCATTTGTCTTCCCAGAGAAACAAGAGCAAGCATAAATGATGGTTTTTATTTTTTTTTTCTTTTCTGGCCACACCTGGCATTGCTCAGGACTTACTCCTGACTGCACTCAGGAATTACTCCTGGTGGGCTCTGGGGACCATTTGGGATGCTGAGGATCGAACCTGGGTCAGCAGCATGCAAGGCAAATGTCCTACCTGCTACACTATCTCCTGCCCCTAGTGATGATTTTTAATGATTATTCAGGTTCATGTCTCAACTTGACCAAATAAATGCCGGCAGTTCAAAACTCCTGTCCATTTACCCCTTGCTCTCAGGATGGTAAATACTTTTTTTTTTTGAGGGGGGGCATTTTTGTCGGCCCACATGCAGCAGTGCTCAGAGATTACTAACAGCTCAGAGCTTAGGAATCCCTCCTGGCAGTGCCAGGGACCATGTAGTACTGGGGCTGGAACTGGGACCTTTCATGCAAAGTCTGTGCCTCCTCCCTCAGAGTCGCTCACGGGCCTCTAATTTGTTGCTTCCTTTTGTTCAAGGGAGTGGGGGGAATCTCGCTTTGCACAGTGGGATACTCTGGTGAGCAAATACAAAGCTGCATGTGTCAGGATGCAGGAGTATAAGGTGACAACAGGTAAGGAGCAGGATGTCCTCTCTGTTTTGGTTTTTGGGCCATACCTGGAGGCGCTCAGGGGTTACTCTTAGATCAGTGCTTGGGCCTTGCTCCTGATGATGCTCAGGGATGAACCTGAGCTTCCCACATGTGGAGTTTGCACCCAGCCCCTCAAGCTGTTCCTCTATCCCAGATTCCCCCCACAAACCCTTTTATACGACATTTGTTTGTTGGTTTTGTTTTCTGGGTCACAGGCGGTGATGCTCAGGGCTTACTCCTGGCTCTGTGCTCAGGGATCACTCCTGACAGGCTCCAGGAATTATATGTGGTGCCAGGGATTGAACCAGAGTTGACCTCGTGCAAGGAAAACACCCTACCTGCCGTCCTATCTCTTCAGCCCCCACAGATCTTTCTTAAAGAAGACTCTAGGGATTGGAGAAATGGCCCAATGGGTTGGAGCACATGCTTTGCACAGAAGAGGTTCAGGTTCCATCCCTGACACCGAGTGGTTCCCTGAGCACTGCAGGGAGTGTCTCTTGAGCACTGAGATGGGAGTGGCCCCTGTGCATCACTGGGTGTGACCCAAAATTCCCCCCAAAAAACCCACCCTGGAAAGCAAGATGTTCCCTCCTTATCCGTGACCCACAAACAAAATGGAAGTTTCTAGTTGCAGGAAAGCAAAGACTCACTCTGCTGCTGGTGGACGGGATGGGGAAAAAGCACCACTGCAGGGAGGATGGATACTTTATTCACAGAGCAGACATTGGGGGATACAGGTGCCCCAGCAGAGATACATTCTAGCTACAATATAATCTGGAGGAGAATATTAGCGGTGTTGAGAAAAAAAATGGCCATAAAGAAACAGAACAAAATTCAGGTGCAAGAGCAGGAGCTATATTATAGCTACAATATAGTCTGTAAGAGAACTTTAGCCACTGATGCTGAGGAAAAACAGAAACGAATGCAAGAATGATGTCTGAGTGTTGGCGCAGGTACAGGTGACACTGGAGGTGTTGCTCCGTCCCCCCTCAGCAGCAGTTCAGGTCTTCGACCTCTACCCCACCCAGGCCATCAGACATGGGGTTCCCCTGTCTCCTCCCTCTTCTCTCTTTTATTTATTTAGTTTTGGGGTCACACCCAACAATACTCAGGGGTTACTCCTGGCTCTGTGCTCAGGGATCACTCTTGGTGGTGCTCTGGGGGCCATATGGGATGCTGAGGATCAAACCTAGGGAGATTGTGTGCAAGCCGAGCTCCCACTGTTCCTATTGGTTCAGCCACCCTCCTCCCTTTTAGATCGACCTTCACCCCATGGACTCCTGACCCCAGCCCTTCACCCTCACCCACGGGCAGCTGGCAGGAGGTGAGCGCCCGAGTGCCCCCTGCAGTTCGGGGCGTGTGCTTGGTGCCGGCCTGGCTGGATCATGATGTACTGGGCAGAGCAGTCCCTGGAGATAGGGTGGGGACCTCTTGCACCAAGGCTGCGGTGACTCCCAGCAGGGAGGCCTGAGACTCACTGGGTCTCAGAATCGAGTTTTGGAATCATCAGGGCACTTATCAGAAATCAGAAATGTAGATTCGTGGGCCCAGAGTTGATTTTGGTGAGGTCCAGGAATCCTATCTGGTAGGATGGAGGCAGGGATCTAACCCAAGGGCTCATGCAGGTGAGACATGAGGTCTCCCCACACCCTGCTACATGCCTGGTCCCGGAACGCATGTTGGAGCAGCTCACAGCCCCTTCTTCCAGAAACCACCTTTTTGGCCATGCCAGCAGTTGAAGCAAGAGAACTGGGTGTGACTCTGGAGTGGTGGGAGGGTGGGGGAGGCGGGGTCGAGAAGGACGCAGGAGGGACTTCCTGTTGCCAATGAAAACAGGCCAGACCTGGGGCTGGAGCAATAGCACAGGGGGTAGGGTGTTTGCCTTGCACGCGACCGACCCGGGTTCGATTCCCAGCATCCCACATGGTCCCCCGAGCACCCCCAGGAGTGATTCCTGAGTGCAGAGCCAGGAGTAACCCCTGAACATCGCCGGGTGTGACCCAAAAAGCAAAAAAAAAAAAAAAAACAAAACAGGCCAGACCTCCTTGGCTCCAGCTGGTCAAGGAGCACCCCTCCTGGGAAGCTCCCACTGGTCCCGGAATCCAGCGCTGACAGAAGCTTCCAGACCAGGTGGGGAGCAAGCAGGAGGAGGGGTGTGCTCACGGGTGGGTGAACTTGGAATCTGCAGCCAGAAGCTTATTCCAATGGGTCGGTTCATGGGTGGCCTGGCCTGGAGGTCCCTCGGGGCCTATACGGGGACAAAGCCTGACTCTTCCCCGGGCACCTGGAGGGGAATCCCGGGCACCAGGTCCCCCTGAGCGTCCAGCGGAGAGGCTTGGTTTTCCTCTGAAGTCTGTGAAGACAAAAAGTGGGGTTTGACGTGCAGAACCATACCCCCCACCCATACCCTACGCCCAGGGTCTTGCAGGAACTAGGGACACCCGGTCATTTCTGCTCTTGCCGGGCCTCTGTCCATCTGAGGGCTTTCAGGCTTTAATTCACACCCCGTGTCCGCCCCCACAGGCCCCCAACAAACCCCTGAAACTCCTGGTCGGGCCTCTGGTTCAGCTCTGCTTGCAGATGGGAAACCTCTCAGGTTGACCTAATGGGTCAAGAATTTTCTGGACAAGGGGCTGGAGTGACAGTCCAGTGGGCAGGGAGCTGGCCTTGCACATGGCTGATCCCCACAGGTAGGTGCGGGATTCAATCCCCAGCACCCAAGCATGGCCAGGAGTGCTCCCTGAGCTCAGAACCAGGGGTAAGCCCTGAGCACCAGTGGGCACCCCCCACACAGACCAAAAGGGAAAAAATAAAAGAGATGTTCTCCTTTTTTTTTTTCTTTTTGGGTCATACCCGGTGATGCACAGGGGTTACTCCTGGCTTTGCACTCAGAAATTACTCCTGGCGGGACTCGGGGGACCATATGGGACGCTGGGGATTGAACCCGGGTGGGCCGCATGCAAGGCAAACGCCCTACCCCCTGTGCTATTGCTCCAGCCCCTGATGTTCTCCTTTTTAAGGGTAAAGAGGATGCGAGAACTTCCTGGGTCAGGGACCTTCCTGGGTGAAAGGGCTGATGGGGAATGAGGGAGGTGTGGCGGCAGGGCAGAGCCAGGCTGGGGGGTCCCGTATCCACACCTGGTTCAGGGGCTGTCCCTCTGTGTAGGGGCAGGCGGGGGGTGGGGAGCTGGAGTCAGGCTCGTTGGGCCCCGCCAGGTTGATCACGGCGCACTCCGGGCCCCAGCTGTTCCCCTGTGTCTGAAAGAGAGGAACACTCAGGACAGACCGTTCTTGGCGGCCACAGGAGGAAAGTGCAGGGGCGGGGCTGGGCTGGAGGCTGATGCTCATTTTCCTTTCTCATGTGACCTTGGGCCAGCTGCCTAATCTCTCCACACCTCAGTTTTCTTGACTATCAAATGGGGGTAAGAATTTCCCTCTTGGGGTTATAATGAAAAGTCATGCTATTCTGTCCCTCCCAGGTGGGCAATATTAAAAAATGTTTTTGGTTTTTTGTTTTTCCACCCCAGGAATTTCTTTATGCAGAAAGACAGAAGCAGGGTGTCAGTTCTGGATAGTCTGAGAGAGTGGTTTCGGAGTGAATCATTAAGGATTCACCAGCGGCGCCTGAGGGACAGTCCAGTGCGAAGGGCATTTGCCTCGCATGTAGCTGACCCTGGTTCGATCCCCGGCACCCCATATGGTTTTTCCAGCACCACTAGGAGTCACCCCTGAGGCAGAGCCAGGAGTGAGGCCTGAACACCACCAGGTGTGGCCCCCAAACAAAACAAAAATCAAGATTCCCCAGTTGTTAATGGACCCAGCAAACCCTCCTTACGCAGACGAAGCTCCTGTGGCTAAAGGAAGAGAGGTGAGAAGTTCAGAGAGTGCAGGAAGCCCCCAATTGGCCGTCCCAGGCTGGCTGCCCCCCGGAACCTTCAGCTCTGGAAGCCAGTCCCCTCAAACCCAGCTCCTTGCAGTGGTAGAGATAGCAGAAGTGGAAAGCAGCACATCAGGGGCACAGGCAGAACCTCACGATCTGCTGGGCCTCAAAACCAAAGGAAGCCGCTCCCAGGCCCTGCACACCTCCAGGGGGCGTGCACCCGCCTTGTTCCTCATTGTAGCCCTGAGCAGTGGGAAGGTCCAGGCTCAGAGAGGCGAGGTGACTTGCCCGGCATCACACCGCTGACACCTGGACTCACGAAAATGCTCTGACCTGTCCGTGCTCTTTCTGCTCTTATGCCCATCCTGACTGGGCACATTTCTTTGTCTCGGAGGCCCTGGCTCCCTCCGTGCCCAGCTGCAGGGGATGGGCAGGGAGCAGATGCTTGCATCATCTCTGTGACGCCTTCCAGCTTTGGGAATGGGAAGGAACCGGAGTGGAATCCTCTGGGGGGATGGGCTGGGGTGCGGTGGTGGTGGGGAAATGCTCGGGGCCTGGGAAAGGGAATTTCACAAATGCTGCCACCCTTGTCCCTCCCAGTCCAGGCAGTGATGGGGACACAGTAGAGTGGGGCACTTGTGACCTCAGGTGTTCCTATGCATCCCACTAAACTCTTTGTTGCAGTTTGTTTTCTGTTTTTGGGGCGCTGTCACTTGGCATAGAGTCTGTTCCTGGCTCTGTGCACAGTGTTGTGCCTGGTGGCGCTCAGGGGACCTTGGGGTGCTGGGGTGAACCTGGGTCTCCCGTACGCAGTATTCAGGCATGTATCCTTTGAGCATCTCCCTGGCCCCCGAGCCCCCGTTTTGTGACTCAGGCATCACTGGCTGCCGCTGACACTGACCCCCGATGATCCCAGAAAGGTCCCTGCGGGGAACTGAACTTGAGGAGAAAACCTCGAGGTACGGACCAGATCTCCCCCCGGAGGTGGTGTCTAGGACCCCAACATCTGATGGAAGTCCCTCCATCTGTCCTTCCGTCTGCCCCTCCATCGGTCCCTCTGTCGGTCCTTCTGTTCCTCCTCCTGTCCCTCTGCCCCCACTGGGGACCTATTTCTGAGTCACTCGCTCTCAGCTCAGGGGGGGTCCCCAAGTTTAGGGGAGGCTTGTGGAGTGCGAGCTGAGCATCAAACCCCACACCCCAGCGTGATTCTGGGGGCAGAGGCCACCATCATCGGGGGGTGCAGAGAGGCACAGGGGAGCGAGGGTGCGGAGGCTGGGCTGCTGTGATCAAATGACTCTTCCCCTCTAAGCCCTGATTTCCTCTTCCTGTGAGAGAAGTTATCCCTTCTTGGTGGAGGAGTGACAAGGTTTGAGGGTCAGGTGGGCAACTCCAGGCATTTAGGAGGTGCTCAAGAAGGGCAGTATCACCCAGGGGGACATCACCCCGGCCCCCAGGGATGCCTGAAACTGCATCAGCCCAACCCTTGTTCTCATTTCTCTCCTCACAATTTAGTGTGTAAGAAGGTGGACAGCTGAACGCTCAACAGCAGAGAGGAATACTCTAGAAAAACAGCAATAATGCACTGTGATGAAGTTAGGAGACCATGTTCTTGCCCTCTGTTTCAGAGCAGCTTAGTACACAGTGATCTTTCTATTGAAGTTAAACGTGTGTGTGTGTGTGTGTGTGTGTGTGTGTGCGCATGTGTGTGTATTTGGGGGGTCTTTTATAAACAGGGATTTGCTGTGAGAACTTTCTAGAGAGGGAATGCTGTCTGATCCCAAAAACTTTCTTCTGCAGGATTTTTTTTTGCAGATGTGTGTGTGGGGGGTAATGTCAGATTAGGGGCTGGGGGGACGCTATTCCCAGTATTGGGGTCACTCCCAGCAGTGCTCAGGGATCCACGTGGTGCTCAGCGTTGATCCTGGAGCAGCTGCCTCTCGGTGCTGGCCCTGTCACTCTGCCTCGCACTTCCGCAAGTTCCCGTACCCTGGGGTCTGTTGCAGAGCGTGTGTATGTGGGGGGTCCCCTCCATCTTTGATCTGGATGTGGGCTCAGGGAAGCCTCAAATGTTTCTGTTGCGCCTCCAGCTGCTACTCACGACCGCAGAGCAGCCGGAAGGGAAAAGGAGGGGACGGCACATGGGCCTGCCCTACTTCGGGGGCCCCACAGGCACCCCGCTTCATCCTTCCCCCGGCAAGGGCCTCCCCAGCTCCTCTGCCAGCTGGACCTGTGCCCTTTCCGGCCCCCTGTGGGCAAGGACAGTGGCGGGGTTCAGGCGAGAAGCCCAGGTGTCCTCCTAAGTGACCTGCCCACGCCCCCGTTCTAAGTGTGGCCCTTTAGAGTTGGACCCTGGGCGGGGACAGGCACTGCGGGGAGCCGAGGGGGCTCCAGCCCAACTTTACCCCCTCAGCTGTCCAGGAGAGGGGGCGCTCCTGGCTGCACCGTCGGAGAGGTCCGGGCCCTGCAGGCACCCGTGGCTGCCCCTGCAGCCTTCACTGTGACCTTTCCCTCATTCGGGCTGCTGCCATTTCCTGAGACAACAACAGGTGCTTCCTAGTTGAAGGTCCGGGACCCCATTCCCACCCTGGCCCTCCCTGGGGTGGGGGCAGCCCACGTCCTTTGTCCTCGGTGGCGCCAGGAAAGAAGATGATGGCAGCCCCCCTTTCCTGCCCATATTTGCGGGAGCCAGAGAATGCGCCTCCGGAAACACCCTGGATAGGCCAAGCAGGCAGGTGGGGCCCCATTTCCTGACCTTGACCATGATGTGAGCCTGTCACGATCCCAGGAGTGTTACTGGGAAGGGCTAACCCCGCAGGTAGCCTCGGGGTGGTCGCCCTTTCCAGGAGAAAGGCATGGGGACCCCCACGGCCCTGTCCCCAGCCTGGGTCACCCTCAGCCTGGGTCTGGGGCAGCTACACCACTTTGGCCTCAGAGCCAGGGGCAGCTTGAAATAAGCATCAGGGTGTTCTGGAAAGAGAGATGAATGTCCAGAAACCTGGTTTCTGCCTCTGTTTGGACTCTCTCCCCCCATTCCCCGTGCCTCAGTTTCCTCTTCTGCAAATAATCTCAACCCTGCAGTTCTCATCAGCGTCCAGTGTGCAGTGGGTCAGAGTTTAAAATTCAGGCTCTGGGACCAGAGAGAGAGAGAGAGAGAGAGAGAGAGAGAGAGAGAGAGAGAGAGAGAGAGAGAGAGAGAGAGCAGGGAGGGAAATGGCTTTGCATGCGTCGGACCCAAGTTCAAATCCCAATATCACACAAGATCGATCTCCCAGCAAGGCCAGAATGATCCCTGAGCACAGAACCAGGAATAAGCTCTGAGCACAGCCAGGTGTAGCCTCAAAATAAACAGAGCCCGAGTGATGCTGCAGCAGACGGGGCATTCGCCTTGCACGTGGCTGACCCAGGTTGGATCCCTGGCACCCTTGGGCCCCATCAGGAATGATTCTTGAGCACAGAGGCAGGTGTGAGCCCTGAGTATCACCAGCTGTGGCCCCAAACCAAAACGAACAAAAAAAATTTTTTCAGATCCTGGATCCGCCTAGGATGTTCCTGCAGGGAATCTATTTTTTTTTAACAGTGTCCTGAAAAGGGATGCCCCAGGCTTACAGGAAAGCCCGGCCAGGTGAGAGCAAAGCTCTCCTTGGGAAGAGGGGATGGAACCAGGATGGGGCATGCCCTGGGGCTTGGGGGCTCCCATAGGTTCCCTCCAGTGGGAAGAACGCCCTGGTCTCTGGAGGTCAGGGGGAGAGAGGGGGCCCCCAGCCCCAGTCTGGCCAGGCCTCCTTACCATGTGTGACAGCTGCACTTTCTCATCCTCCGTGTCCTTCGGTGGGTCCTCCAGCACAGCTGGAAGAGAGAGAGGAGCCCCCAGACCCTGAGCCAGAAGGAGCTGCGACCAGGGGCGTGGAAGTCCCCCACCAGCTCAGAGACCCCCAGCCCCCACCCCCAGCTCAGCCTTGGAGGATGGGCCCGGAGATGGCAGCTTAGTCCCTCCCTGGGGAGACTCTGGCACAGGTTGGAAGCCTCCAGAAGGAAAACAGAGTGTGGGGCAGGAATTGTCAAAGTTTTTCTGACAGATGGGAACCAGGGCGTGACTAGAGCTCATTCCACTCTCTGCCTCTGCCCACTCTTTCTTTCTCTCTTTCTTGCTTTCTCTGTTTCTTGCTTTCTCTCTCTTTCTTTCATTCTTTTCCTTCCTTCCTTCCTTCCTTCCTTCCTTCCTTCCTTCCTCCCTCCCTCCCTCCTTCCTTCCTAATTTCTCTCTTCCTTCTCCTTCCTTCCTTCCTTCCTTCCTTCCTTCCTTCCTTCCTTCCTCATTCCTTCCTTCCTTCCCTCCCTCCCTCCCTCTTTCTTTCTTTCTTTCTCTTTCTTTCTCTCTCTCTCTCTCTCCTTCTTTCCCTCCCTCCCTCCCTCCCTCTTTCTTTCTTTCTTTCTTTCTTTCTTTCTTTCTTTCTTTTTCTCTTTCTTTCTCTCCCTCTCTCTCTCTTTCTTCTTTCTTTCTTTCCTTCCCTCCCTCCCTCCCTTCCTCCCTCCCTTCTTTGTTTTGTTTTTGTTTGGAGGCCACACCCTGCAGTGCTGCGGGGGGGGGGGGGGGGGGGGGTGTGTTACTCCTGGCAGGCTTGGGGATCTAGATGGGATGCTGGGAACAAACCTGGTTCGCTGCAAGCAGGCAATGCAGCTCTCGCCTGGGCCCCTTGCTTGGCTTTTTCTGGGGTGGCTGCCGCTTTCTATTACAGCGGCGGCTGTGATTCTGTTTTCTGGGGGCCTGAGGCTGAGGGAAGTTAGGTGACTGTTGTCCGAGGTCACAGAGTTGGGGTTAGAACCCATGTATGGAAAAGGCTGAGAATCTCTGGAGATGCTGCCATGGGACCAAATTCAAGTTCTCAGTCGTGCCCCGCCTGCGCGCCCCGCTCCCGCCCGCGTCCCTCACCTTCCTTCCTCCAGGGGAACACGTAGCGGGTGAGCAGAGCGGCCAGGCCCGTGGCCAGGAGCAGGGAGATCAGCACCAACACTGGAGCCAGCGTGCGGGCCGTGGGCACCAGCGTTCTGCAGGCGACATGGGGGGGGTGCTGGGCTGGCACCTCAGTTGGTCTTCTTTTTTAAAGTTAATTTTATTATTTATTTGATTTGATTTTGATTTGGGGCCACACCCGACCCAACTCAGAGGTTACTCCTGGCTCTGCAGTCAGGAATGACTCCTCACGGTGCTCCAGGGACCATATGGGATGCCGGGGATCGAGCCTGGCTTAGCCGCGTGGAAGACAAGCGTCCTCCCTGCTACACTCTCGCTCCGCCCCCAAGGTGGGCTTCTCAGAGAGCCCCAGGTGTTCTCTGCATTCAGCCTTGCCCTTGGGTGCCCCCAGGAGCTGAGTGGGCACTAGTTTGAGGGGCATCAGGTCCCTGACTGTGCTTTAGTGCCACTTTCAGCTGCGGACACTGCCAGGAGCTCTTGGTTGTCACCAAGAGTTGCCCCAGGCCTTCAGGTAAGGGAAATGGGATGAGGGGCAGGGGAGAACGGGATTCGTATCCTCACGCCCAGGACACAGGCTGAAGAGACAGAGCTTAGTGAGCCCCTAATAAAACTGGGGTGGGGACATGGGTGGGTCCAGGCACCCTTCAGCCTGCAGACTTCTGCTGACTCAGGGCAACGGGAGTGTCCTGGTGTGTCCGTGACAGGGGTGATCCCCCTGCCTTTGGCCCGGGCTGTGGTCACCTCGAGGAAGGAGTCCTCTCACCTGAGCGGGGAGATGTCGCTGCTGCTGGGGTCCTCTGCTGTGGGGGGGTCCAGCCTGGCGGTGGGCCGGGAGGTCCCTGCAGGAGGAGAGGTCGCGGCGTGAGCGTGAGGAGAGGGCCCCGCGGAGGGAGATGTTCCGGGGGACGGGGAGGAGGCGCCTTCGTGGTCGTGAGGGGAGCCCCCTGTGAGCGGCGGGGCCTGGATCCCCGTCTTGGCTGTGCTGACTGCTGGGTGGCGACCAGAAGACGCTACAAGTCCAAAAGCAAAGCTTTAGCACTGGCCCTGACCCAAGACCCCGGCCCTCCTCCCCAGGGGTCCCAGAAGAAGTGGGGTGGAGTAGTAGGCGCCCCCCAGGAACAGAGCTTTGTTGGTTGGGGGGCAGGTTTGTAGCTTTGCATGTGACTTTCTCTGTGGGGAACTACTCGGGGCCCATCCTAGCGGTCACTTAATAGCTGGGACCTTCCTTCATTTCCCTATGGTCCTAGCTGGCTCTCACCTCTGCACCTGCTAGAAAGTTCTCCTCTGCTCCCCCTTCCCTTCCCCCCCACACCTACTTCAACAAGCAGGGGCACAGGGTGGGAGGAGACTGCTTGACCCTCAACCCGCAGCTCCTGTGGGGTGGGGCTGGGTGTGGAGAATGTCTGGCCCTGCAGCTCACTTGGGGTGTCCTTTGCCCAGGAGGGCAGGAGGGGCAGACCCATCACTCACTCAGTTCTGGGGCCTGAGTGGGCCAAGTGTGTGCCGTGGGCCCAAGGCTCCTTGTGGTAAGAGGCTGCAAGGAGGGTGTGGGGGAGGGACAGCAGGGACCTGGAGAGAGGGAGAGGCTGGTCTCAGGGGAGGCCAGGAGCTGCCAGAAACAGATTTCCTGCCTTGAGAGCCAGTGGACAGCAGCGCCCCCACACCCCAAGTCCTTGCCCCATCTCTGAAAGTTCTCTTCACGGGTCGGGCTCAGCTGGAAGCAGTGCCATCCCCTTCGCCCCTCAGCATGCAGAAGCAGACTCGAGCTGACCCCTGACCTCCCCCTCCTGCCAGCTTCCCTCCGAGCTCCCAGCTCCGGCTTCTTTTGCCCCCTTTCACACTAATGCCGGGTTTGTCCCCAAATGTACGTATCCGGTGTCCCATCATTACCTGCTCCAGAACCATCCATGGCTTCCCATTGCCATAGATTCAAGCCCACCCTTTCAGCGTGCCACTGAATGCCCTCCACACTTTCTACATGCTTTCAATGCCTTCCACACCCAGACCCTGCAGGATCACCCTTTATTCCTAGGCCTCTTGCTGCCTCCCCACTTTGAACAGGCCCTCTCTGCCTCGCACACTTCTCTCTGTCATCTCCTCCATCACCTCCCCCATCATGCCTTCCTGGAAGGAGAGAGTCCCCTTTCCTTTGGATCCTGTGTGCCCTACCAGTGAAGCAAACATTCAGTGATGGAGCAAGGACTTGCCTGCTGAGTCTCCCCAAGAGGCTGGGGCCCCCTCGAAGACCCCTCCAGGACAGCAGGCAGTGTCCTGGTGCGGCCACACTTCTGCCCACCCCCCACTGACCGATTCCCCGTCTTCATCAGCCTACCTTTGACCCAGGGCCAGCTTGAGCTCTCATTCCTCCCCGCCCCCGCCCCCCCCCCCAACCCATCCTCTCCCAATGTTCTCAGGAAATGATCAAATAGTCTGCAAATAATGGGCACACAGCCACCTTTTCCTCCCCAATATTTCTCCTTGACTTGGGCTTGTTTCACTGCTGAGATCCTTCAGGCAACAGAGAGTCAGAGACAAAAGCAGCGACTCAGCTCCTGGACTGGTCTCTTGACCTCTCTGAGGCCTCATGCCACCCACCCGGGGCTGACTGGGACAGTATCATTGTCAGGTAACTTTTCAGGAATTTTGTGAGCCTGTGTTTCAACTCTGGGTGTCTAGTAATGGGCCTGGTCTGGGGCACATGACACCCCCAAAACTGACAAACACCATAGACCAGAGCTTCCCCAGCCACCAGGAACTCTTCCCCTCCACCCCCGCCACACACACACACACACACACACACACACACACCCACCACAGTCAACAAGTATTGAAAAATATTCTGACATAAGATGAAGGTCAAGGTGTCACACAGCAAATCACTGGTCACATCTCTATCACACAATAGGAGAGGGGATCCACTGTCCACTGTTCTCCCGTTCATCAATTTTGCTTGAGCGGGCCCAGTAATGTCTCCATTTTGAGATTTGTTGTTACTGTGTTTGGCATATTGAATACATCACGGGTAGCTTGCTAGGCTTTGCCGTGCCGGCAAGATACTCTCAGTAGCTTGCAGGGCTCTCTGAGAGGGGCAGAGGAATCGAACCCGTCTCTGCCGGGCTGGCTGTGCCCAAGGCAAACGCCCTACCACTGTGCTATCACTCCAGCCCTCAGGAGGGGGGATAAGGATAAGAATAAGGCAGCTGCACCTCAATCCTTTTTTTTTGGGGGGGGGAGGGCACACCCAGTGATGCTTAGGGCTTACTCCTGGTGCTGCACTCAGGGTTCTCTCCTGGCAGTGCTCAGGGGACTGTATGGGACACCAGGGATCTAGCCTGGGTTGGCCGCGTGCCAGGCAAGCGCCCTCCCCACTGTCCTGTTGCTCTGGCCCCTCAATCTCAGGTGACAGTGAGAACCGGAAGAGACACAGGATGGTGCTGATTGTAGGGGGCAGGTTCCACGGGGTTTGGCTGCTGCTGTCGCTATTCGTTGAGTTTGATTCATTGATTTCCCTGAATTAAAATCAAGACACAGGACAGAGACCCATCTGGCGGTGGGCCCGAGCAAGCGACGGTCCCATTGCTGGGGCTGCCAGAGGAAATAGAGCAGGCCCCAAAGCCGGAACCGACCGGAGTTTGAATCCCGGGTATGCTCGACCTCTCTAGCTTCTTTCTCTTCAGTGCCAGGCAGTAAGGAAAGGGATGTTCTGGAGACCCTAAGAGATACTCCGACCCTGGTCCTGAAAAACCCTGAGTGCCACAAGCCAGAGGCTGATTCCTGGCCATTTCTAGCCCTGGGAAAGCAGAGGTAAGAGAGGAAGGCCAGCGTCACCAGGGCTGGTGACACTTTGTGCAAAGCTCTGGTAGCAGCCACAGAGAACGGGAGAGAGCTGAGCCATGGGCGGCAGCAGTCTGTGACCCAAGGCCCACTGTACACCTGAGCCACCCAGACGCCCCAAGGAGGCTGGCGCTGGAGCAGTGGGGGACACCACTGCCCAGGCGTGGGGGCCATGGGCCTTACCTGGGAAGACCAGCAGAGAGATGAGGACGCTGTTGTCGAAGCCCAGCTTCTGGACCCCACACCAGTACTGCCCTGCATCCTGCATGCTGATTCCCCGCAGGGTCACCTTGAGCGTGCGCTCGTGGCGGCTGTCCTGGATGGACACCTTGCCCACCGTCTTCTCCCGGCCATCTTCTGTCGCGTAGACCCGGTTGGAGCAGCGGTTCAACAACAACCCCGCATTCCGGCACCAGTATTTCTGGAACTTCTTCAGCTCTTCCCCGTAGGTGCAGCGCAGGGACACCGTGTCCCCTTCAAACCCGCTGATCTCCTTTGGACCCACCAGGGACCCATAGCCTGAAACCACAGACCAGCAAGGCCCAGATTCACGACACCCCTCAGCTCCCTCCCCTTATGTTCTCTCCCCTCCACTCCACTCCTTTCCACTGCCACCCCACCAGGGAACTCGAACAGAGCTGATGCAACCCCCTCTGCCCCAAATCCAGGGTGGTTAGGGTACACTAGGTTCAGGGGACCCAGGCAAGAGTACCGCGGGGAGGACATTGGCCTTCTACACAGCCGACCCAGGTTCAATCCTGGGCACCCTATGTGGTCTCCCAGCCGCTAGGAGTGATTCCTGAACTCAAAGCCAGAAGGAAGCCCTGAGCAGTGCCAGGTGTGGCCCCAAAGCAAAAAATGAAACAAAAAATCTGTTTATAGATTCAGAGAGCTCGCAGTGGGAATCTCAGCACGGAGTCACTGTGCAACCTTGGGAAGTTACTTAGCCTTTCTGTGCCTCTGAGTTTTCTCATCTGTGGAGAATAATGTCCTATTTTATTGAATTTAAGATGTTGTCCTGGACCAGACATGTGAATCCACACCCTGGGCTCAATCCCTGGCACCACTGGGGGGAAAAACAAATTGTTGGGACCCGAACAATAGTAAGGTCCTTGCCTTATACATGGCCGACCCGGGTTCAGTAACCGGCACCCCATATGGTCTTCCGAGTCACACCAGGAGCGATTCCTGAGCACAGTCAGGAGTGATCCCTGAGCATCTTTGGGGTGTGCCACAAAACCAAGACAAAACAAAAAAGATGCTGCTTTCTTATATGAGATACACTCTCATTTCATATACCACTATTTTTTAAAAGATTGTCAACAGCTGACATCACTTCTCAGACACATGTTGATTTTTGAATATCAAAAAAATAAAACTAGGGCCAGAGAGATGGTACACTGGGGAGAGCGCTTGTGTTGGACGTGGACAAGCAGCATTCTATCACCCATCCTTAGGCTCCCCGGAACCCGCCAGGAGCGAGGAGCCAGGAGTTACCCCTAAGCATCTCCGGGGATGGCCCCAAACAAAAACAATACAAAAATAAAAGCAGCACTGGAGAATGACTCAAGGCGCTGAGCACCTTGCTTTGCTTGGGGGACCCCCAGGTTCTCTCCTTGGCACAGCCTGGTCCCCTGAGCACCCATGGGAGTGACTCCCAAGCACTGAGCACCTCTGTCGTGTCAGTGTGCCCCCAAGCCCCAACAAAACAAAATAAATGGAAGAAAGAAAAGTTGGTGAAAGTCCATTTTTTCTCCCCCGGGGCTCTGGAATTTCAAGAATATCAGATGGGACGGCAGTGATAGTCCAGCGGGTGCTTGCCTTGCATGCAACTGATCGGGTTCCACCCCTGGCAACTCATATGGCCCCCTGAACCCCACCAGGAATAATTCCTGAGTGCAGAGCCAGGAGTAACCCCTGAGCATAGCCAGGTGTGACCCCAAAAGAAAAAGTTAAAATCCAAAAGAATATCAGTTGATGCTTGGCGGGTACCGGCAGTGGCGTCTTGTCTGCTCCCAGGCTTGGCAGCGAGCAGGGAAACGAGATGGAGGGAGGGGAATTCCCCCTCAGAGCGGAGGAGAAAACAGACTTTGGGGTGCAGCAGCGGCAGCAGGCGCGGATCCCCCCCCAGGCTGAGGACTCGGGGCTGGAGCTCAGGTTGGACGGGTCCGCGCGGGTCAGTCACAGCTACCGGTGCAGCCGGGGAGGGCTGTGTGGGTCAGAATAGGTGCTGTCCCTCCCCCACCCGGACCCCCGCCCCCAGCCCCCATCATCTCACCTGGGAGCACCAGACAGCCCCAAAGCAGGAAGAGCGACCGCATGGTGGGTGCTGGCGGTGGGGGGAGGGGGGCCTGCAGGGCGCCGGCAGCTGCGGCTATTGAAGCGCCTCGCGGGGCTCTAACTTCCTGGGGAGGGCGCGCCGGGGACGGGACAAGGCGAGGAAGGGAGGGGAGGGGGACTCGGACTCTCCTCCTTCTCCTAGGGGTGTGGGCGGTGCACGTGGTTTTGTCACTCACAAACCCCAGTGACACTCACACCAAAGAGGAGTGTGCGCCCCTCGCTGCCCCGCACTTGTCAGTTATTAGCGCAGAACCGATGATTTTTCTATTTTAGTTTTTGGGGTCACACCCTGCGATGCTTAGGGGTTACTCCTTGCTCTGCACTCAGGAATTACTCCTGGCGGTGCTCAGGGGACTCTATGGGATGCCCGGGATCGAACCCGGTCAGCTGCGTGCAAGGCAAGCGCCCTGCCCACTATACTATCTCTCTGGCCCCAGAACTGGTCACCTAAAGTGCTAATACAGAGGCCAGAGAGGTAGTACAGAGGGTCGGAGCTTGCCTTGCAGGAGTTAGACAGAGGATTCAATTCCCAGTACCTCACAGGGCTCCCCGAGCCTCCAGGTATGCTCCCTGAACACAGACCCAGGAGTAAGTCCTGAGTACAGCCGAGTGTGGCCCCAAAACCCAAATATAAAATTAAAAAGTAGCTAATAAAGAAGCGCATTGGTTACTAAAGCACAGGATAATGAAACCTGTAGCCATTTCCCTGTTGTAGGTTTTCTTGTAAGCGGATGCATTTTATACATCTAAGAGGTCGTTTATCTTTGAGATTATTATTTGGAGTTCACCCTGTCATGCGGTGAAAGGTATACGCTTCCGCCCAGGAGAGGTCCCAGGGGTCCCTCCTCCCGCGTGGCCGGGCCGCAATACCGCTATTGGCCACAAGATGGCAGTGCAGGCAGGAGGGAAACCAGAAAGGGCAGCGCCTGATCCCTGCAGGCGGCGCTGTGGCTTGAAATTTTATTATTTTTTTGTTTGGGGGTGCGGAGGGTTTACTACTGGCTCTCGGGGATCACTCCTAGTGGTGCTCGGGGACCGTATGCCATGCCAGGAATTGAACTCAGATGTGCTGCTTGCAGGGCAAGCTCCTTCCCGGCTGTACTATCTCCTGCTCCTGCCCTGGAATTATAAAGGGGTTGAGTGCTCCGCAGATTCGGATCCTAGAAAGGAGCAATACAAACACCAGAGTGAGCCCTGAAATACTGTTTGTCGTTCTTTCTTCCCTCCTCCCCCTTTTTATTGATTCAGCATGAGGTACAGTAACAGAGCTTTCGTGTTTGAGCTTGATCATACAACCATCAAACACCCATCCCCTCATCAGTGCACGTTCTCCACCACCAGAGTCCCCAGTATCCCTCATCCCCCATTCCACACCTACCCCTGCCTGTGTGACAGACAATTTGCACAATACTCTCTTTCTCTACTTTGGTTACCTTTGATATTTGAACTTAGTCCCACCACCACTCATAACTGCAGAAAATGCAATGCTAGACAATGTGTTTTGTATTGCTTGTTATGGATACAATATAATGTTGCACAGCCGTGAGAGCAGCTGGCTCACTCTAGGAATTCTAAAATTTTAATAATTAGGGTCTGGAGAGATTGCTGCAGCAAGTTGTTTGGGTCAGAGTTTCGTTTCTGTGTCTCTGGATCATGGCCGTGTGTGGGTGGCATCTCATAGTCCCATTGGGCGGGGGAGGAGGGGAGAAGGGAAGGAGAAGGACCGACTCCTCCCCTGTCCTATGAGCCTGGGATTTCCTGGCTCCCATACCTGGAACTTTTTGCTGCATTCTAGAAGATGGCGGCCACCGGGATTCCTAGAGGGCAGGTGGAGGGACAACACCTGCCCCCAACTGGAGTGGCCCAGCGAAAATGGCCTATTGCAAAGTTTGGAGCCATCTCTGCAGCAAGTTGCTTGGGTCCGAAATTCATTTGTGTGTCCTGAAATACTGTTTTCTAAGAGAAAATTGTTGGGTTGTTTTCCATTCATAAGCAAAAATCATACAAGTTGTAATGGAAATTTTACACAATACGGAAATGTAAATGAAGACACAAAGAAAGCAGAATGAAAGAAGGAAGGGAATAAAGAAAGAAAGGAAGGAATAAGAACATTTCATGTCTGATACCCCCTTTCCTTAGAAAACCATTGCTAATATTTTGCAATTTATGCTCTCAAATATCAAGTTGGAATTTGAAGAACTAAGTCTGGGGTTTTGGGAGAGATGTGAGTGAGGGAAAAGAGAGAAAGGCTGAGAGTAGATTCTTATAATGTGAGGAGACTCAGTGGTGTGGGGAGCTGATGACATTCAGTAGACAGGGACAAAGGCTTATATTGGTGACAACTCTTATCCCAAGACCTGACTCTCACCCCCTGTGCAAACTACAAAAACAAGTTCATTTTTTCAATAGTAAAAGACAGATTAAAATAAAATTTATTTCATCATTTGTTTACTTTGTGGGTGTAACTGTCTAACTACCGGAAGATGGGAGATCTGAGTGGAGGAGGCCCAGGCAACTAGAACTATTGTCTAGTTCTCGCTCTTGGAGAACCCGGCAGGCTACCGAGAGTATCCTGCCCACATGGCAGAGTCTGGCAAGCTCCCCGTAGCGTATTCGATGTGCCAAAACCCAGGAACAATGATGGGTCTCATTCCCCTGACCCTGAAAGAGCCTCCAATGTGGCACTTGCTAAAATCTCAGGACTAGGACAAATGGAGACGTTACTGGTGCCTGCTCAAGGAAATCGATGAACAAAGGGATGACAGTGATACAGTGATATAGTGATTTGTTTACTTATTAAATGTGTGTGTTTATGGTACTAGATATTAAACCCAGAGCCTCACACATGCTTTCCATTTATACTGATCTAATATCTAACAGTATATATAGTTATCTTTATAATTTCTGCATAGACAATAATTTCTGTTCTCACTTTTCTTAAATCCTAATGTTTGTTATAAGCAGGCCAAGCATCTGACATTTCATTATGTTTTCCATTGTCATGGGGTCTGAGCACTGACATTTTGAAACATATTTGGCAACAAATTGTTTTCCTCTTCTTTCTTCCCCTCTGTTACGCTCCCGCATGATATTGTGATTTTGAAAAATTAAGTATGTAAGCAGGGCTATTATTTATGCTTGCCTTTCAGGGGACTCCAAGGAAGTATTACCAACCATTTCATTCTCATGGAGAGACAGTTGGGTCTAGAGTGTATCATTGTAGCGGCTTCTTTGCTGAGTTCCTGCCTCACCCCCTGACCTACCTAAGTTCCCTTGGACTTGTGCAGGGTGGGGAGGGGGGGCTTCATTAGAAACTGATCAGGAGAACCTGGGTGTGGGTCAGAAGTTGGGAAGAATCATGTAGTGTCCAACATGACTTGTATTATTATATCTCATATATAAACAGGGAAATTATACACTGCAGCATATAATGACCAATTATCCACTATAATATAATATAGTGTCTAAGGGCAATCAATGCATAGCTCCCCCTGCCTCTTTGGGGAGCTGGGGCATGAGGGCCCTCGTGTACTGTTTTCCTGCCCTGGGATCAGAGAATAGAACAGCAGTAGGGGGCTGGTGGCTAGTCGTCTGTCCACCTTTTCACAGCCTCACTCCGTCTTCCGTCCAGACCAAGGCCCCTGGACCGCCAGCAGAGCTGGAGGGAGGATGCAGACATGCAGGCGCCCCCTAGAGGTCACAGAGCACCATGACCCTGCAACCTTTTTCCTCCTCTACTCCACCGGTCAAGCCCTCAGACTCAGCATCAACTCACCGGGAGAACAGGACGCTGACCTGCTCTCCTCTGTCCACTGAGACAGCTTAGCTGGAATCACAGGCCCTTCCAATGGGGCAGGCTCAGGGAGGCCCTGGAATAGGGCTGGTAGAACCCGGCAACAATCCATGACTTAGTGGCGTGGTCTGTGGCCATCCCCTCCTAGGCTAAATCCCTCTGTCGATGTCGATGACAAAGGAGCCAGTGGCAGAAGTGAACTGGCCGGGACTTCGTGGCTGAGTGCACGGTTGGGAGGGTGAGATCCTGGGCTCCGTTCCTCATGCCAAAACAAAACAGCAAGGACAAAAGTAGAAGCTGTGATTGCATGAGCCCAGGAAGAAGGTTTTGGAACTAAGAGAGACGCTGCTAAGACTGGCCCCAGAATCACGCCCACTTTATGTAGTCAGAGAGAGCGACGTGCTGTGAGTGAATGAGCATGAGCGACTCCATCTTGGTTCTCTATTAGACACTTTTATTCCGTCTCCTTCCCCCAGCTCTGCCTGCAGCTCAGGCTGAAGAGCTGCCCTCATGCTCTGGGTGTTGAAGTTGAAGCAGGGCCGGGTACAGATGGAGGCGGGAGAGAAGTAGCATCCCTCCTGCAGCCCCTCCGCACTCCCCCCCCCCCCCCCCCATCAAAACCCTCCTGGACTCCTGACGATTCTGTTTCCTGGGAGAAGAGCCAGCACATACCCTCTGCAAGGACTCTTCAAGGATGTCGTGCAGACCCCGGAAAGCAGGATTGTCTGTCTGTGTCATGAAAACAGACCCCATCCTCCAGGGACCCATTTATTAACCACGGATGCTGGCCCGGACAGACTCGAGACAGAGCTCCTTCTTGCTCTTCCCACAAGATTTTGGTGATTTGTTAATAGTCAACTGGTTCTTCAAAGGTACAGTAGGTCCTCTTGGGGTCTGCTTTCTCCCACTGGGCATGATTTTTTTTTTTTGCCATATACTATGCTACATGGTGGGGCTAACTTTTGAGTAGTGATTTGCTTCTTTTACTCGATGCATGAATATACCACTGTACAGATGTACCGGTTTATTTATCCTGTCACTTGCTAATGGACATCTGGACTGTTTCCTGTGCTGGGTTATTAGAAACAAAGACGCACTGAAAAGTCTGGCACTGGGGTTATGGCCAGATGGTTTGATTCTCTTGGATAAATACCTAGGAGTGGGATTGCCAGCTCAGTGGGCAGGTGTGTGTTTAACCTTTTGTTATTTTTGTTGACTGCTTTTGAGCCATACCTGATGGAATCAGGGGTACATCCTGGCTCAGTGCTTGGGGACCACGCAGGTGCCCAGGATCAAACCTGGGCTCCAGCATAAAGCAGCATGTTCTCTTCTTGGCATATCTCCCTGACCAGTGCATATTTAATATTAATTTTATTTTATTATGTTTGAGGGGTATTGGACCACATCTTTCAGTGCTCAGACTTACTCCTGGCTCTGTGCTCAGAGGACATTCTTGGCAGAGCTCAGAGGACCATATGCGGTACTGGAGATCAGACTGGGCGTGGCAGCATGCAAGGCGAGTAAGTGACTTAATCCCTGACTGACTCTCTGGCTCCATATTTAATGTTTTATTTTTAAATGAAATTATTTGTTTTGGCAGCCATACCCAGCGGTGTTCAGGCCTTACTCCTGGCTCTGTACTCAGAAACTAGTGCTGGCAAGGGCTCAGGGGACTATTTGGGGTTCTGGGGATTGAACCTGGATTGGCTGCGTGCAAGGCAAGTGCCTAACCCTTAGTTCTATTGCTCTGGCCCCATGTTTCACTTCTTGAACACAAGGGGTTTTCTGACATTATACTCACAAGGTGGTTCGAGATTCGAGAGAGCCTATTGCCCCATTTTTCACCAACATGGGTGTCACCTTAACCCTCTGGAGCGTGCATAGTGACACTGGTGTGGGCTTTTAGTTGCAGTTCCCTGATGGCAAATGACGTTGGATGAGAATTTTCTCATATGTTCATTGGTTATGTGTATTTTTTTTCCTTTTTTGGGTCATACCTGTCGGTGCTCAGGGGTTACTCCTTGTCTGCCTGCACTCAGAAATGACTCCTGGCAGTGCTCGAGGGGCCATATGGGATGCCGGGAATGGAACTCAGGTTGGCAGCATGCAAGGCAAACACTCTACTTGCTGCACTATGGCTCTGGCCCGTGTGTGTGTGTGTGTGTGTGTGTGTGTGTGTGTGTGTCACGGTCACGGTCACGGTCACGGTCCTCCAGTTGTTCATTGATTTGCTCGAGCGGGCCCAATAACATTGTGAGACTTGTTACTGTGTTTGGCATATTGAATACGTCACGGGTAGCTTGCCAGGCTTTGCCATGCGGGCGAGGTACTCTCAGTAGCTTGCCGGGCTCTCTGAGAGGGATGGAGGAATCGAACTCGGGTCGGCCATGTTGTCTGCGTGTAAGGCAAATGCCCTACCCACTGTGCTATCGATCCAGCCCATGTGTGTGTGTGTATTTGCTTTTTTTTTAAATTGCTTTTTGGGTCACACCCAGTGATGTTCAGGGGTTACTCCTGGCTCTGCACTCAGGAATTACTCCTGGGAGTCCTCGGGGAAAAATATGGGTTGCTGGGAATTGAACCCGGTTCGGCCACGTGCAAGGCAAACACCCTATCCGCTGTACTATCGCTCCAGCCCTTATATTTTTTATGTTACGTTCTTGCTTATGTCTTCTGCATTTTTTCTTTTCCTTTTTTTTTGTTTGGGTTGCTTGTGTTTCTTATTAAGTTACAGGAATTCTTACTATAAACAGTCCTTTGTCAGACACTCATAAACTATACACATATATTATGAATATTTTCTGTGTTGTGGTTTGCCTACTCATTTTTTTTTCCTTTGGAGAGCCCGGCAAGCTACCGAGAGTATTCGATATGCCAGACACAGTAACAACAAAGTCTCCAATGGAGACGTTACTGGGCCCACTCGAGCAAATCGATGATCAACGGGAGGGCCTTTACTTTACTTTACTTACTTTTTTGGGAAAAGAGGCAGGGCTTACTGAGCTTTGCACTCAGGGATCACTTCTAGTGGAGTTTGGGGATCATACGTGGTGCTAGGGATTGACTCTGGGTCAGCTGTGTGCAAGGCAAGTACCCTACCCCCTGTATTATTTCTTCACCCTCCTCTTTTCTTGGATGCTTACTCCTGTTTAATAGTGTGTTCTGATGGAACAGAAGTTTTCAGACTTTTTTTTTTTTTGGTGGGTGTCACACCCAGCCGATGCTCAGTGGTTACTCCTGGCTCTGCATTCAGGAACCACTTCTGGCAGTGCTGGAGGACCATATGGGATGCCGGGGATCAAACCCAGGTTGACCACATGCAAGGCAAATGCCCTACCCACTATACTATTGCACCAGACCCAGTTTTCAGACTCTCTTGTTTTGTTTCGGCTGACTGTGCACAGAGATTACTTCTAAAGGTGTTCTGGGGACCAACTGCAGTGCCAGGGACCATCTGCAGTGCTGGGGATCAAACCTGGGTCAGCAAATGCTTTACCCCCTGCACTCTCTCTCCAGTGTGAGGCCCATTTATCTTTTGTTTTGTTTTTATTTCCTTGTTAAGAAATCTTTGCCTCTTGAAAGATTAAGACATTCTCCAGTTTCCTTCTGGGAGTTTGATCTGTCTAGCTGATGTTCCGGTCTCTGGTTCCTCTTTGGTGGCATTCTGCATGTGGTGTGAGGCAAGGATGGGGGTCCCCCTCTCTCCTACTCACGTTTAGTTAAGAGTTCCAGCAACCTTTATTGTTACCCTTGTCAAACATCATCTTTTGCAGGGGTCTCTTGCCCTCTGTCTCACATTCAGGCCTGCAGGTCAAACTAGGTCTCACACCGTCTTTCTTCAAGACTGGTAGGTTCCTGGGACCAGCGGAACCGCAGCCCCGGGGACCTATTAGAGAGGCAGCCCCCCCACCCCCGCGGCTCCAGCCCTCCCCAAGCCCCGCCTGACTCACAGGCGCGTTCCATTTTGAGAGGCACCGGTGCAGACCATTTTTGAGGAAGATGGGAAATGTCATCATGATATGCTGGGCCACCGACAGCCTCCTCCAGGCCTGTCAGCTCCGGGGGTGGGCTGTGTGTGTGTGTGTGGGGGGGTGGCGTATTTCCTCTCTTCTGCTTGGCTGCGTTGCAAGGCAGTCCAAGACTCACCCTGGGGTCCCCTTGCGATCTGCGCTGGGTGTTCTTCGGGATGGAAGGAGACAGGGACTCACCCACTGGTGCATCCCTCACCCCCTACTAGCCTGGGCCCCCTACTCACCCCTCCGCCTCCCCAGCCCTCTCCTCGCACCCTGAGCCTCAGTTTCCCTCAGTTACAGAGCCCAGGGGATTATGCCGCGTAGCGCGGCAGCTGGCGCGAAGCAGAGATATCCGAGGAGTCCGGGGGGAGCTGGGGCAGCACAATAAAGTCGGCTGGGGATGCGCTCTGCCTGGTCGGCGCGAGGCTTCTGTGGGCGGGTGCGCCCCTCCTTCCCCGAGTAGACCCACCCGCACGGCCCAGCCAGACCGAGTCGCGCGCCGCCTCCCCAGCCCGCTCCTCCCGCGGGGCAGCGCGCGCCGATCCATCTTTCCCTGCACGTTGCATTGTTATCCCCGGCATCCCGACGTCACACGGGTCCCTGGCCCCGACCTGGAGTGGGTGGGGGGGGGGGGCTGGGGAGGGTCCCCTGCAATCTAGAGTCTCTGCTCTGCACGTCTGGGAGCCCCCCAGCCCCGAGCACAGTGCCGGGCACTTGCAAGGACGCCCGGAGCCGCCGTTTGCAGAATGCAATGAGGCGCGGGGCGGGCGGCCGCCCCTGCACGCGCCGGGGTGGTACGCGCGGGCGGGGGGCGGCGGCGGCGGCGGGGGGACTCCGGCGGGCGCGCGGCGAGGAGGGGGTGCGGGAGCCGAGCGGGGCCGCCGCGGCGCCGCAGGGAGGGGCCGGGGGCGGAGCCGGCGCGGCCGAGCTCGGGCACCCGCGCGGCGGCCGCTCGCCTGGGCCCGGGGAGCCGCGGGCCCAGCGCGCGCAGGTAACGGACAAGGGAGCGGGGCGGGCGGGGTGAGGGCGGAGAGCTGCCGCTCCCCGGGGGAGCCCCCGCGAGCCCCCAGCTTGGGGAGGGGGCGTGCAGTTTCCGCCCCGCGCTCCCCTAGCCGGGCCCCCGCAAGCGCTCGGCTCCGTTCGGGCCCCTCGGCACCTCGTGAGCCGGGCCCCGAGCGCACCCCCCAGCCCCCCAGCTCCTTCCCAGCCGCGCTTCGGGGTGGTCCCACAGGTTCTTCCGGAGGCGAGCTGGAAGCCGGGCTTGGCCGCCCGGGGTGCAGGGGGCGGTGGGGGCACCTCGGGGAGGTGCGGGTGAGTCCGGCGGGGGCGCGGCGGGGGCCCGAGGGCGGGGCCGGTACTGGGGCTTCGAGGTGTCACTCCGGCTCCATGTTTGCGGAGGAATGAATCATTGCTTTCCTTGACGCCCCCCCCCCACGGACTTTTTGAGGTCCACGTGCAGAAAGCACGTTGGGGGAGACCCGGACATAGGGATACCCCCCCAGTAGAAACCCCATTCTCACTTCTCCACTGCTTCTCTGCGTACTATTCTCTTGGGGGGGGGGGCTTCTGGTTGCGGCTGGGGGATGGTGGGAAAGAGGGGCCCTGTAAGCCCCCAGATACTTTTTAGGGGGTGTGGCGTGCTAAAGCACCATGCAGGAGGTATAGGGAGGGTATGCTGCCTTCTGCCTTTGCTGGGGGGGGGCCCTCACCCCGGACCCTCCAAGACTGGTGAACTCTCATTGTGCAACTGAACTCTTTTCTTTCCTCAACAGTAGAATGGGAATATCAGCCCCCCTGCAGATTAGGATAGAAGAGTGTGGAGTAACCTTGCACGGGAGCTTGGCACTTAGGGGGTGGGACGGGGGCAGGGCATTCAGAAAATCTTAGTTTTCTTTCCATCTTTGGGAAACACTGAGCAAGTTAGCAGCATCCCGGCCCTGCACCCAACCTGGTCCCTCACCTCTGTGTCTCGCACTCCCTCCCAGCATCCAGAGGCAGAGTTGAGGGGCTGGCCAGCAGACATGCCGGTGCTGTCCGAGGATTCTGGTGAGTGCCCCCACCTTTTCCCCTCCCCCAGCTCCCGAACTGGCTGCAGAAAGAGCCAGCTGCATCCCAGGCTCCAGGCCTGTGGGAGTATGCATGTGTGTGTGTGTGTGTGTGTGTGTGTGTGTGTCCTGATGGAAGGGCTGATGTGACCTTTGGGGTTCCACCGGGGTAGAAACTGTTCCTTGCACAGGCTCTGTGTGTTGCTCTGACCTCAGGATTGCATGAAACTCTGGCGCTGCTGACCTCTCAGCTGAGCCCTGACTCCAACCACAAGGAAGAGATGGGCTTCCTGAGAGACGTGTTCAGTGAGAAAAGTCTCAGTTACTTGATGAAGGTATGAGAGCCCCCTTGACGTTCCCTGGGGCGCACGTCTCACGGGAGGCTTCTGGGCTGCCGGTGGCCGATGGTGGTCATCCTAGCCATTCCCTGCCCCAGCGACCCTCAGGAGCACCGCGTGCAGTCTTGTTCTCTGTGCTGCCCTGCCCGGGCTGCAGCTCTCAGGACCCTGGCATGTGGGCAGGCTGTGCAGTGTCCAGGGGGATCCCAGGTGCTGGCTTGGCTGACCTCAGCCCGACATGGTCTGTCTCCGCAGATTCACGAGAAGCTTCGCTATTATGAGCGGCAGAGCCCCACTCCGGTTCTGCACAGCGCTGCAGCCCTTGCTGAGGACGTAAGCCCCAGATTTTCCTTCCGGTGTCAGTCCCAGTCCCTGCCCCCGAGGCCACCCCCGGGGATGGGGGTTGGGGGCACAGGGAAGAGGTGCTTTTTGTCATTTTGTGTTGGTGCTGCACGGGTAGAGTCCTTGCCTGGGTAGAATGTGCCGGTCACTTGGCCTCCCCTGCTCCTAGGCCTTCTTCTCCCAGGCAGAAACTCATGAGGCGAGAAGCGGAGGCTCAGTGACAGCCACTGACTGTGTGTTCCTAAGCAAGTCTGTGTCCCCGGTTGTGCTGACACTGTTTGCACCCGCCCGCGGTTCCCACACCGGAGGGGCGGCTGATTCAGGGGCCAGATGAGCATGAGGCGTCTGTGCTTTGGGGAGAGGCCCCGTGTGATGTCTCGGGCAGGCAGCTGGCTCGACAGAGCCCTTTCATTTGTTATTGGGGGTGCCACGACTTCTAGCACTGCCCAGGGCCATCTCACGAACACAGCATCCCATGGTCTCGTTGGTGAATGCTTCCGAATTTCTCATACCCGAGTCGTTTGGGTGGCATGTTCAAAAAAGTTTTCCTGAATGGTCACCGTGAACCCCTGATTTGGGCTCCAGAAGCATTATGGTGAGACAGGGGACAGACCAGCTGGGTGCAGAACAACCTGGGTATACACCAGCCTGGGTGCAGACTACACCCCATGCAGAGCCTCTGGCCTCTGCCTCTTTGCAGTGTAGGTAGGTGCATGGCAGGTGGCCGGGCTCCCAGGCTCAACTCAGCTTCTGCGACCTCAACAAGTCACTGAACCTTTCTGAACCCCGTTTTCTCCTTTGTGAAGTAGCTGGTGGCGAGGCCCCAGACAGAAGGCCAGGTGAACCCAGAGGCAGGCAGGCCGGGTCCTGCAGAGGGGAGGGGGTGCCGCTGAGCCCGGGCTGGTGGCAGGCTGGATCCAGCATCTTTTCTCCTTCAGGTGATGGAGGAGCTGCAGGCCACCTCTGTGCGTGGGGATGAGCGGGAGCTGCTCCAGCTGCTGTCCACCCCCCACCTCAGGGTAGTCACGACGCCGTCCCTGCCCGCCCCCGCGGCTCCCATCACCCGGCATGGGGAGGGGGTGTGTTTCCCTGGCACTGTCTCCCAGCCCTCCCTGCAGCCTGGCCAGCTCCCAGCTCGGGGCCAGCCCTTCTCTGCCTTCCCCGCAGGCCATGCTCATGGTGCATGACACGGTGGCCCAGAAGAATTTCGACCCTGTTCTCCCGCCCCTGCCCGATAACATTGAGGAAGACTTCGAGGAAGAGTCTGTGAAGATCGTCCGCCTAGTGAAGAACAAGGAACCCCTGGTATGTGGCCCCCACTCCTCCCCCTCCCTGGAAACTGGGAAGGGATCCTCTTCAGGGAGTGATGGCAGCTGGGTCGAGGATGCTGCCTATGGGTGCAGGGCGCCCCCTTCTCTGGCTAGGTTCAGCCCCCAGCTCCTGGGGCCATTGCAGTGAGCAGCCTAGGCAACTGTACAGGGCGGCCCTGCTCATTATGCTCTGAGTCACCGGTTGGCAGAGCACAGCGCAAAGGTCACCCCAGCCTGCTGCCGTTTTTATACGCGTTCCCCTGAAGCATGGCTGTGCCTCTTCATTGGCTTAATCTGTCCCTTTCCCTGGTGAACACAGTGTTTTGGAAGTTACCATGGAAACTGTGTGGCCTGCAAGGCTTGGAATTTGGCTTGGCAGCCCCTTGCCGAAAAAGGTTACCAGCAGCTAGAACTGGGGGGATGGCTCAGGCTGTAGATGCTTTGAACGTGTGAGGCCCTGGGTTTGATTTCTGGAGCTGCATGGCACCCTGAGCACTGTGGGGTGAGCCCTAGTGACCCCCAGAACCCACTGCTGGGCTTGAAAACTGATGGATACGGCTCCGACCAAGAGGAAAGTTTGCTGGTTCTTGCAGTGAGTGCTGAGGAGGCTCAGGTGGACATTCTGTGCCTCCCTCGAAGGGCTGGAGAGGGCTGGCGGTTTGGTCCTGGCGCAAGGTTGGCTGTGAGCTGGTGGGAAGAGGAAGGCAGGAGCCAGGACACAGCCGCCCGTCTTTATTTCCAGCCTTCAGCTGCCCTCAGAGGAAGCAGTTCTCAAACAGACGAGGAGCTTGTCTCTGCCTCCGTTTCCTCCTCTGGCAGACAGGGTGCTCCTGGGGTCAGAACAATAGCCCAGCGGGGAAGGCACTTGCCTTGCACACAGCTGACCTGGGCTCGATCCCCAGCATCCCAGATGGTCCCCCTGAACACTGCCAGGAGTAATTCCTGAGTGCAGAACCAGGAGAAACCCCTGAGCATCACCGGAAGAGGCTCAAAAGCAAAATCAAAGAACCCTGTTCCCCCAATAAAGGGGTGCTCAGCTGTCTGTCATGCAGGCACCCCACTGGTGGGGTACAGGCAGTCACGGTGATGGGGATGAAGGCAGGAAGCCTTGCAGTCTGTGTGCAGAGATTTCCAGGATCCAGGAGTTAAAAGACTGAGATGTCCAGAGCCACAGACTGGGCAGTGCCAGACTCTGGAAGGGGTTAAAACCACACCTGAGGGGCCAGAGCGATAGTACAGCGGGGAGAGCATTTGCCTTGCACATGGCCGACCTGAGTTCGATCCATAAAGGTAAAGGTAAAGGCCCTCCCGTTGATCATCGATTTGCTCGAGCGGGCCCAGTAACGTCTCCATTGGAGACTTTGTTGTTACTGTGTCTGGCATATCGAATACTCTCGGTAGCTTGCCGGGCTCTCCGAGAGGGGCGGAGGAATCGAACTCGGGTCGGCCATGTTGGCCGCTTGTAAGGCGAACGCCCTACCCACTGTGCTATCGCTAGTTCGATCCATGGCATCCCATATTGAACACTGAACACTGCCAGGAGTGATTCCTGAGCATAGAGCCAGCAGTAACCCCTGAGCATTGCCGGATGTGAGCCCCCAAACCAACCAACCAAACAAAAACCCCCACTGCTGAGCAGCAGGGGAGAGAGTGCTCAGAAGGCAGGAGCACTTACTGTGCATGGGGAGACAGGGTTCAAGACTCGGCATAGCACGGTGCTCCTGAACACTGCAGGGAGTGATCCCTGAGCTCTGCTGAGTGGGTCCCCCTTGAAAATAGCACTGTAGCACTGTAGCAGTGTCCTCCCATTGTTCATCGATTTGCTTGAGCGGGCACCAGTAACGTCTCCACTGTGAGACTTGTTACTGTTTTTGGCATATCAAATACGCCACGGGGAGCTTGTCAGGCTTTGCTGTGCGGGTGGGATACTCTCGGTAGCTTGCCGGGCTTTCCAAGAGGGGCAGAGGAATCGAACCTGGGTTGGCCACATGCAAGGCAAACGCCCTACCCACTGTGCTATCGCTTCAGCTCCTTAAAAATAAATTAATAAATAAAACCCAGGGCCAGAGCAGTAGTACAGTGAGAAGGGTGCTTTCCTTGCGCATGGCTGACCTGGGTTTGATTCCTGGTATCCCATATGGTCCTCTGAGCCCCACCAGGAGTTGAGCATTGCCAGGTGTGCCCCCCAAAACAAACAAACAAAACCCCCAAAACAAAACAAACAAAAAAATAAACTAAAACCCAAACCCATATCTGGGCAAAGTGTCTACAGAGTGAGACCAACATTTTCCCCGCCCCCAGTCTTTTGGTCACCATTAAAGACAGACAGGACTGAGCAAAGGAGACACAGTGTCATTGAGAGGAGCCGGGAGGCAGGGCAGGGCCCGTGCCCAGGGCCCCCTGGTGAGGAAAGAGGAAGGAAGACTGAGGGGGTGGCATTTGGCGGGTACAGTGGCAGGGGTGAGGTGCCGGGGGGCAGGCAGCTGCTGCTTTCAGAATTCAGTTCCTCCAGTTTGCTTGGAAGGAGGGAGCGAGACAGGCGGCTGCCCGAGGGGGTGCCGGCTCTTGGCGATGGGAGGGACAAGCTCATATTTTTAGGATCTGGGAAGGAGGTGACATTGAGAATCCAGGAGAGGGCGGGAGCAGGAGCAGGAGCAGGAGCTGGCTGAGGGAGAGGAGCCCCTTCTCTGCACCGTGGGCCAGGATAGGGGACAGAGCTCCCACCAAGCGGGAAGGTCTGAGAGCGAGACCAGTGAGACAGAGGGGATTGTGCATACAAACAGGGGATTGAACCGGGTGCCAGTGTGTGTGCGATGGCCATTAGCAGTGAATGGGTAATGTTTACTGAGCACTTACTGTGTACAAAGCACCGTGGATGCTTCATATGGTATAACCCAACCTGGCCTGGAATTTCCCAGCTCTAGAGGAGACATGGGAAGATCAAAGGCTTCCTGGCTCCGTCAGCTTGGCCCAGAGGATTCAAACCCAGGCCTGGCCATCCTCAGCGGTGGGCTCTCAGCCTGCCGCAGCCCCCTTGCGGGGTCCCGGGAATCCAGGGTTCATCACTGCCTTTCTCATCTGTGATGTCATTTCCCCTGTGCTTCCCGGGCTAAGTTCTGGTCTCGAAACTCTGGCGGGGATTGGGGGCAGCCTTGGTTCCCTTGGCAACCATGCTAGGCCTGATCACCTGGTGGCTGGTTCCAGGCGGGCTGAGATATGCCGGGAGACTCTCCTTCGGTGCCTTTGCAAGTGGCAGGGCTTGATGGAGAGAGCTGTCCACTTTGTCTCCCCCAGAGCGCCCGGCTTCTGAGGAGGGTGACCTTGAGGCAGCTCCTCTCTCCGCTGCAGGCCCTCATCTGAAGTGAGAGAGAGATGGTCTCTCGGCACACATTGTGTTTTGTAAACTGTGAAGTGCCTGCAGATGCCCAGTATTTTTTTTTTTCTGCTTGTTTATCTTTTTGTGTGATGTGACCTCAGCCTTTGGAAAGGTCCCATTGATCTCTCTGGGGTGGCGGAGGGGAAGGCGGGGAAGGAGGATCTGATGGGGCTCAAGAATTTGCTCTTGGACTAAAGTGATAGCACAGTGGGTAGGGTGTCTGCCTTACATGCGGCCAACCCGGGTTCAACTCCCAGCATCCCATATGGTCCCTGAGCACCGCCAGGAGTAATTCCTGAGTGCAGAGCCAGAAGTAACCCCTGAGCATCAAAAAAAAAAAAAAACCCAAAAAAACCAAAAAACAAAAAAACAAAAAAACTTGCTCTTGTCGCTTCTATAGGGTGCCACCATCCGGCGGGACGAGCAGTCGGGGGCCGTGGTGGTGGCTAGGATCATGCGAGGAGGCGCTGCGGATCGGAGTGGTGAGTGCTTGCTGGCTAGCCAAATGGAGGTGGGGCCATCGAGTCCCTGTCTCCCTGCCTGCTCCCCATCAGGTCACCTGTTCAGGATGTGTTTTGCTCTCTGAGCAGGGCTGGGGTTTTCTTCTCCTTTCCAAGTGTGGTAGAAATCTTCTTGTCAGGGCCAGAGCGATAGTACAGCGGGTAAGGGGTTTACCTTGCATGCAGCTGACCTGGGTTCGATCCCCAGCATCACATATAGCCCCCCACCCCTCGACCACCGTCAGCAGTAACCCCGGAGTGTAGAGCCAGGAGTAACCCATGAGCATGCCTGGTGGGGCCCAAAAGCAAAACAGCAAATGGACAAGAAACAAACAAAAAGAAATCTTCCTCTCTTGAAAATACCCGAGGCGGGGGCTCTTCAGGTACCCCGCTAGGCTCCGGTGTCAGTGTGGCCGATGTGGGGTAAGCTTACCACATACCACACTGTTCTGTCCCAAACAGAACAAAACCCACCAGCGTTTGAACTCTTCTTCTTCCCCTTCTTTCTTCTTCCTTCTTCCGTCTCCTTTCTCCCTTCTCCCTTCTTTTTCTTTCTTCTTTCTTCCCACCCAGCAATGCTCAGGACTTAATCCTGGCTCTGCGCTCAGGAATTACTCCTGATGGTGCTCAGAGGACCATATGGCATGCCAGGGATCAAACCCGGGTCTGCCACATGCAAGAGGAACGCCATCCCTGCTGTGTTCCGGCCTCTGGTTCCATTATCTCTGAGCTGTGCTGTCTTGGGTCAGCTGCACAACTTGGATTCCTGGCTGGCTGCCAGCCCATCCCCTGAGGCTCCCATGGGTGGCTGTGCGCTGCCCTGGCACCCACCCCAGGAAGGGCTCAGGAGGGGCTCCCCTCCCTGTAAAGCGGGTCTGTATGCAGCTGGGGGTCTTAATGCTCGCGCTCATGCTGACCTGCAGCCCTGCTGTCCTAGGCTTGGTCCACGTGGGTGATGAGCTGCGGGAAGTGAATGGGATCGCCGTCCTGCACAAGAGGCCTGACGAGATCAGCCAGATTCTGGTCCGTGTGCCCGCACTGCTGGCTTCTTCCTAACCAGAGGGGCCCAGCCTGGAGTGGGGTGGGTGGGGGTTACAATTTCCAATGCTGCTCCCTGTTTGCATGAGGAGGTGGCGGCCGTGAGCACTGCAGCCTTGGTGGGGGAGGCACGGGTTGGAGCAGAGTAGGGAACACCCACGCCGCCGGCTTCTGTCTGGCCCTGTGGTCAAAAGAGCTGTCTCCTGAACCCCCCGCCCCCTCACCTGGAAAGGGCTTTGGTGCCTCACTGCTCTTGGGGGACACCGGGAGATGGTGCAGCCCCACCTCCTCTGTCCATCCTTAGAGTTTAAGTCCAAGCAGAAGTCATGGGGAGAAGCCCCAACATCCTTAGAGTCCCTTTATCCTTGGGCATCCTTCCCGATGCAGTCATTATCTCCTGCTGGTCTGGAGGACAGGGACGGGTGAGATGTGAGATCAGGAACCCCCTTAGATGGACTTTCTAAGATCCTTCCTGTAAGGAGACCCAGGCTGCAGGTGGAGTCCGGCCCACATACCCTTTCCTGGGTCTGGGCATCTCTGAACCCCAGAGCCACACTGGGCCTGGGAGGTCAGGGGTGAACTGAGCTGGGGGCTGATGGGCTCTGTAACCAGGGCCTTTCGCTGAGGATGCAGCATAGCCGGGGCCAGGGAATAGAGCCTGTGAACAGAGACTGGAACAACCCCCATGAGGCCGGAAGGAGGAAGAGGGCACTAGCAGGGTGGTCCCGTGTCCTGGGAGAGGGAAGGGCCTTGTGTCCCCCTGGCCAGGCAGGCTCTTGGCTTCTATGGGTGCCCCAGTAATGGATGGGCTTATGGTATGGGGAGGCAGCAGGTGCGGGTGGGAGATTCAGGTATGGGCGCTGCTCTCCAGACCGAGGGGCCTGGAGGTGATGGCCACATCTCTCTTCAGGCACAGTCCCAGGGATCTATCACCCTGAAAATCATCCCGGCCACCCAGGAGGAGGACCGTTTAAAGGAGAGCAAGGTAGGGCTGGGTTGGTGGGGGTGGGGCGGGGCGCCGGCCTCCAGGCCGTCCTGCGGAAAAGGGTCGGAGGCGTTTGGGTTCGGAGTGATTCCTTCATTTGTGCAGCTTCCTTGAAGGTGCGTTTGCTGGCCCTTCTGAACAAGACTCAGTCAGAAGTTATCTTGATGAAGGTGGAAATCACGGCTGGAGGGGGGAGGGGAAGGTGCCCGGTGCTGACTCCGGGGTCAAGGAAGTCCCTGCCATGTGTGGAATTCTTCCTCGAGCCTGTGGTTTTTTTTGGGGGGGTGGGGCACCTCCCAGTGACATGTTCTCTTTCAGATTCTGGGGTCATGGAATGTTCATGACTTTGAGGGTTCCACAGGGCAACTGGGGAATGAGGCTTTCATTGCGCCCTGAAAACAGCTTCAGGAAGGTTCTGTAAGGCATTCTGGGCGGAGTTACTTAAAGGGAGAGCCAAGTATGGGGCGGATGATGTGGATGGAGCCATGACATCTGCCACTGTCACTGGTGACCCAGAGGCCGTCATGGCGAGGAGCCCAGGATGTGGCTTCATTGATGTTTGTGTTTGTGCTGAAGCCCCGAGGTCACTTAGCTGACATGACCTTCATCTTCAGTAGGTGGCAGGTCAGACACTGGGGGTCCACTTTCTGCTCGCCCTCCCTGCAGTGTGTGGGTGTAGGGGCATGTGTCAGGACAGCTGACGTATTGGCATCGGGAGACAAGTTGACATGGGGCCCAGCTGTTCATTTCCAGATTCTTTCTTCCTTAAATGTTTTTCCTCCTTCCCTTCCTTCTGCCACAGCTGCAATGGCCCTGGCTTGCACACTGGGTTGCAGGGCTTTCACTTTCAGTGGCGGCCTTCACACAGATTTTGTTAGTTGCTGGACAGGGAGCACAGGAGTAAGGCATTTGCCTGGCACGCACCCGACCCTGGCTCCATCCCTGGAACTGCATAGGGCCCTGCCAGGGATCACCTCTGAACAGAGTTGGGTAGCTGTTGGCCAATCTTCTCCCTCACCCCCAAATATGTACACACACTTGGTTGTGGTACTCGGGGTCCCAAATGGCTCCATCACCAGGAGCCTGGGGTGGAGACTCATATCTATAAGGCACATGCTCCCCATAGAGCTTCCCCAGCCCCATTTTTGGGGATTTTATTTATTTATTTTAATGAATCACTGTGAGCTACAGTCACAAAACTTTCATGTTTGAGTTTCACTCATACAATGATTGAACGCCCACCCCTCTACCAGTGCGCATTTCCCACCACCAGTATCCCCAGTATATCTACCCCTTCCCCATCCCACCCCTCCCCCTGCCTCTATGGCAGATAACGTTTAAAATTTCCCATCTTACTCTCTCTCTGGGCTGGAGCCATAGCGCAGTGGGTAGGGCGTTTGCCTTGTACGTGACCAACTCAGGTTCGATTCCTCTGCCCCTCTTGGAGCGCCCGGCAAGCTACGGAGAGTGTCCCGCCCGCATGGAAAATCCTGGCAAGCTCCCTGTGACGTATTTAATATGCCAAAAACAGTAACAACAAGTCTCACAATTTGTTGTGAGACATTACTGGTGCCCGCTTGAGCAAATCGATAAACAACAGAAGGACAGTGCTGCAGTCCAGTGCTACTCTCTCTCTACTTATGACCAGTCCCATTTTTGGATCCTTGAGAAATTGTGTGGTTCCAGTAGCCACAAATGCTGAAAAATCTTAAGAGAGAATAGGAGAGAGAGAGAGAGAGAGAGAGAGATTTGGGGACATTCCCGGTTATGCTTAGGGGTTACTCTTGCCTCTGCGCTCAGGGATCACTCCTGGTGGGGCTCGGGACCCTATGGGATGCTGGGGATGGTCGGCCGCGTGCAAGGAAGTGGCATCCCCGCCGTGCTCTGCAGCCTCACGAGAGTGGAGAGTACCATCGGGTGTACTCATCAGCTTTCTAGTCTCGAGCCTTCCTCGCTGTGTTTCTGTTCCTCCTCCTGGGGACCGGGAGCCTCCTTTGGCCTCACTGAACCTCTCTGCAGGTGTTCATGCGTGCCCTCTTCCACTACAATCCACGCGAGGACCGGGCCATCCCCTGCCAGGAGGCGGGACTGCCCTTCCAGTGCAGGCAGGTCCTGGAGGTGGTCAGCCAGGATGACCCCACGTGGTGGCAGGCCAAGCGAGTGGGGGACACCAATCTTCGAGCAGGCCTTATCCCCTCCAAGCAGTTCCAGGAAAGGTGGGTCTGGGGGTGAGGGATGTTCCGGGCAGGCTGGAGCAGTGTCTGTGGCAATGTCAGGGACTTCCATCCCTGTCCCTGCAGTAGAGACATGCCCAGCCTTGTCGCTGGATGTCTGGACCCCGGGAGCTGGGGTTGACTCCTGTCCCGTCAGCTCCTTGCGTGACTGTTTGCAGCTCAAATGAATTCTGGAAACCTGGCTATTTGATTCGAGGACATTTTGTCACACATCGAGAATGTGGAGAAATAAAATACAGAAACACAGAAGGAGAGAACAAGAATAAGAAAATTGTCCTGGGGCTGGAGCGATAGCATAGCGGGTAGGGCGTTTGCCTTGCATGTGGCTGACCTGGGTTCGATCCCCGGCTTATCCCATATGGACCCCCAAGCACCGCCAGGAGTGCTTCCTGAATGCAGAGCCAGGAGTAACCCCTGAGCATTGCTGGGTATGACCCAAAAAGAAAAAAAAAATTGCCCAGATTTGCTACTGTTCAGAGGGCAAACCTCTCACTTCCTGTGCTTTTAGTAGTTGTTTGTTTGTTTTTGTTTGGGGGCCATGCCTGGTGGTGCACGGGGCTTACTCCTGCCTCTGCATGCTGGGATCAGGGGTGCCAGCAGAGGGGCCTTGCCGCCGTGCTCTTGCTCCAGCCCCCTCCTCTGCTTTTTCCTGGGCTCGGTGCAGACAGAAACGCAGGCCTGGCTTTCTGGGTTTCAAACTCACTATTTCAACAGTGATGCTTCCCATGTGATTATTTCTTCCTCACTGTGTGCTGCTCCTGACTCTAGAATATTCCTTCAGGACCCAGACCTCCCCTTCCCAGGCAGCTGGTGTTTCTGAGCTGTCGGAGTGATGTCATCCCTCCCGGGGCAGCCCTGGCTGTCACCTGCCCTGGCCCTGGCTCTTGCTTAGATCTCCCCAGTGTCCCAGGGATGGCCCTCACTCATGCCTCCCCTGAGGGAGCACCAGCCCTTGCCCACTGGTGAGATCCAGGTGTCCTTGACTTTCCAAAAGGTTCTCTCTGATGCGTTTTCTGGCCTCTCCCCCTTGTGTCCCTGCAGGCGACTAAGCTACCGGAGAGCCAACGGCACACTGCCGAGCCCCCAGAGTCTCAAGAAGCCCCCGTGTGAGTAGAGGGTCAGGGATACCATGTTGTGGGGGCCTGGGGTGGGTGGGTGCCCGAAATAACCAGGTACTGGGACTGGAAGGGGTCCCTGAATCCTCCCCAGAACTTCAGGTCTCCTGAGATGCGGGGGGGGGGGGGGCCGCGCCGGGGGGTGGGGGATGGGGCTCAGTTTCTGGGGAGCTATTTTCTGAAGAGGAGCTGTTATGTTTGGGGGTTGTGGAAGGCACGTGGTAGGGGGTGCGGGGGGAGTTAGGTCTTCTCCCTGAATAGTGTGCCAGTCTCTGTGTCTGAGTGTGAGTGAGCCTGGGCGAGGGCCCATAGCACTCACCAGACCCCCAGGGGTCACTGCAGCCCGGCATGTGAGGACCCTGAGTTGTGGAGAGTCTGGGTGCGTGTTGGCAGCAAATCAGGGTACAGCCTCTGGGACTGGGAGTAGCTCCAAGCACATGTGCAAAGTTGGATCCCTGGCATTGCATGCAGTCCTGGGGGCCCCCGGGTACCCCTGAGTGTGGCCCCTAGCACCTCTGCACTTGGACAACACAGCCTGGTTGGGCCCCAGCACTGGGTGTGTAGAGCAGATTGTTACCACACCCCGCCCCTGTGTCCCCCTCTCAGCACCCGGCCCCCCCTGAGCCCTGCTCCGGAGGCCTGAAATAAAAGCAAGGGCTCCTAGTGGCTTTGATCTGGGATTCCGTTTTAACTGACTTTCATCTAGCGCACCTGCTCCCAGGGGCACTTGGCCCTGTGGGGAACCCCTGCCTCTACCCCCACCTTTTTGTCTTTTGATCCTCACCACAGCTTGGAGGACTGGAATTGGGGGCCTCCTTCTCCAGGAGAGAAAATAGGAGCAAGGGAGGGGGCTGGCATTCAGGGGAGACGTCCCCAGCGGTGACCTCTCTGGCCCTGGGTGACCAGCGCCCCACCCCCATCCCCTGCAGCTCCATGCCACTCCATCCCTTGCGCTCGCTCTCAGAGAGGGCAGGGCCTGGTGCTTCTGCGGGTGGCCCAGTGCCAGCTGCCCCCCGTACCCCGTGCTTAACCAGCCTGGCTGGGAAGCCATGAGCTGATGGCTCAGGGCCGCTAATGAGACCCACGCGGGAGGCTGCAGAGAGCGGTGGTGGGGGGGTTTCCTCCGTGCTCCGGCTCCCAGGTGTGCCAGAGGAGAGAAAGGAGGAGGGTTCCTTGGCGACGGAGGCCCACCATTTGCAGGGCCTCCCCGTCCCCTCCGCTAACCCTGTCCCATCTGTCTTTTGTGCAAACCGCAGACGATCAGCCTTGTGACAAAGGTAGGCCTGGTATTTGTCCCCGGGTGCATGGCCACAACCCCTCTCCTGTAGACTGGCGGGGGCTGGGGCTGGCCCCTCTGGCTCTTGGTACACAGCTCCCAGCTCTGCCAGCCCCACTGACCCGTGTCCTGAGATTGCAGAGCTCACTGGCTGGGTCCCAGTGGGGACAAGGGAGGGCTGGTTGTGGAGTGATTCCTCCTTCCCGACTCACCTGGCCCTGACGAGGAGGGCAGGACGACCTGGTGGGCCAGAATCCTTAGGGCTTAAGCACGGAGAGCGTAAGAAAAGCAAAAAACAAAATAGTTTTCAAAACAGAAGGACTTGGGCTGAGCCATAGCCCAGTGGGTAGGGGGCTTGCCTTGCATGTAGCCGGCCTAGGTTCGATCCCCGACCTTCCATTTGGTTCCCTGAGCCCTTCCAGGAGAGATCTCTGAGCACTGAGCTGAGTCAGCCCTGAGCACTGCCGGGTATGGCCCCCAAACAAAACAAACAACAAAAATAGAACCCAGAAGGACTTAAGGTTTTGGGGTGAACATAATCTGTGATTTCTTCTGAGCCCTCGTATGACGCCACCTCAGAGGAATGTGCTGGGCTCCTTGGAGGGGTCCAGCAGGACTCACTGCGATCCCCTCTGTTTCTCAGAGAACTGTGACTGTGAGGGTTACTTCAGAGGCCACTACGTGGGTAAGTGTTGGCACGGATTCTCCCCACAGCATCCCCTTCTCCCACTGGCTCCTGGGCTGGGGAGAGGCAGAGACCATATGAGCAGCTGGGCCTGCCGGGCCCCCACTGTGCTCACTGGGGGCCAGCGTAGGGCAGAATTGTGGCAGGAAGTTGGTGCGGACCATTACCCAGGGCCCATCTTACCTCTGTCACCAGCTTAGAGACGATTTAGTCAATGTCCATGCCAGCACTGGGCGGTAATAAGAGGCGAGTTCCACCTTCCCACCTTTGAAGTATGGTCTTTGATTTTGGTTAATCTTTTCAAGAAGGCTTTTATTTATTTATTTAGCTTTGTAATAATTATAATGATAAAGGCCCTCTATGAGGACTGAGGCCCCTGTGCTAGGACCTTCCAGGGCCATTCAGGCCCACTCAGGGCCTTGCACCTACTAGGCGTGTCCCCCAGCATCACTTGAGCTGTCCCCCAGCCCTCCCGAGCCCACACAGTTAACTTTTAATTTGGATGCAATTTCAGACTTGCTTCCAAAAGTATGGGAACTGTACCAGGAACACACCCAGATACTCTGCACCCGGATTTGCCAGTGAATAACACTTGGCCGTATTTATCACCATCTTTTCTTCCATAGGCTCATTCTGCCCCCAGTCATGTGAATTAATTAACTGCAGACATCATGTCCCTTCATCCCTAAACACCCCCACCTGTATTCTCTGAGGACAAAGATACTCTCTTAGAGAACTCAGGGCAGTTCTCACGTTGCTTTGCGGTAGTTCATCTGGACTGTTCTCTGTCCCACCATGGGTCGTTCAAGTTAAAATGCTGCCTTTTGTCCTGGTACTGGCCTCTGGACCATCTCCTCTGGCCCAGGGGCCAGTCTAGGCCATGCACTGCCATGGTCGATTTGTATCCCATCCCCTGGATGTGGGAATTGACATCCTAGGGTGCCATCCTGCGCCAGGTGAGATCCCTGTGCAGGGGAAGGTGACCTTGAACCCTGGTCGCTAGATGCTGGGTTTTCTGGTTTGCAGCAGCTGAGAGCTGGGAGCCCGTCAGCGCCTCCCTGATCAGGCTTGGTTGGGAGGGCCAGTGTCACCTCCATGAGTGGCCAGACGGGGAGGGGACGGAAACTGTGCTGGGGTCCCTGGGCCATAAGCCACAGCATCCCTCTGCCCAATGCTTCTCATCCCAGCTGGTCTTCGGAGGAGCTTCCGGCTGGGCCGCAGGGAGAGACGGGGCAGCCTGCAGGAAGGGAAGACACCCCCAGCCGCGGAGTCTCCTGAGCTGCTGACCTACGAGGAGGTGACCAGGTACCAGCAGCAGCCGGGCGAGCGGCCCCGCCTGGTGGTTCTCATCGGTAGGTCGCTCGGCCTGCGTGGCCAGGGAGGTGCTGGTTTCCTCCCTGGAGGGGCAGCGGGGGTAGGCAGTGGGGACTTGCAGGCGGGGCCAGCCCTTCCTTTGTTTCCCAGGATCCCTGGGAGCCCGGCTGCAGGAGCTGAAGCAGAAGGTGGTGGCTGAGAATCCGCAGCACTTGGGTGTGGCTGTTCCACGTAAGAGGACCCGGGTTCCCACACACACTTAGGTCTTTCCTGGGGCCATGACTCCCCTTCTCCATCACAGTCAGAAAAGTGCCATGGGACCTAGTGATGGTGGGAAGAGACTGGACCCAGCGAGGCAGACTGGAGGACTGACCGGTCTTCAGTGTAGGTAGCTCGGTAACTCAGAGTGGAGTCTAGGTAGCACGTGAGGCACAGCTCCGGCCAGATGCCAAGGGCCGCCCATCAGTGGGGCCGCACCAGCATCTCCTTCACAGCGACTGGCTCCTGGGACCACTGCCTGGTGGGGTGAGAGCAGGTCAGGGAAACCACCAGCCACACAGGAAGGCTTGGGAATTCCCTGCTGCTCCACGCAGCCTGCAGGCTGGTTGGGCGTGGTCCTGAGTCAGGAGGCAGTGGAGAGGCAGGGATCCCCAGGGAGGGAGATCTGATGCTGACTGGGGGGCAGAGGAAGAGATGGAAGAGATCCAGCAACCCTGCTAAGAGCCTCCATGGTCCAAGAAGAAGGGGGTGGTGTTGGGAGGGAACATCGTCTGGACTGCAGAGGAAGACACTGAGGCTCAGAGAGGTGAATGAATGCTTCCAGAGTCACGGGCAAGTGATGGGGTTAGGTCCAAGCCTGGCATTCTACCCCAGGTTCACTCCTTTAAAAATTTTTTTTAATTAAAAAATGATTTTCCCCCATATATAAACAGTTTTTTAAAAAAAACTTTTATTGAATCACCGTGAGATAGTTACAAGCTTTCATGTTTGGGTTACAATCACACAATGATCAAATATCCATCCCTCCACCAGTGCACATCCCCCAACACCAATATCTTCAGTATACCCCCCCCTTTTCTACCCTCCCCCAGCCTCCATGGCAGACAATATTCCCCATAATCTCTCTCTACTTTTGGGCATTATGGTTTGCAATACAGACACTGAGAGGTTATGTTTGGTCCTTTATCTAATTTCTGTACACATCTCCCATCCCAACCGATTCCTCCAGCCATCATTTTCTTAGTGGTCCCTTCTCTTCTCCAGCTGCCTTCTCCCCTTTGCTCATGAGGCAGACTTCCAGCTAATAAACACTGTTGTTTATAAAGTCACTCACAATGATTTGTTACAGACATTCAATATTCCAACCCCAATCCCACCACCATTACACTTTCCTTCCACCTTTGTCTCCAATTTTCCCAACCACTCCTTAAGCCTGCTCCCCTAGCAGGCCCTCAATAGTTTATTTTATATTGTTTATTATAAATAATTTGCTAACAGAACGATCAACAAATGTTTCCTTAGAAGAAAGCTAGTGAGGATTGTTGTATCTCACCCAGGCTCACTCTTTGATTTTGTGTTTTTGAACCCCAGACCTGGTGGCGCTCTGGGATTCCTCCTAGCATGATGCTCTCTGTACGGTGCTCAAGGGACCATATGGTGCTGGGGCAGTGAGGGTGTGTGATGAGTGAGGAAAGAAAGCTGGAGACAGCAAGCAGCAGAGGAGATCATGGGGACTTGGGCTCATCAGATGTGTTGAAAATGTCACAAGTGGGCGCATATGCTGCCCGAGCCCATGTGCTGCTTGTGCCCATATGGTTGCCAAGCTTGTGTGGTGCCCGCATCTCCCCTCTTGAGATGTGTAGTTTCATGCTTCCATAGCTAATGCTGGGGTGTATGTAGGGGCACTCTCCACGTATGGAGAAGCTTATGATTCTGTTTTTTTTTTCTTTTTTTTTTTCTTTTTGAGTCACACCCAGCAATGCTCAGAATTTTTCTTTTTTTCATATACACACACACACACACACACACACACACACACACACATATATATAGTAGGAGTACTGCTATTTGTTCATCCATTGATTAAGCTGATTGAATTGGGCATGAATTCCACTCAGGGGTTATTCTTGGATCTTCAATCAGGAATTACTCCTGGAGGTGCTTGGGGGACCATATGGGAGCCTGGGGATTGAACCTGGGTCAGTTGCGTGCAGAGCAAATGCCCTACCTGCTGTACTATAGCTCTGGCCCCAAGTCTGTGATTCTTTCTTGAGCACATTACTCTCCACTCTCTCCCACTCTCTCTCCCACCTCCCCTTCAAAAACTTCCAAACAAAATCTGTTTCACTGCACACACACACACACACACAAACCACCCCCCCCCAAAAAACAAAAACAAAAACCCAAAATGTCACAAGTGGACAAATGGAAGGCTTTTGTTTGTTTTCCTTTGGGGTGATACCTGGCGATGCTCAAGGCTGACTCTGACTCTGTGTTCAGGGATCATTTTTGACAGGCTCAGGGAATCATTTGGGGTGCAGGGGATTAAATCCAGGTCAGGCATATGCAAGGCAAATGCCCTACCTGCTGTATTATCGCTTTGGCCCAGGGCAAATGGAAGTTTTTTAAGGAGACAATGACTTGGTGTGGAAGGTTACCATGGAGAACTGAATTAAAAGCCACAGTGAAGTCATCTCTGTTGGTGCCTCCTTTGCTCTCAAAAGGAGTTCGGATTCTCCCTCCCTCTGGTGATTCTTTCAAAGCACGGCACTGGGCCGGGGCAGGAAGTCAGCAGTAGAGGAGCACCTGCCTGGCATGTCTGAGGCCCTGGGTTTCCCCAGCACCACAAAGAAAAGTAAAGCCCAGTGTCATAGGGGCGGTCCAGCAGTGTGGAAGGGCAGGCGCTTGGCAGGAGTCATCTCAGGCCAGCTTGCTGTGGGACAGTGGCGGTTCTTGACAACTCCAAACCTCTCCTCCCTCCCCTGAAAGATGGAGCTGCGGGGGGGGGGGGGGGGGGGGGGAGGGGCGGAGGCAGCTTTGGCTGCATCACAGAGGCATATAAGTCTGTGATGTGACTGACACTCAAACACTCACGGGAAGGAAGGGGTTGGGAAAAGTCTCTTCCACACGAATTTGCCTGGCTCTGGCAAGCTGAGCCACTCCCGCTTCTTAGACTCCCTCTCTCTCCCTTAAAGATACCACCAGGCCCCGAAAGAGCCACGAGAAGGAAGGGGTAGAGTATCACTTCGTCTCTAAGCAAGCCTTTGAGGCCGACTTACATCAGAACAGGTATGGCTGCATGACAGCCGGTAGCTCACTCCGGTGCGTGTGTGCATGTGTGTGTGTGTGTGTCTGAGTGTGTGCATGTGTGTGCATGTGTGTGTGTGCGTGTGCATGCATGTATGTGTGCATGTGTGTGTGTGCACGTGCGTGTGTGCATGTGTGTATGTCTGTGTCTCTGTGTGTGCATGTGTGTGTATGTGTGCATGCGTGTACACACAGCTGCTCCAGGTTCACCTGTGCTCCTGAGTGAGTTTCCACAGAGGCCGGAGATGTGGCAGAGCAGTTGGGTGGGGGTCACTGCCCTTCCTGTGTTATTTCCACAAGCCCAGGAACTAAAGAGTCTCCTGTCCCTGCCGTTGCAGATTCCTGGAGCATGGGGAATATAAGGACAACCTCTACGGGACCAGCTTGGAGGCCATCCGGGGGGTGTTGGCCAGAAACAAAGTTTGTTTGGTGGACGTGGAGCCTGACGTGAGTTCCAGGCCGGTTGGCATTTCTGGGGCGCCTGTACCATTTCACATTTGGTCCAGGGCACATGAGTGTGCGTGTGTGTGTGTGTGTGGGGGGGGGGTGGTGCAGTGGAAGCTGTCTCGACCTGAGACTTCTGGATTTTACTCTCCAGGAGGTTCTGAACTCTGGGTGCGCAGAGGCCTGGATAGTCAACCATGCCTGGAGTAGATCGTGCCACATTGAGGGTGGCACCAACAGGCCAGTTGGGACTCAAGGATTTAGAAATAGATGCCTAGGTTGGACTGGGCACAGCTGTACCTTCTCTGTGATCAGAACATGTGTGAACCTTGGCTTAGGGGAATCTGGTGGCAGGGGAAGGCAGCCAGGAAAATAGTGTGGAAGGGGAAAGGGAAGGAGACTTGATTTCAGAATGTGCTTCAAAACCAGTAGAGGCTGGAGCGATAGTACAGCAGGTAGTGCTCTTGCCTTGCATGCGGCCAACCTGGGTTTGATCCCCAGTACTAGTTATGGTCCCCTGAGCCCCACTGGGAGTGACCCCCAAGTGCAGAATGAAAAGTAAGCCTTGAGCAATGCTGGGTGTGCCCAAACAAGAAACCGCTTGCAGTTCTGCACATGCCTGTTGGGGACTTAACCACCTTCTTTGAGAACAAACTTAAAAGCTTTGCACTGGGGATACTTTTTTCCCCCACGTAGAAATAGATTTTGGATCTTTTGATATAGACTCTAGATTTTATTTTATAGAAGTTTTCTTGAGGCAGATTCCAAAAAGCGCATTCTTTCGAGGAGAGCTCATGAGTTTGGGCTTCTCAGGAGCCGTTGTTGAAGTCTAAATTTCAAAATTGTATTTGATAAGTAGCTCAGTTAGGTGCAACGGGGGGCAAATGGTACACTGAGCAGTTTAATCAACATTCCCAAAGGGAAGCCCTTACGTTGTAGATAAAACACCCGGATGAATGCTATAATTTGCAATCTGAACACCTCAATCACAGTCTCTTCATTTGCTCAGCAGACCTTTCCTTCTCCAGGTGTGATTGAGAACCCCAAGTTTGCATGAATGTAGACCAAATCAGTGATGTTTGCCGTGATTCCCCCAGGACCTGCTGGATCTACCCTCAGGAGCAGACAGGGGACAGGGCTGTCACAGATCATTAGACCTTCCGGGGCTGAGCTCAGAGAGATGAAGGCTTTGGAACCCTTAGTGTTCCATGAGTCTGATGGCAGTGGGGGACAAGGAGGCACTATGGTTCTACCGTGCTGAAGCCCATTCTTGCTTGGCCAGTGCCATCAGAGCCTTTGCCTGCTGAGGCTGGCTAGCAGACCACTGTGAGCGAGCATTCACAAAGTGCGTGGTAGTGTTCACTGTCTCACACATGTGGTTCTCCTGAACTTCTATTCTCAGGCGCTGAAACAGCTGAGGACCCCAGAGTTCAAACCCTATGTTATATTTGTAAAGCCCGCCATTCAGGAGAAAAGGAAGACGCCACCCATGTCCCCGGCTGGTGAGGACTCCGCAACCCCCCTGGTAAGTTGGCAGTTAGCTCTTTTCTGAAGGCCTGAAAGGGCTTGTGGCCGCTGCAGATAGGCCTGGTTTCTTCTTCAAGCACTTCCGTCTTGCCTGTGGACAGAGCCTTGACGGGAGGTGGCTGGCCACGACCCAGTGGGGCAGCAGGAAGTGGCTCCTGCTGCAGATGGAGGTGATTTTACCAGGACTCCTGCCTTCTGGCATGTGTTGGAGACCTGAACAGAGTGTCCTCAGCACGCATCTGTTGAACTCTTAGGCCAAACCCAAGCGTCCTTTGATAGAAACACCCACATGCAAGGTCACGCTCGATGCTCTTTTTTATTTGTTTTTGTTTTGTTTTGGGGGCCACACTTGACGGTGCTCAGGGGTTACTCCTGGCTCTGCACTCAGGACTCAGTCCTGGCGGTGCTCAGGGGAGCAGATGGGGTGCTGGGGATTGAACCCCAGTCGGCCACATTGCAAGACAAGCACCCCTCCCCGCTGTACCATCTCTCTGGCTCCATGCTCACTCCTCTCAAACCAGGTCAGACCATCAGTGAGAGGATCTGATGTTGAGATTAGCGCAGGGCACCATTCTCTGCGTTTCTAAGCCAGCCTTCTGTTGAATTGTCACGGAGTCCCAGTTCAGCCTGAGGCTGTCAGGAGCCCCACTTGAGACTCAGTCTTTGGCACAGCTTGGTGACTCAGTCTGTTCCTGACAGGGTCAGGGAGAGGAAAGTGTTGACAGTTGCTACGGGGGAGTCAGAAGCAGCCCAGTTCCAATACAGACTTTGCTCGCTGTCCCGTCTGGGGGCAGGGTCTTTGGCTCTCCACCCCCGCGCAATCCTAGTTCAGACCAATTCTGTGTTATAATTATCCTTGCCTATAAATTACCGAGAATGACTAAGCTGTGGACTCTATAGGAGCTTTAAAACTTTTCTTGTTTAGAAATCATTTTCTATTTGTTTTTGGGGGCCGTATCTGGCAGTGCTCAGGGCTTACACCTGGCTCTGCTCAGGGATCATGCCTAGCGGGACCCAGGGGACCATATGTGGTGCTGAGGAGAGAATCTGGGTCAGCTTTGTAAGAGGGAAGCACCCTAGCCACTGTGCTCTCTGGCCCCTCCCTTTTAAAAATCTTGAAGGGAACCCCTGCTTGGGTCTCAAAACCACTTAGCATGTTCATCAAGCTGGGGTGGATAGCAACAAGAATCAGAAACAGACTAGTTGCCTGACAGCCAGGTACAGTTCCAAAGATGATTGATTGTTGTCACAACAGTCACCGGTTGGGGTGGAATATTCTTTAGTCTGAAAAGTCTTATTTGGGGAATATTTGATCATAGAGCCAAATACAATGAATGGGTACGTGAAAATAAATCAGGAAATTAAAAAGAATTATGATTCCAAATTGGTGTCACACACAGAATATGCTGATAAACTCAAAGAGGTTCTCCTTAAGGAGAGGGGCTCTTGATTCATTTTTTTCTTCTGTGTTTTATGATATGGTTCTGGGGGAGGGGGAAGGGGTTAGTTTTAACAGCTCCACTGAGGTAACACATCTATAGCCCACAGGTCACTGATGTAAAGTCTGTCACTTGATGATCAGGAGAGCTGACCCAAAGGACATGCTTTGCATTGGGAGTCCCGGGTTTGATCCCCGCTCCACATAGTGGCCCTCTACCCCCAGCACCACTGGTAGTGGCCCCCCACAAAATAAAAAAAACAATCTTATAGTTTGATAGCGTATTCATAGAGTAATTTAGTCATCATCACAACCAATTTTAGAAGCGAAACCCCCAAAGAAATCCTGAGCCCATTAGCGTTCCCAGCCTGCTCCTCTTCACCCCCCTCTACACCGCCCCTCCGCCCCCCACCTCTGGTGGCCTCTTACCTGCTGTGCCCATTCTAGACGTTTCCTAGTGGCAGAAACACGCCAGATAGCTTCTGGGTCTGGCTTCTTTCATTGACTTTGTGGATTTTTTGGATGCCAGAGATGAGACCCTGGTCTTGTACCTGGGAAGCATGTGCTCTACCTCTGAGCTTGGGCCCGTCTTAATATTTTGTTGCTTTTTTAATTTTGGGCCAGACCCCTAACAGTTCTTGCTTTCTTGCAGTGCTCCAGAACCAGATGAACCCAGGCCTCCTACATGCAGAGCAGGAGCTCCAGCTCTTTGAGCTGTTCCCTCAATCCATGTTTTTAATATTATTATTATTATTTGTGTTGGCTTTTTGGGTTACATCGACAATGCTCAGGTATTACTCCTGGCCCTGCACTTAGGAATTACTCCTGGCAATGCTCAGGGGGCCATCTGGGATGCTGGGGATAGAACCTGGTAAACAAGTCAAACACCCTACCGATTGTACCTCCCGCCCCATGTTTTTTTTTTTTTTTTTTTTTTTTTTTGCTTTTTGGGTCACACCTGGCGGTGCTCAGGGGTTACTCCTGGCTCTGCACTCAGGAATCACTCCTGGCATGCACAGGGGACCATATGGGATGCTGGGAATCGAACCCAGGTCGGCCGTGTGCAAGGCAAACGCCCTACCCTCTGTGCTATCACTCCAGCCCCCCGCCCCATGTTTTTAAGATTCATTCCTATATCAGTACTTCATTACCCTTTTCTTTCTTTCTTTCTTCCTTCCTTTCTTCCTTCCTTTCTTTCTTTCTTTCTTTTTTTTGCGGGGAGACTTCCCATGTACAGTGCTCAGGGAACCCCGGAGCCCTTCCTCACAGTACTCAGCCAGCCTGGCTGGGGTGGTCCAGTGCTGTAAGGTTCAAAGCTGTGCATGCTGGAGCCTTGTGGTACCAGGGACCACCAGGACCACCTTGGCAGTTCTTGGGGGCCTTTAAGACGTCCAGCAGTGCTGGGGGGAGGCTGTGTGGTGCTGGGGACTGAACTTGGGTCCTCATGCATGGAAGCTTGTGCCCCCGACTGCTGAGCTGTAATTCTTTACTCATGGCTGAATCATTGTTCACGTGCGGGATGCCACGTGTGTATTCATTGTCAGTTAATGGGCATTTGGGTGGTTTCCACTTTAGCTACTGTGATGCCACTATGAATATTCATGGACACGTGTTCATGTGAACAGGTTTTCTTTCTTGCAGTGTGCATGCTGAGGAGGGCAGTTGCTGTCCTGTGTGAACTGGGTTTGATGTTTTGAGCAGCTTCTTGCCAGAAATGCTGTTGCCCAGCTGCTGTGGCACTGGCTGTTTCCCACAGCAGTATTCGGCGATCCGGCTCCGGCCCCCTCTGCACCTTCAACAGTACTTATTGTGTCGCTCTGATTCTAGCCCTGGTCTTATTGTTAAATGCTTTCTCATTGTAGTTTTTATTTGCATTTCCCTGATGGCTACTGATGTGGGGGCTCTTTTTGGGTGTTAATTGGTTACATACACACACACACATATTCTTTGGAGAAATGTCTGTTAAATACTAAATACTTTGCCTGATTCTCATTTTTATTTATTCTTTTTTTTTAATTTTATTTCTTGGGTCACACCCAGCGATGCCCAGGAGTTACATCTGGCTCTGCACTCAGGAATTACTCCTGGTGGTGCTTTGGGGACCATGCGGTATGCTGGAAATCAAACCCGGGTCAGCCGCATGCAAGGCAAACGCCCTGCCCGCTGTGCTATTGCTCCAGCCCCTCATTTTCATTTATTCTTACTTGTCTGCTTTTGTTTTTTGTTTAGGGGTCATACCCAGTGGTGCTCAGGGCTTATTCCTGGCTCTGCACTCGGGAATGACTCCTTGTGGGGCTTAGGGGCGCCTGTGGGATATCAGGGATTGAACCTGGGTCAGCTGCGTGAAATGGTGTCAGGGATGGATGCATGGCCACATGAAAAGTGTGACCGTCACTGGTGAGCCACACGTGGGTACCTGGTGACCCCAACTCTGTATTTGGAAGTGGGAGCCTTCTCACTTGGTTCATTTTCAATGATATTTTGGGCCATTCTGGGCCCTTTGTGTTTCCAGATAAATTTTAGTATCAGCTTTATCCATTTCCTTCTCCTCCTCCTCCTCCTCCTCCCCCCCCTTTTGTCTTTTTGGGTCACACCCAGTGGTGCACAGGGGTTACTCCTGGCTCATGCACTCAGGAATTACTCCTGGCAGTAGTCGGGGCACCATATGGGATGCTGGGAATCTAACCCGGGTCGTCCGCTTGGAAGGCAAATGCCCTAACTGCTGTCATCCTAGCACTATTTTCCTATTCTTATAGCTAAGATTTTAGGATTAAAGGAAGTTAATACTGCTCGAGGCCCTCCCGTTGATCGTCGATTTGCTCGAGCGGGCCCAGTAACGTCTCCATTGGAGACTTTGTTGTTACTGTGTCTGGCATATCGAATACTCTTGGTAGCTTGCTGGGCTCTCCGAGAGGGGCGGAGGAATCGAACTCGGGTCGGCCATGTTGGCCGCGTGTAAGACGAACGCCCTACCCACTGTGCTATCACTCCAGCCCAAAGGAAGTTAATAAGTAGCTGCAAAAAGAGGCAAGATGGGCTGGAGCAATAATACAGTGGAGAGTGTTTGCCTTGCACATGGCCGACTTGGGTTCCATTCCCAGCATCCCATATGGTCCCCTGAGCAGAGCACTACCCGGAGTAATTCCTGAATGCAGAGCCCGGAGTAACCCTGAGCGTCACTGGGTGTGGCCCAGAAACAAAAACAAAAAGAGACAAGGGGACATAAAGGCAACCAGGAAGTGACACAGAGGGTTTACCCTGCCAGCAGGTTCCCTGGAGAGAGGCCGTTTTTAGGCATGTGGCTGACATTTCAGGAGCCACAGGAAGGCCCGTGTCTGTGAGCAGACTGATCTGCTCATTCCCCGCCTGTCCCTGCCAGATGCTCTGTTCCAGGAGGCGGAGTTGCTCTGAACCTGGCCCTGCACATGCGTCCCACAGTCTCGAAGCCTGTGCTCCTCTCTGCACAGGCGGGCACCCGGGCTGTTGGCATACAGAGCCTGCCCCAGGCTCTGACCGGGGAGGGGGTGTTAAAGGGGGCCCTGGAGTCTGCTCTTTTCTCATACACCCTCCTTCCATCAGCCGACTTTGATGGACTGCAGGGCCCAGCCACATTTGGACAAGTTGCTCAGACCCTCAGCATCAGTATCTCTGGAGAACCTGGTGGAGCAGGGCTTGATGGGGCAGGGAGAGCTCCCCCACAGGTGAAAACCTCTTTGCTGCTAATGGGATTCTGCTTTCCTCTCAGCCAACCTATCTGGGCAGTCAGAGGCATCCCCTCTGGACCTCACTAGACTTCAATTCTTTGGCTCTAGCTGGATGTGGGTGGATCCCCCACCCCTCCCCACCCCCATTGTTTAGACCAGAAAGAGGGGAAGGTCTTGCTTTGGGGAGGAGGGAGAGGAGGTGTGATTGCAACTTGCAGGTCACACATTTCACTTGAGTTTTTTCAAAAGGCATTATTAGGAAGATTGAGGTGTTTATGGCCACAAATGACCCTCTGATAAATTTTCAAGTAGCTGGAAATTATGGTGGCTGGGGATGGTGCTGGGAGGTCTGGGAGGTTGGGGGATGGGGGAGGGGCCTGGGGGTGCTGCAGAAGCTGCAGGAAGGTCTTGAGTGAGCGTGCGGGTGGAGAGACAGGAGATCTGGTTGGCAGTGGGACGGCGGGTGAGAGCTGCCCTATCGGAGAGACCAGAGCTGGCCAAGGGCCTCTGTGGAAGGAGACACGACTGCACTTTCTCCCCCTTTGTAGTCTTTGTAAGAGCAGGTGACAAAAGAAATGGGTCAGGGTCTGGAACAATAGGACAGTGGGTAGGGCATTTGCCTTGCACGCATACAACCCGGGTTCAATCCTGATCATCCCATACGGTCCCCTGAGCACCACCAGGAGTAATTCCTGGGTGCAGAGCCAGGAGTGACCCCTGAGCATCACCGGATGTGACCCAAAAAGCCAAAAAAATAAAAAAATATATAAAAATTGATCCTCCATCTTGCAACAGCTCTTCTTAAGTGAGAGCTACTATCCTGACAGAGGACATCTCCTCGTGGGGGACAGAGCTCATCCTCTCTCCATGATTCCCTAAAACACAGACCATCTAGATGCAGAGGAGGGAGGACAGAAGAGCACTGGAAGTGGCAGAAGGCGTGTGACAAATTTGTGTTTTATAATTTGCTTAAAGTGGATCTGCCACTTCCCTTTATTCCAAAACCGAAGCCAATTTGGCAGCCAGAGGCCCTCTGGAAATTTAATTAATCTCAGGTGCTTTGAAATGAAGCGGGGTCAGTGCAGTGGACATAGGTGAATCACTGGCCATACTTTTTGGTTTAGGGTTCAGGAAAGCAGTGTGATGAAAGGAATCAGGAACCCCAGGAAAATGGGGGGGGTGTTGATCAGGTTGTCCTAGAATGTTCTTAAGAAACTGCATGTCTGCCAGGCTATTTGGCCCTGGTGCAAGGAAATGAAAAGAGAAATTGACTTTGACATGATGAATTTGAGTCTTCAGAGGGTATTAAAATGCCCCATCTTTCCACCTTAGTTGGTTCAAGAAATGCTTGCTTTTCTTTTTATATAGTCAGGATTTTTTTTGCATGGTGGTGGTGAGGGGACTTCTCCAGTGGTCCCCATTGCCACCAGGACAACACCCAGTGCTGTGGGTCGGGGGGGGGCATGAAGTGCTGGGCATTGGACCCTGGGTCCAGTGTCCATCTAGCACACACTCATGCCCCTGGAGCTTCCTCCCTATTTATAGATTTTTCCATGTAATTATTTACTCAAACAACAGAACCCTCTTTCCTTGGAAATGCCTTTGGATCAGGAATTGTGATAAGGACCTCTAGATACCCACGTGGATACAGCACCCCTCAGCACATTGTACCCTGGTCTGCAATTGACAGGTCCTCATGAGATCACAGAACAATGATTATGTCTACTGTGTTAACGTTCTTAGAACCTTGATCAGCTAATGAAGGGATGGGAAACTTTTTTCTGTCCTCAGCCATTTGGGCATTATATAACATCACTCGGGGCCACGGGATCTAGGCAGCCTCCGGGGTCTGTCCCGTTAGGGACCAGGGCAGGGCCCATGATTTCTTGGGCCTCCTACAGCCCACGGGGCTGAACGTTGCCTAGCTCTGGGCTAGTGTTACTATTCTACCGTTGGCTGATAATGGCCATTGACGTCTGTGAAAGGCCAGGACATGGTTCAAGAAAAAGGTTCTCAGCTTCCAGGCACACCATAACCAGCCCCTTTCCTTGCAGGATGAGGAGCAGCAGGAGATGGCTGCGTCTGCCGCCTTCATCGAGCAGCATTACGGGCACCTGCTGGACGCCGTGCTAGTGAGGGAGGACCTGCAGGCGACGCACAGTCAGCTCCGCGCACTCCTAGAGAAGCTGAGCAAGGACACTTATTGGGTCCCCGTTAGCTGGGTCAGGTGACTCTCTCGGGGGCCACCCAGACCGGCAGACCCTGCAAACCACCTCTTCAACCGTGTTACCCCGTGTTACCATCCAGGAACCTTGAACACAGAGAGGGGCAGAATGTTCCATCGAGTCTGTCACCAGGAAGCATCTAAGTGGGGAGTCTCATGTGTTGGTTTTTGTCCGTTGCTTATCACCAGCCCCTTGGGAGCAGAAAACATGAGTGGAAAGGGGACATGTTGCAGAGTCACATTTCATTCATTAAAGTGTCGTGGGCCGCACGGCCCTGATTAGTGTGCTTGAGTTCAGCAGCTGTGTCCTGGTGGGGGAGAGGCAGTGGATGGCGTCCACAGGAAGAGCCGGGATGTAGCTTTATAAACAGATTGGTACTATATTTATCCGGCTTCGTTGGGAGCTGAGTTCTTTGAGCCCGGGTGTTTTCCGTGCAGAGTAGCTGCAGTGTCGGTGCAGGGAAAGTCGACTCTGGCATCTGTTGGCAGTAAGTGCCAGCCTGACTATGGAAAACCTGGTTCTCTGCCTCACTGAATGGCACGCGTATGTATTCACATGCATGCATGCACACAGTCCCCTTTTTTCTTTCTCTGTCTCTCTCTGGAAGATTGAAACATTGTCCCCACCCCCTGAGAGACTATTCTAGAATACGAGGGTGTTCCAGGGACTGAAGAGAGAGTGAAGTTACGTGTTCCTTTCTAATGCCCAGGCTCCTCCAGCTCAGCCCCTTGCTTGGTCCTACTTGCTCTGTTCCCACAGCTGTCCCTCTTGTTGAAGGTTTGTCGCTCTGCAGCAGCCTGGCCTCACCTTCAATGATAAAGTCCCTGCTGCTGCTGGAGCTCAGGGAACTGGATGATTCTCTCTTAAGTCCCAGTGTAGCCCCGACAGTCAAATCAAAGCACAAAGAGTCGAGCATGGCCCTGGTGGTTGGTCTCAATGCAATGTGCTTAATGACACACAAGATTAGGGACACAGCAGTTGGGAGTAGTTGTTCTTTTCTCCTCCTTCTCCTTCTCCTCCTTCTAGTCCTTCTCCCCCCCCCCCTCCTCCTCCTCCTCCTCCTCTTACCCAGTGATGCTCAGGGGTTACTCCTGGCTCTGTGCTCAGGAATTACTCCTGGTATTGCTTGGGGGACCATATGGGATGCTGGGATTGAACCTGGGTTGGCCTCAGGCAATGCAAACGCCCTAACGCCCTACCCACTGTACTATTGCTCCGGGTCCTTGTTTCTTCTTAAGAGCCAGTCAGTGTTGGTCTTTATTTTGTAGGGGATCTCTCCCAAGACCTTGGTGTGCATTGCATTGACAAATACCATGAGCCCCTGATAGGTGGTTCTTTTCCCTGTTATAGAAATGAGAAAAACAGGCCGAGGACAGAGAAAAACCACCAGCTCCCGAAGCTTTATAGAATGACAGAGCTGTATAGCATTTGTGGGTGAGTCTCCCTCAAAGCAGAGATGGTCCATTATCATTGTACTACACCGCCTTATTCTTCCAGTTCCACAATCAAGGTGACCCACTAAGTGGTTTGTGGGGATGTGTTCATAATAGCCAGAATGTACATTTGTATTCAGTGTTAGCTCCTAGAGGATCATGTTCTTCAGACCTTTCCAGCAAATGGGCGATGTCCTCTTTGAAGAGAGAGTACGTACTGAATGCTTTTTCTTTTTTCTGTGTGTAAGAGCAGTCCCAGGACCTCAGACATGTACAGCCTACACATTCTGGATTTGTTTTTTTGTTTGTTCTTAGGCCACACCTAGCAGTGCTCAGGGCTTGCTCTTGGCTCTGTGCTCAGGCATCACTCCTGATAGGCTGGGGATCAAATTCAAGTCAGCTGCATGCATGGCAAGCACTCTGCGTTGTACTCTTAATGCTCTGCCCCTCATTCTGGATTCTTGTTTTGTTTGTTGGGATACTCTCAGCAATTACTCCTGGCTCTGTGCTCAGGAATCACTCCTGGTGGTACTTGGGGGACCATATGGGATGCCGAGGATCAAACTCAGGTTGGCTGCGTGCAAGGCAAGTGCCCTCCCCGCTGTACCATCTCTCCAGCCCCCTCATTCTGTATTCATATCCAGTGAAATGGATCTCACAGTTCCACAGAGAACCCGGGCGAGGAGGGTAACTGCCTCTGGTGGTGTGAATGACACATGTGAAGTGTATTTTACAGAGACTGGATCCAAAGTTAGCTCACAGGCAAAAACCAGCTGAGTTCAAATGACTCTTGAACAATCTCCCACCGGAAGCACCATGGTGGAGCTTCCCAAGGGCAGGGCAGTGGTCAGCCACCAGCTGACTTCCTTTTTCATACTACTCAGCAGACATTTTCTACTTCTTACTCAGTATTCTTACACTCTGCTCAGATGAAAGGGTCATAATTCTCTGCGTGTGTACCATGAAGTAAGGCATGAAAAATGCAATGCCTGCTTTAGCTCCTGTCGAAGGACTTCCCCACCACTGAAGACAAGCGATCCCTACAGCTGTTTGTAAGCTACTAAATCTGTGCGAGCAGACTGGTTAGGACTCCAGAGATGGGCCATTTGTAAACACGTCGGCTGTTTGTGAAAAGCAGAAAAGTGTTGTTTAAAAAAAGGAAAGGAAACTTGTTATAGATTGGTAGAGCATGCATAAAAGTGGCCCCACTTTTTCTAGCAGGACGTGTTTTAAGACACACACAGATATATTTTTGGTGTTTTTTTTGCCAAATATATATCATTTTGGGTTCCTACACCAAGGTATCTCCTTGTTGGAGACTCAGGATGTGCCCACCTCCACGATGGGCCTCCAGCCTCAGGTATCTGTGTCTACAAGATCAAGTGTGGATTCTTGGGACTTACTAGGTTGGATGGTGGGTGGGGGCATGTGCTCGCCTTCTACCCATTCATGTCTCCCTGGCAGATGTTACTAATTGATCCCCCTGCTGCACGTCAGCACTGCTTTTGATTTTTTTTTTTTGTGGTGGGTGGTACCATACTCTCTCTTGCTCAGGAGCTGATTAGGACTGATCCCTGGCAGTGCCCGGGGGACCAGATATAGTATCAGGGATCTGAACCAGGTAAGTGGTGTACAAGGCAAGTGCCTAAGCCCCTGTATGTGTTCTCTCTCTCTCTCTCTCTCTCCCCCCCCTTTTTTTCCTTTTCCTGGGTCACGCCCAGCGATGCTCAGGGCTTACTCCTGGCTCTGCACTCAAGAATCACCCCTGGTGGTGCTTGGGGCGCCATTTGGGATGCCACAGGTTGAATATCTGGGTCAGTCATGTGCAAGGCAAATGTCCTACTCACTATCACTGTGGCCTTGTCTAGCCTTTGCTTTTGATCTTTTTGTTTTTTTGGGGGGGGCCATACCCAGTGATGCTCATGGGATACTCCTGCCTCTCCACTCAGGAATTCCTTCTGGCGTGGCTCGGAGGACCATATGGGATGCCGTATGTTGAACCCGGGTTGACTGTGTGCAAGGCAAGTTCCCTACCCGCTGTACCAATGCTCTGGTTCTTCTTTTAATCTTTCAGGACATAATAGTGCCAATTGAGCAGAACCAGCAAGGGAGTTAACCCTCTTGACCCCCCTCTGTCCAGTGATCTTCAGCCTTCCCTACACTTCCCTCCCTGCAGGAGACACAGGGTGTTGTTTAAGGAAGTTTAAGGAAGGTGAAGTAATTGCTCCTCCCTCAGCAGTGCCCAGCTACATTAGACAGCAGCCAATCATTCTTGTGCCATCGCTTTCAAACACATACATGATAGAAGACATGGCACATTGAATCTTGCATGCACTTATCCAGGGACAAGTTGTTTATGCCACCAGACCTTAGGATCACGTGTGCCACACGTAGGATATATGTGCCACACCCGTTGGTGATTTACTTTAGAAGTATAGAGCAGCATGTGCACAAAGCCCATTCTGAGTGACACATCTGAGAACCAATAAGCTACTCCCTCTCTGGTGTGGGGGTCAGTGTCTCACTCCACTCTTCCCCTGAGTTCAGAGAGTAGCCCGCAACCTTGACTTTCCAAAGCCAGGCTTGTGGTTTCAGAAAAGGTGATGTAGAAGGGGACACAGCACTTAGTGAGGGCCAGAAACAAAGCACATTCCATCTTGCATGTGTATCAGTAATTGGGGTGCAGGGGTGGGGGAGAAAGACATTCTCAGAGGAAGAGAAATGGCCAGAATTTGCCAAGACTTAGTCTTAAGGAGTGGCTGTAGGAAGCTTTTCCAACAGAAAGTAACCCGAGAAAAGAAAACTCAGTGCCAGAATGATAGTACAGCCAGTAGGGCACTTATCTTGCACGTGGCCAACCCAGGTTCGATCCCCTTTATCCCATCTGGTCCCCTGAGCACTGCCAGGAGTGATTCCTGAGTGCAGAGCCAGAAGTAAGCCCTGAACTACACTGGGTGTGGTCCCCAAACAAAACAGAACAAAAAAAGAAAGGAAAATACAACAAAAGAATAGGTAAAACTAAGGAAATAGGGGTTGGGGAGACTGTCCATAATGCTGGATCCCCGAGTTCTGTCCCTGGAACTGGAATTGCATGGTACTCCAAGCTCCAGGCTCTGTCAGGGCCAAGTGTCAGACCTGCATAACTGGATTATATATCCATGGGCACGACCCTGGAGCCCCCTGAGTTCTGCTTAGGACCCCCTCCACACCAAATAGAATTCAATAGAGCCATCTGTTTGTCACTTCTTGATTTTCTTTGTGTATATTTTTTGATGGAAGCAAAAGTTATACTATCTGATATGGTGCTCAATGTATATGTAAAGGAAATACATAAGTAACATAAAATTTTTTTAAAGAAAGAAAAGACAATAAAAAGATTAGGGTTGGGGAGAAAGTTCAAAGGGCTGGAGTTCATGCTTTGCATGCAGGAGACCCAGTTTCTTTGTTTGTTTGTTTTGCTTTTTGGGTCATACTTAACGTTGCACAGAGGTTACTCCTGGCTCATGCACTCAGGAATGACTCCTGGCAGTGCTCAGGGGACCATATGGGATGTTGGGAATAAAATCCGGGTTGGCAGCGTGCAAGGCAAATGCCCTACCCGCTGTGCTATCACTCCAGCCCCAAGGAGCCCTGGGTTTAATCCCTGGTCCCTTACGTTCCCCTGAGCACCATCAGGTCTGTTCCCCCACCATAAAAAATAAAACTATAAAACTGAATGAAAGACAAATTATAGAATGGATAAAAAGTATGAGGACCCTGGAGATTATTCAAATGGTAGAGCAGATGTCTAGTATGTGGGAGGCCCTGAGGTCACCTGCAGTCCCCCACGACAATGTATGCACTGCAGGGGGGAGCCACAGTGTCCCCTGAGCATCTGCACCTTTGGGCAGAGCATCATTGGGAATGGCCTGAGCCAAGGCACTTCTGGGTGTGGCTCCAATTAAAACAAAACAAAACACGCCATAGCCACTCTGCCAGCTCTAAGCCACACAGGCAGGCTGACAGTGATACCTTGCACAGAAGCTTAAGAAGTCTCTGGGCTTAGGGGCTAGAGTGATAGCACAGTGGGTAAGGCGCTTGCCTTGTACTCGGCCAACCCCGATTTGATCCCTCGCATCCCTATGGTTCCTGAGTCCTAACAGGAGTGATCTCTAAGAGGAAATGGTCAAAAGAGGGGCTGGAGTGATAGTACAGTGGGTAGGGCATTTGCCTTGCATACGGCCAACCCGGGTTTGATCACCAGCATCCCGTAAGGTCCCTTGAGCACCGCCAGGAGTGATTTTTGAGTGTAGAGTCAGGAGTAACTCCTGTGCATTGCTGGGTGTGATCCCAAAAGCCAAAAAAAGAAAGTGAAAATGAGTAAAAGATGTTTAGAGACATTTCACAGAAGACAGCCCATTAGCATGTGAAGGCTGTTCATTGACCATTAGAGAAAACTCTTCATTAAAACCACCGGTGACAAAGAAAACAAACAAACATCAGTGATGTTACTAGACGTATCAGAGGAGCTGAGAGTGGACACGGTGATGCTGGTGAGGACAGGGAGAAATGGGGACACTTGCCAGTGCAGGTGGAAGTGTAAATGCTGCTACCATTCTAGAAAGAGTTTCATAGTTCCTTTTTTTATAATTAAAAAATTGTATTTCCTTTTAAAATGGACTTGCCCTCTGACCTCATAGATCCTTTTTTTATAATTAAAAAATTGTATTTTCTTTTAAAATGGACTTGCCCTCTGACCCAGCCCTTGTGCTTTGCAATATTTACTCCAGCCAAAACAAACTTATTTTCATGCAGGAACTTGTGCACAAACACTCATGGCAGTTTTGTTTATAATTTTTTTTTCAGTTTTGGTGTCCCACCTGGCAATGCTCAGGGGTCACTCCTGGCTCGACAGTCAGGAATTACTCCTGGCAGTGCTCAGGGGACCATATGGGATGCCAAGGATCAAGCCCAGGTTGTGTGCATGGATGGCAAGTGCCCTGCCTGCTGTACCATCTCCCCAGATCCATAACTCAATGTGTTTGGGTACCTTAAATAAAACTTACTCTTTTTTTTTCTTTTTGGTCGCAAGATTTATTGTTGTATCCTAAGAATGAACATCAAAACCACCCAGGAATATCTTGAAATTCTAAGCAGTTAAGAAAGTCTATTACTTCTCTTGGAAACTTTTCCCACGGTGAGTAATCTTGTATTCAGAGAGAAGAGGGAGGGAGAAAGGGAAGGGCATCAATTACACAGAACCGTTCATAGGTTAGCCTGAGCCATTTATCCTTCTCCCCAGGCAAAGAAACACCACAGGTAGCCCTCAGCAGTGATGTTAAGGAGTACAAAATGCCCACAACAATTGGACTTCTGAATAGTGGCAGACACACATGATGCTACTGTGGCATCATATGGAAACCATGAGACCTCCTCTACATGTCTGACAGAACCAATTATTCCCCCTTAGATTCGTGGATATCTCAAAGCTGCTGACGAAGGACAGTCGTTTCTCATTGTAGGGGAGAGAAATGCAGTCCACGAGACTGAATGAAGGGCCAGTCAATACAGAGAAGGACAACAGTTCCTGACTCATGGGGCCCCTCCGTCTCCATCGATAAGGATTCTTGAGGCTTTGCAAACAACCCTGATCACCGGTTTCTATGAAAGAGCAGCTGCATCAGACATACCTATTCATCTTGGGCGAGAAGATACGTTGTTGTATTTCGGATGTAGCGTCTTGAGTTCTAGAAGTAAAACAAAATCAAAGATGTATTAAAGGAAGTTGCAATTCTCAATTCTAAGGCTGTCTTAGGAAAGGCTTATAGACCAAGGTCAGGGAATGGATGTTTTTATTGCTCCAGCCCGGTTTTTTTTTTCTTTTTGGGTCACACCCGGCAATGCACAGGGTTACTCCTGGCTCTGTGCTCAGGAATTACCCCTGGCGGTGCTCAGGGGACCATATGGGATGCTGGGAATTGAACCTGGTTTGGCCGTGTGCAAGGCAAACACCCTACCCGCCGTGCTATTAGGAGTGGATGTTTTTAAATACACTGCAGTGGCCCACACCAGTCATCTGCCCATATCCTCTCTGGCTGTACCTTTTGGAATTAATTAAGAAACGAGGGAAGAGGCTATTGGTTATTTCCCAAAGCTGGCGCCTATGGGCTCTGCTGCCGAAGTGAGCGCTTTAGCTGGTGGCTGCTGTTCCTGACAGTGATGGTTGCTTTTCCCATGACCACCCCCTTGCAGCTTAAGGAGTTTCATCTCGGTGTGGATGGACCCACATACCTGCCAATCTAGCTCAGCAGACTTTCGGTCGTAGTGGGGTTTTCGATCACCAAGCCTCTTCAGAATACCCTGGTTTTCCATAGTGATTCTCACTAACTCCCGGTTCCTTGTTTCTCTGTTTAAGCTGAAAAACACACAATGCCATGATGGGCACAGGGTAAAATTCTCCTTTTGGATGGAGTTAGGAGAGATGAGGCTATGAGGGTTTTATTGTTGTTTTTGTTGTACACCTGGCTCAAAAGTTACTCCTGGCTCTGTGCCCAGGAATCAATTCTGGCAGGCCTCGGGGGCCATCTGGGATGCTGGAGATTGAACCCAGGTTGGCTGCATGTAAGACAAATGCCTTTCCTGCTAGACTATTGCTATAGCCCCAAGTATGAGGTTTTAAGCCCACACCAACTCTTTTTTTTTTTTTTTTTTATTTTTTTTTTTTTATTAGTGAAACAACATGAGGTACAGTTATAGATTTACAAATTTTGTGCTTGGATCTCGGTCATACCACGATCAAATACCCATCCCTCCACCAGTGCCCATTTTCCACCACCAGGATAATATCCCTCCCCCCCATCCTCCCATCCCCCCATCCCCCCCTGCCACTGTGGCAGGGCATTCCCCCCTGTTCTCTCTCTCCTCCTGGGCGCTGTGATCAGCCAAAGAGGCATTGAGTGGCGAACATGTTCAGTCCAGTCTACTTTCAACCTGCATCTCCCCTCCTGGGAGGATCCTCCAAACACCCTCCACTTGGCGTTCCCCTCTCCATCTGAATTGTCCTTTCCCCTAGAATACCCAGCTGGCCTCTAAGTTATGGAGTAATTCTCCTGGTGTTGTGGGTATTAATCTCATATTTTATTATTTTATATCCCCCAGATGAATGCTATCTTTCTATGTCTATCCCTCTCTTTCTGACTCATTTCGCTTAGCATGATACTTTCCATATTGTACCACTTGTATGTAAAGTTCGTGATTTCATCTCTTTTAAGAGCCACATAGTACTCCATTGTGTAGATGTACCAAAGTTTCTTTAACCAGTCATCTGTTCTTGGGCACTCAGGTCTCTTCCAGTTTCTGGCTACTGTAAAGAGTGCTGCAATGAACAGACAAGTGCAGATGTCCCTTCGGCTACACGTTTTTGCCTCTCTGGGATATATTCCCAGGAGCCCACACCAACTCTTGGTCGGGACCAGATCATCCTCAAGAAGCCCAGACTGGAAAAAAGCTTAGGTTGGTGGTTCCCAGTCCCACTGCACATGACAAGATTCCACATCTTTGGGACCAGAGCCATAGTCCAGTGGGGAGGGCATTTGCCTTGCATGCAGGTTCAGTCCCTGGCATCCCATATGGTCTCCAAGCACTGCCAGGAATAATTCCTGAGCACAGAGCCAGGAGTAACCCCTGAGCATTACCAGGTGTGGTCCAAAACACAAAACAAAAGATTCTACATCTTTGGTTTGGAGGTGGGGGGGGGTTCAAGTCTGAGAATTTTGTAAAAACTCCCCAAGGATGTTTCTAGAAAACAGGATTGAGACCCAATTTACCATTGGCAATGGGTAAATCACATAGAGGCTGAGAGATCAGGTTCATGCTTCGACTTTCAGGGTCTTGTATGCAAGAGTAAAGGAAAGTCCTGGTGACATCCACCTTACCAACACGTACCCCCCCCCCCCCCCTTCTTGCCCTGGTAACACTGTTTGCTTGAGCGGGCCTCCTAAGGTCTCCATTTTGAGACTTGTTGTTACTGTGTTTGGCATATTGAATATGTCATGGGTAGCTTGCCAGGCTTTTGCTGTGCAGATGAGATACTCTCGGTAGCTTGCTGGGCTCTCCGAGGGGGCGGAGGAATCGAACCCGGCTCAGCCAGGTTGGCGGCACACAAGGCAAACGCCCTACTGCTGTGCTATTGCTCCAGCCCTTGCCTTGCACTAAACCTGACCACACTGCGGAGTCATTCCCAGCAGTGACCCTGAGTTCTGTAAGGGCAGGAAATACAGAGCTGTTTTTCCTCTAGATTTATAGTGCTGAGCACATGGTAAGGGCTAGGAAAAACATGTGGAACTGATTTTGAGAATTCTTTGCCCATAGTTACAGCTCAGGCCTTCACTCTACAAAAGTCGACTATGTTTTCTTGTAATGGATGAACTTGAAATAGGACGCCAGAAAGTCTCTTAGTAAAATAAAGCTTAGCTCTTTAAACACCAGAAACGGTCCCTTCTGGTGAGTCCTTCCCCCTCCCCCCCTTAACGTGGCCTTTGGTTAGCCCTCAAGATAACTCCTCTGCAGCCTCCCTTCCCCCTCCCAGGAAAACCTCCCCCTGAAATCCAGCCAGGGGGAAGTTACACCCAACACCCCTTAAATGAAAGGCAACAAACCTTTTGGAAAAATACTCATTCCAACAATCCACCTGCGCAGGCCCGCGATGAGCATTGGCGATTTTCTGACACAGTTGCTTGTTTTCATATTCAATTTTGTCGATTTTCTTTTGCTCACACTGGTAAGAAAGCCCACCCCAGCAGAGTGACATCAAATATGGAATCACGGGGCCCCACTGCCCCTGGCACTGTAGGAAAGTGGGGGCAGACTGAGGCCCGAGGGGGAGCAGCGTGGTGGGTAGGAGGGGGTGGTGAGGAAGAGTGTGAAGGCATCTTTGGGGTAGCTGGATATGGCCAAGCTTCTGGGAAGGGCCTCTGAGGAGCGGAATAGAGGCCAGAGGACACAGCAGACGCGGGGACCATACCTGCATCTTGCTCAGTTTCAGAATGTGGTTTGTGTGTGCTGCCGGAGGCTTGGTATCTACGGTGGGCTTCACTGGATGAGGACAGGAGAGGATGGTTAGGGACGTGAGTCCCCTCAGAAGCCTCAGGAAACCCAGCCACAGTCTAGCCAGCAGCCCCACTGATCACTCCTTTAGAGAGTTTCAGATGAGGAGCTGGAAGATCGTGGCAAGGGTTAGAGCACAGCTTATGTGCGCTGGAGCCCCGGGCTGGAGTCCCAGCAATGTTGAGGTGCCTGAGTTCTGTGGGGAGCAATCACTGAGTTGGAAGTTGCCCCTAAGCACTATTAGGTGTGGATGGACCCCAAACTAAACCACAATGTTAAAAGCAAATAAACATGGGACCAGAGAAAGAGCACAGCGGACAGGGTGTTTGTCTTGCACGCCGTCAACTGGGTTCAATCCCTGGCATCCCATCTAATCCACTGAGCACCGCAACCAGGAGCAATTCCTAATGCATCGCCAGGTGTGACCCCCCCAAAACAAAATAGATAAAATACATGCAATTTCTCATAAAAAAAAAACCACCAATACTATTTTGAGCCATTTTCCATTGTGACCTCAATTCAGTTAAGGAACTTTAATTTCTCAAACTGACAACAGGGCTAGAAAAAGTGAAATTTGCAGAAAAAGTTTCTTTGAACCCAAAGAAAGGGCCCCCCACCCCTTTTCCCACAGGGCCTCCTGCCTCTCAGCAGGGGAATCCTCCCTTCTTTCCCCTCAGCTTTAAACCATTCACAGTAGTGAAACTGACACCTGGCCAGGTGAGGGTCGGGTGACTTGCAGGTGGCCCCCGCATGCCTGGCCCAGTGGCCCACTTACCTATCTGTATCCTATTTTTGTGAAATATGTAGTGGCCAAAGTCCAACTTCTTTCTGAAGGCTGTGGTCTGTCGATGGTTTGAGACGATGACAGGGTAGGCTAGGTAATCCAGGGAACTGTTCATCTTCTCCTCCTAGACTCCCTTCAGAAGTGAGATTGCAGTTCCTTGGTGAGGCACTGAGAGGCCTCCATGCTGAGTTGTCATAGTGACATAGTTATGACATCAGGGACAGAGCTCAGGGAGGGCGGAGGAGCAGCAGGGCATGCCCAGGTAACTCTGCACTTCTCCTTGGAAGTAAGCCAGGCCCACATCAAGATGAGGGAAGCTTCCCCACCTCCCGGGAACACCAGCCTGACGGAGGTAATGGTCGTGGGAGGAAGGGGGAGTAGGGAAGGTGTGTGGGAAAGGCCGTAGCGGGACCTGCAGTCTAGCCTTGTTAGGTGCCCTGGACTAGAAGCTAAGTCATGGGAGGCCAGGTTTGAGAGGCAGTAAAAAAGGACCTGAATGATCACAGTTTGTCGATTTGTTCATTTTGCAGATGCAGGAAAATGAAGCTCAAAACAGCACTTGGCAAGTTAGTGTCAGAGCTGGGATGCTGGGGACTATATTTGCTCTTGGCTAGTGAGGGTGGGGGTCACCCAGGGAAACTGTGTGCGTGTTGGAGGGCAGAGGGCTCTGGGGGGGACTACGTGGACAGTCTTACTCCTGATGGCTCCTCAGTGAGAGGCTGCTGACACCCAGTGTCTTCTCAAGGTATTACAGCTGCTCCAGCAAGGGCTGCAAAGGCTCCTGTTCTCCTGTGCGTTCTGTCCCTAGTGGGGGCTTAGTGAGTCCTTCAAAGCGGAAAGCCTCCACGCAGTTTTCTCTTTACTGTGACCCTTGGGATCCACTTCTGTTCCAGAAGCAAGTTCTTAGTTTTACAATGGAGAAAGGTCAGGGACCTGGAGCAATAGGATAGTGAGTGGGCAGGGTGTTGGCCTTGCATGTAGCTGACCTGGTGTTCAATCCCCAACATTCCGTATGGCCCCCCAAACCCTGATTGTTCCTGCACTCAGGAACAATCCCTGAGTGCAGAGCAGGGAGTAATCCCCGAGCTCTGGAAGGTCATTGGCACTGAGCTGTGTGCAAATAACCAACAGCATGAAATATCAATGTGAAGAATCTGACATGCTTCATTGGCGTACATTTGGTGCTTTCATTTTTTGGCAATGGACTTTAATAGTCCACAAAAGTACACGGTTACAGGAGTACATATTTCAAAAATAATGTTTTTATTCTCAACACATTTGCTGATGGAAAGGGACTCAATACTTTGAGTGCTCAGCAGCTGCCGGTTTGTTCCTGGGTTGTCACATCCATCTGATCTTTCAAATAGCCCTGGGAATTAGGGGTCCTTGTTAAACGCTTTCCTTTCTCTCCAAAGCACGCAGGCTGGAGGGGTTAAGTAATTGCTTCGGGGTCAGAATCCCAAGCCTGGCCGCACAGAGTGAAGCAAATTGAGATTCTGAATGAAGGTGGAAAGAAAGGTGCCCCTGATTTGGTTGGGCTTCTCAAACTTAGACCTGAGTAAGGACCCCAAGAGTAGGGGGTCCTGGAAAATGCACCTTTCCATTCGGGAGATCTGACCTCCACGGGGACAGCGTGTTTGTGACTAGCTCCAGGGGTGGTGAAGACCAGGAGAGAGGTCGTCATAGAAGGGATCAGCGCTCCCAGCTGGAACCCGGGTGTCCACAAGCGAAAGAAATGACCCTTGGGATTGGGACTGCGCCTAGTACTGGCCCCATGAAGCGATAGCCCTTCCTGGTGTAGAACGATTCCGAAGGAAGAAAACCTCGGCGTCCGCGGGCGCCTGCAGCAGCGGCAGCAGCAGCCCCCGGGCCGCCCGCGCGCGCCGTGGCCCCGCCCCGGGGCGTGGCCTGCTCGGAGCCCCGCCCCCTCCCGCTGACCCGGCCTCTCTCCGCGCTCCCCGCCGCCCGGCGCGCAGGGCCCGGCCGCCGCCATGTCGGGCCCGTTCGAGCTCTCGGTGCAGGACCTCAACGACCTGCTGTCGGACGGCAGCGGCTGCTACAGCCTGCCGAGCCAGCCCTGCAACGAGGTCAGCCCCCGGATCTACGTGGGCAACGCGTGAGTCGCCCCCTCCCCCTTGACGGGCCCTCGGGGCGCCCCGTCCCCCCGCCAGCTGGGGTGGGGGACATCGGGAGCCGGGGGTGGGGTGGGCAGCGAGGTCTGCGCGAGGCCGGAGTCCTGGAGGCCTCGCCCACCCCGCGCGCGGTCTCCGCCCGGGGGCGGGCGCGCGGCAAGGTCGGCCCTGCGCTTCCCCGGGAGCGCGGGGCCCGCCGGGGCGCGCCCAGCATCCGTCCCGAAGCCGTCCCCCAACTCGGGGTCCTGGGGCAGGGGTCGGGGCAGCCCAGCTCGCTGAACAGGTGGCTACTGGGCTCCGTGGGATCATGTGACAGCGGCCCGGCTCCGCAGTGAGGTCATCTCGCAATGGCGCCTCCGTTGTCACGGCAACGGGCTGACGTCACAGCCTAGGCGCGCGCGTGGGGGGGGGAACCGTGCGAGGGTCGCGCAGGCGCAGAACCTGTAGGGACCCTAAATAAAGGTCCAGCGGGCTGCACCTGACTCTGGCTCTCCAGCGTCTAGATGGGGTTAGATTTTCATGGGATTCGGAACGAGCCAGAGATGAACATCGTCAGATCCCGAGGTGTCACTCAGGAAAGGCCCCTCACCTGCACATGTCCAGGAAAAGCGTTGTTTATTCATCCCTTCTGAACTGACTGATTTCCCCCATTTGTTACATTAATAACAGATTTCTCTGCAGCAGGAGAGAACCTGTGTTAACCATGGGAGAGATGGCGGAAGCACTGGCTACAAGCAGGTGTTTGCCCTGGTAGGGTCAGGGAGCCCTTGGCTTGGATTTTCCTGAGCTCCCAGTTACCAACACTAAGCTTCATGGGCCCAAAGACCCCCCCCCTTCTTTTATTGTACAGAGGAGACATATTAGAGACAGGGTCAATGTCTGGACCCCCCACCCTGGGCTAGGTTCACGCCTGGACCCCCCCCCCCCCCACCCTGGGTTAGGACCTGCTGTGTCCCTTGCAGAGAACTCCCACAAGTTGGGGGGCTGCACAAAACTGGCAGGGGTCTGTAAGGCACGCTCCCAGCCCCCTGGGCACAGACTGCCTCCTCCAGGCCACTGAGCTCTGCATTCGAGAGATGCTGGCCGATGCTGCTGTTGACTGTCAGTGCGAGAGGAAGAAATTCCTGGGAAAGTTAGTCAAGGTCTTCAGCAGCTTCTGCTCCACAGTCCTGCAGTGGCATGAGCAGAGACCCACAGTCCATAACTGCCTGAGGGTCTGGCTCGCTCCCTCTCCGGCACCATGGGAGTGAGTGGCTTAGCACATGCCCAAGCCCTGTCTTGGGCATTTGCACAGCTGTCCCTGCTTCCCAAGGGCAAACCAGCTTTGGCAATGGCGGAAGCTAGAGAGGCAGGTGCTGTGACAGATGTGGCCTGAAGCAGTCTGACCTTGACTTGGTCCTGGGTGTGTGTGTGTGGTGATAGTGTGGGGAGATGGAGGGTGTTCAGCATAGAAGATAGACTGATAGACTGAGCACCTAGTACCCCCTTTCCCCACAGGACCAGCTCTCCTCCACCCTAACTTCCCCTTTCTTTATACTGATGGGGTCACACACATTTCTGGTTGTGTTGCTTGTACGTTAGGTTGCAGTGCTCACATGCTTGCTACCATGCCGTGTGTGCGCTCTCTCTCTCTCTCTCTCTCTCTCTCTCTCTCTCTCTCTCTCTCTCTCTCTCACACACACACACACACACACACACCCTGCTTCAGTGTATCAGAGACTGCCCTCACTGTTGTAGTGTTGTAGTTCCCAGGACAGTAGATCTGATGGGACCATGATGAGCACATGTGGGTGGCACCAGGAATCGAACTTGCAGCCTTCCACTGGTAAGGCCCTTTTTGCTTTCGCGCCAGCCGTAGGCTCACCGGGATCCCCTTAACAAAACCAGGGCTCCTAGAGCAGAGAGGAGGCTGTAGCAGCCACATTTTCTGGGTCTCAGGCTTTGCAGTGGGCGTGGGCACGCGAGGCAGAGTGAGGAGGAAGCCGGCGCAGGGCACGGGCTCTGGAAAAAGGCAACCTCCTACCAGGCAGCTTCCCCAGCCCACACGAGAACTTCCTCCTGCCAGGCTTTTAGCAGTGTGGGCTCCATCCTTCCTCCATCACGGGCACAGGGCTTCACGTACGAAGGCGCGTGGTCAAGTGGAAACTGCAATTTGAATTGGGATGTTGTTGGGAGACAAAATAAAGGCGGCCTTTGACTATTCAGAGTGTTTTATAATCTCATCCTCTATAGCTGCCTCTTACTTGCTCCCCAAATGCTAACTTACTCCAGCAAGCTTCCCAATATGTGCCAGTGGGCTGTGGCAAGAAGAGTTTCCCTGGGGTGGGGGTGGGGAGGAGAGGGCTGTGGGCTTTTTCATCCAGGGACCGAGGCTGCCTGAAGGCATCAGTCTCGCTGTGTGCCTGGTCCTCTGGCAGAAGCCACCCTGCCCTCTAGGGTCTTTACCAGCAGTACTCTGGGTCTCACTCGTTGAACCCGTTAGCCCCAGGGGGAGCACATGCAGTTTCTTCAGTCAAATCAAACTCCAGGAGCCCATTTTAAGAAGGGGAAACTGAGTTACAAAAAGGGGAAGTGAGGGCTGGAGCAATAGCACAGCGGGTAGGGCATCTGCCTTGCACGCGGCCGACCTGGGTTCGATTACCAGCATCCCATATGGTCCCCTGAGCACCGCCAGGGATAATTCCTGAGTGCAGAGCCAGGAGTAATCCCTGCGCATCGCCAGGTGTGACCCAAAAAGCAAAAAAAAAAAAAGGGGGGGAAGTGAATTGCTTCAGGTGACCGGCTGGGCTGGTTCAGAGTAGAAAGGGAGGTACTGGACTATTCTCCCACTATCTGGTAGGGAGTTTGAGGAAGATGGAGAAGGGCATTCTAGGCCGAGGGGACCAGCATGTCACATGGGTGGACGTTAGGGATTGAGGGAGAGGGAAGGACCATCAGGTGAGGCTGGAGAAGCAGGTGGTGGGCGTGGAGGGGGGCAGTCAGAGCCCGGAGGCTCCCTTCTCCACCAAGAGACTTAACCTCTCCCCTCTCCCCCAGGCTGCCCCTCAAGCAGCTAATTGTCCCCTGCTCACTGTCCCCTGTCTAGGTCTGTGGCTCAAGACATCCCCAGGCTGCAGAAGCTGGGCATCACTCACGTCTTGAATGCCGCTGAGGGCAGGTCCTTCATGCATGTCAATACCAGTGCCAGCTTCTACAAGGACTCAGGCATCACCTACCTGGGCATCAAGGCCAACGACACACAAGACTTCAATCTCAGCGCCTTCTTCGAAAAGGCCGCAGACTTTATCGACCAGGCCCTGGCTCAGAAGAATGGTAAGGGCCTGGGGAGAAGGGCGGGGGGCAGCACCCCAGGCTATTCTGAGAACCTGGACCATAAGGGCCTCTGGCAGACCTGCACTGTCCACTATGGGAGTGACAGAGCCTGGGTCTCAGCCCCCCCGGCTGTTTGGGGAGAAGCCACTTATGTAAGCACTCTAGGGGGGCGGGCCTAGTACTTCACTAGACTTTCACTGAGAATCTGTTCCCCACTTCCAGATGGCTTCAGTCATGCAGGTTTATTCTTTCCTATCATTTGTGGGTACTGGTGTTTGCCTCTCTCTCTGCTACCCCCAGTCTTGGGCTCTGCCCTCAGGGTGCCAAGGTGGCTGCAGCAGATCCGGCCCCCACATCCCAGCAGGACCAAAGGCAGTGTGAGATGGAATGGCCACCTGCTCCTCATTTCTTTTTTTAAGTGCACACCCAACCTTCCCCAGAAATCCCCAGTGGCGTTCCCCTCCATCTCTCATTGGCTGGACTTTGGTTCCACAGACACTTGGTGGGGGGGGGGGAGGGCTGGGGGGAGTGGGCAGCTGCCTGCCTTGACTAGCATTGGCAAACCCGGGTTTATGCCTGTTGCTTCCTGAAGCTCCTAACCCTAAGGCAAGAGACCGAAGCCGACCTGGTGTTGGAGAGAAATCCTAGAAGGTCAGGGGACAGCGCCAGCCACTTGCCCTTTCTGCGTTTAGCCTGTGTTTCCTTTGCGACTCCCTTGGCCACCAGGGAGCCTGTACAGCCTTGCCCCGCCAACTCGGGCTATACCTGCTGGGGCATGGCTGCAGCTGTTGCCTGGCTGGCACAGCTTTTAGGAACGGGGTTCTCAGTACTGCCTGGGAGGTGTTGGGGGCCGGGGAGGAAAGTTGAAGGGCCCAGGAACCCACAGGCTGCCCTCGCAGGTGGCCCGGAGCTGCTGTGTGTGGGAGGACAGGGCAGGGCATGGGGTGTGTCCTTCCCACACCTCGGGCCTTCATCCCCTCAGCAGTCCCGGGGCTCTTGGACTCCACCTGCTGCCTCCATGACCTTGTCGGCCTTAGCCCTGGTGGGCCGGCTCGTGGGTCCGGAGAGTGAGAATCCGATGCTCTGGCAGACGCCACCTCGAGTGTTTGTGCCAGGCACGGTGGCCTCATTTTCACCAGGGTGGGCTGGGGGCCTGCCACATCCTTGTTTGTCTCCCGATGCCCGCCATGGCCTCGGGTAGCCAGCTGGCCTGCTGCCAAGGACGAGTGAGGGACAGAAATGCATTCTGTGGGCTCCAGGGCCAAGAGGAGGCGCCCCTCACGCTGACTGGCCGGCTGGTGGCCTCTGCAGAGTGTGAACTCAGGGGCAGGGAGCGGGGGCCCTTGGGGGAGCGGCAGGCCCTTCCACTGGGGGGAGGGGTTCCTGTGGTGGAGCCTGGGAGCCCAGCCCCAGGCAGGGCTGACACACAGCGAGCACGGCCACCGACCAGGCCCAGAGGAAGATCAGAATACGATGCCGGTGATTTCATTTCAGACTCCGATCAGGGAGTCTGAGGCGGGCACCAGGCCTTCTGGGGCGGAGGGTACCCCCATCCTAGGCTGGCAGCGGCTTGCATTTTGGCTCCTCAGAGCCTTGCTTCCACAGTGCAGTGAGGGTGCAGGTGGGGGGAGGGCCCCAGCTCACTGGGGGCCCCTGTGCCTTACAGGCCGAGTGCTTGTCCACTGCCGTGAAGGGTATAGCCGCTCCCCCACGTTGGTCATCGCATACCTCATGATGCGCCAGAAGATGGACGTCAAGTCTGCCCTGAGCATCGTCCGGCAGAACCGGGAGATCGGCCCCAACGACGGCTTCCTGGCCCAGCTCTGCCAGCTCAACGACAGACTCGCCAAGGAGGGGAAGGTCAAACTCTAGGCCCCCCACAACTGCCTCTTCTTGGGGGGGCCCGCGGGGGGGAGGGGGGCCCACACCGCCACGTTTAGGAAACACTCACTGTCCCCACTTCTAGCCTCACTGGGCACTTGCCACAGGCCTTTCCAACACCGCCCTGGGCCACAGTCCCCCGGACGGAGCATATCCGGAAGCCGGCCGAGGTGGGCACGCTGGCTTCCCGTTGTGCTGTCGCTCCCAGGCCCCCCCTCTCCGCCCAGATGGGAGGCCTGTGGGCTGGTCAGGCCCAGGATGCTCACACCACCCCCCTCCCCCTCTCTCACAGCTGCCCGGCACCCACTTCTCCCGGCGGGGACCACGGCTCCTGTGCTCAGGGCTTACTGCAGGAACTATGCAAATGTCGGCTCGGGCACGCCCCACTGCATCTGTCTCCTCGACAGCACCCATGGGCAGAGGGGGCAGAGGGGACCGTGAGGGCTGCCCTGGGGTAGCGTCAGCTGTGTGGAGGTTCCAACAGGAACCCCCCTTGTCAAGGTTTCCTTAGGGTTAGAGACCCCAGCGCTAGCCATTTCCCCCGGGGGACCCACAGTTGGGGAGCGTGTGCCTTGGAGGGCTCGCCCACCGAAGCCCACGGGGGTCCCACCCTCGGGTTGCACTCAGTCACGTGGTGTGTCTGCAGGGCAGTGCCTGGGCCATGGTTTTTTTTTTTTTCTTCTCTGTTTTAGAAAACAGGGTGTTGAAGTTCGGCCTATTTAAAAACCCACCGTTTGGAGAACAACCAGGGTTTCGTCCTGAATTACAGTGTTGAATTGTTTTACTGTGAGCGCGGCCCCGCTGCTGGCCGCTCTCTGCCTCCCTTGCTATTCCTAGACAGCGGCAGCCTGTACGTGCTTGGGGCTGGGTTGGCCCCTGGGCACGGCCCCACCTGGGAAATTCCCCCTCAGCAGCTTTTGCACATAAGCTGGGAGGTGCTGGCACTCACGCACAGGCCTCGCATACTGGCCAGAAAGCAGCAGGCTTGGGTCCGATAGGCTTGGGGGGCTTCAGGGTCTGACGAGGGGATGCGGGGCTGCTGCTCTAGGCTCCCAGTGTCAGCCAGGAGGTGCTCCCCATGCCATCGCCTCGCGCACACACACACCCTCCTCCCCTCCCCTGCCCTCCCCTCCTCTCATTCTCTCCTCTTCCCCTCCTGTCTCTCTTTCCATTCCCCTTTCCTGTCCCCCTCCCCTCCACCCCTCCTCTTTCTCCCTAGTCCTCTACCCTGCCTCCTCCTCCCTCCTCCTCCTCTTTCATTCCTCCTCTTCCTCCTCCTGCTCCTCCTGTTCTTCCTCCTCCACCACCTCCTCCACACCCTTTAGCGTCAGAGCCTTGTTCTGGTGGGTGCCTTTAGCACCTAGAACCCTAAACTCATGGCTGGGTTCATTTGCAGGGAGTTGCCAAGTGAGTCACTTGGCACATATCAGGGATGTCGTGGCTCGCTAAGACACGCTTTAAATTGCACTCCAGGACGCACTCACCAGTCGGCCGAGGCAGGAAAGTGCCTTTTCCCGAGTGGGCAGGATGAGGAGCCGCCGTGGGGGCGGGGGGGGGGTGGTGGTGGCAGGAGCAGCACTCTGCAGCCTGGACAGCGCCTTTCCCGGGGACACAGCAGCGAAGACTGAGCAAGCAAGGGCCCTGGCTGCTCCTTTGGAACCGGTGGCCCAGGTGGCCATGTCAGTGAGACAGCCATCCTCAGACCTGAGCACCTGGGATATGCCAGAGCAATAGTGCAGGGGAGGGGCACTTGTCTTGCACAAGTGGGTTTGATCCCCGGCACCCCACATGGTTCCCTGAGTCCTGCCAGGAATGATCCCTGAGCACAGAGCCAGGAGGAAGCCTTGAACACAGCTGGGTGTGGCCCAAAAACCAAAAAAGAAAAACAAGAAAACTGAGCACCTCACTGATAATGGCTGATAATACTCCCATTAATCAAACTCCCATTAATCATGTATTGACACTTTTTTTTTTATGGGACTGGAGAGAGCACAGGGTAAGGCTGCACCCCTGGCTCGAAGCCCCTGCACCACGTATGTTCTCCTGTGCTCCACCAGGGATGCTTAGAGCTAGGAACAGCCCCTGAGCACAGATGGGTGTGGCCCAGTACTCTCCCCTCTCCCAGAACACCCCCTCAAAAACCAAAAAATGGAACTGTGGGTTGGCGAGATGGCTCAGCGAGCAGCTGGGGTGCTGGCTTTGGTGAAGGCCCAAGTTTAATATCCGGCACTTTATGGTTCTCCAAGCGCCCCAGGGGGACACTCAAGCCCAAAGCTGGAAATAACTCCGGAGCTGCTCTGGGTGTGGCCCCCAAATAAACACAAAGGAACTGGCTTTCCGAGGGTCAGAGTGAGCAAAGGTCAGCTGGCTCCGAGGCACTCCGGAAGCAATATTTCAGGGCTGCCCATTCCTGAGTTCCTGAGTGGACTTCTTTCCCTTATTCTGCTGCTCAGGAATGTCCCACGCTCACGCCCCTGACCGTGAGCTCTGTGGTGTGTGGGGAGAGAGTTAGCACAAACCCATCCCTGTCCCGGAAGTGAAGCATGCGGTTAAGAGCCCACTGGGTTCTGGCCTCTGGGTCTTTTCTCTGGGCACACAGGGCACCCTGAAATGGGTGCTGGGGACACAGCTTCTGGACGTCCCTCTGGAGCTGGACTCCCCTTCTGGGCCTGAGTGTGGTCACCCCACAGTGTGGCCAGAGCGTGATGGGCCCACAGTGCAGGTTGGGGTCAATTAACCAGGCTGTACTGGGGGGAGGAGGGAAGAAAGGCTACCAAGAATTAATGCCTACTTTGGGGTAACTTTCATACTCATGTCTAGGGATTTCTTGATAGTCTTTCATCTCAAAATCCCCAGCATTCCATGAGGTTTTGCTCCTACATCCTTTTTTTTTTTTTTCGGGGGGGGGGCTGTCAAAATCAAATTCAATTATGTAGGAGTCCATGGAGGTGGAAGCTGTTTGCACACCGCTTTCTTCCCCTGGGAAATGGTGGGATAGGAACTCAGGGTGCCCTTCCCCCGACCTTTGATTAGCAGAATCCCCACCTGAAGCCCCCCAAGACAGAATGAGAGCGCGTCATGTGGTGGTCTGGTGGTCTGCTACATTCTGAAGTGGGAGTCCACCTTTCACAGGCCTGATTCTCTCCCGGAGTTATCTTGAGAGAAGAAACCATCCACCACACCCGGGGACCTGGAGGCAGACCTTTTGGCTCTGACATCTGTGGGGTCTCTGAATTCCCCCACTGGGGATTGAATGCCACCTGGAATTTTCAGGGGGGAGCGTGTAGTAAGATGATGACCAGCAGGTGGCGCTGCCTCCCGTGGGAATGGATGCTTGGAAAAGGACCGGTGCCTTCTGCGTCTGGAGCTCAGGCCTGGATGGAAAAGTTTCAGTGAAAACCCTTAGAATATGAACTGTTCTGGTGGGGAGCTCTCTGTCATCCAACACAGTCCTCGGTGAAGAGCTGACCATGATGATGACCCAAGTCAAGATTTTTATCCAGTTAAAAATAGGCTGAGAAAGCTGATGGGTTGGAAGCTTAATTTACCACTTGGCAACTTTTCCGGTGACGCGCCTACAAAGTATAAATTTTCTGGACAGTAAAGGCCAGAGGGATCCAGGTTTTAAAATTAAGATAACATGTCTCAAATCAGTGTTACAATATTAAAACTGTAACCAAAATAAATGTCTTACAGGAAAATAAAGTGGTCTTTTTCTGGGTCCTCATCACGGTTGATTTCCCCTTGTACTTTTTGATCTAGCTTTTATGTTTGTATTTTTAACAACCCCCCCCCTCTTTTTTTTTAAATAAAAGGCCTTCCTAGCCATTCTCTGGGGTACACTCCCCGAATCCTCAGCACTTCTCTTGGCCCTCAGAAGCTGCTGAATGGCCAAGTGGGGACTTCCCACCTGTGCTGGACCCGGAAGGACTCTGAAAGCTTCATGGACTCAAGGGGTCAATTGTGCCACCCTTGCTGCTGGGGACAGGATAGCGATGAGCAGCAGAAGCAAAGGCAATTTGAGAACACAGCCAAGAAGTCTGGTCCCCAGGGGTCAGGTGAGCAGAACTTACTCCCTTGGTTCTGCATGTCCATCCAAGTTCATGTTCCCAGGAGGATCCCAGGTCTCCACCGCCCTCTCCTCTCACCCGGCTCCCCGTACAGACTATTCCTTCTTCTCCAGGTCCATAACACTTTGTCCTCCAAAGTGCCTTGGACCCTTTTCTTGGTGGCACCAGTTGCCGCCTCCCTGGTGGAATGGTCGATGAAGAGGTTTCTCTGAGCTGCCGGGTGCCGCTGCTCAGCTCTTGGCAGCAGGCCTGGCTGCATTCAGCCTTTGGCAAGTGGACATAGGGACAGGCAGTTAGGAACAAAACCCCAAGTCGTCAGAGCAGCCCAGGCCTGCCAGCAACCCGGGCCTGGCTTGGACGACACACACTGGGGGTGGGGATAGAGAGACAGGATAGGGGCAGGGGCTCGCCTGCCAGTGTCTGACCCTGGCTCTATCCACAGCACCACATGGCCTCCCCAGCACTAGCATCCTCAGGCCCGACTAGTCACCTAGTCAGCTCAGTTGGCAGGAACCACCTGGAGTAGCCCTAAAGCCCCCAAGCACTGTGTGGGAGGCAGGATGCCCCAAAACTAAAGAAAAAGCATCAGGTTAGATGATACAGTGGTTACCCAGCTTGGGTCTAACCCCAGCACCACATGGACCCCACGCCCTGCCAGGTGTACTCCAGAGGCCCTGAGCATCGTCAGGGTGGTCCGGGTACCCCCCGGACTGTCCCTCAATAGTACCTTATCCTCAGTCCCTTGCATTGAATCTGAACCGATGGGCCGAGAATTGCCAATGGGGTCCCTGGACAAGCTTTGCTTGGGAGGCCACCCCACAAAGTCAGCAACCCAGGCCAGAGTGATAGTCCAGTGGGCTGGGTGCCTGCACGCAGTCAAACTGGGTTTGATCCCTGGCATCCTATACGGTCCCCCCGAGCATCCCCAGGAATGATTCCTGAGCACAGGGCCAGGAGTAATCCCTAAGCATCGCCGGGTGTGGCTCAAAAACACCAATCGAAGGTGGCCTGAACTTTACGTTGTCATCCTTATGAGGCACATCCCAACAGGATGGTGTCCTCCAGAATGCACTGACCCCCTCATCCTCTCAATGGCACCTTAGTTGGGAGTTGGGCTGTGGGGGGCTGCATGCCTGAGAAGATAGATCACTGGGGTGGGCGCTGACCAGGCGGCGCCTTATATAAAGGAGGTGTCCTCATATAAAGGAGGTCTTGGGACACGATACGGACGTGCACAAGGAGAGCAGTATGTGGAGAGGACGGCAGAGTTGGCCTCTGTGAGCCAAGGAATGCGAGAAAAGGCCCGCCAGCCAGAAGCTGGGCAGAGGAGAGAACAGATCCTTCCAGCCCTCAGGCCTCAGCCCGCCCCCAACACACACTTTGATCTTGAAGCTTCCAGAACATACAGGCAGTGAAATATGAGTTCTGGGGGGGGGGGTCTCCCCAGCAGTGCTGAGGCCACCAGGACTATACCCAACCGTGCTAGGGAGGCCACAAAGTCATAGGAATCGAGCCTATGTTTCCCCGTGTGGGCCAGGCATGCACACCATCTCCCAGGAACCGGGATGCATTCCTGAGGTGGAACCCCCACAACCGCTTCTGTGCTGCTGTGAGACCCAGGGCCTGGCTGAGGTTCCTGGACAACCTGCATTGTTCCTGGGAAACAGTTCGCCCTTAGAACCAGCACTCACTTTTGGAAATAGCCGTCAGTTAAATTTTTTATTTTGGTGGTGGTGGCGGGGGGCACACCCAGGAGTGCTCAGGGCTCACTCCTAGCTCTGCATTCAGGGATCACTCCTGGCAGGGCTCTAGGGACCATAGGGGGTGCCATTGATTGTACTCAGGTTGGCTGTGTGCAAGGCAAGTGCCCTAACCCCTGTACTATTCCTCCATGCTAAACCAAAAGACCTTGATGAGGGCCTGGGGAGGTGGTTCAAAGGGCTGGAGCACATGTTTTTGCATGCACTCGAGTGCCCCGGTTTCCTCCCTGGCACCAGGGCACTGTATGGTTCCTCCACACAATGAAGTAGCCCCAAGCACTGATGGGTGTGGTCCATGAACAAGAATAATCCATTTCTTCTTGAAATAAGACCCAGCAATAAAAGGGAACACATTGTTAAGGCAACAACTTGGACCAATCTCCAGGGAGCTTCGCAGAGTGAAGAGTCAGCCTTGAGAGGTTGTGGACTGATTGATTCCCTTTCCAGAGCACTTTCGAAATGACTCAATGATGGAAATGGAGAATAATTAAGGGAACTGTGGTGTCGGGGTGAAGTGAAGGGGCATGGGAAGAGGCGGGTCTGGTTCTTAAGGGCAAGGAGAGAGAACTTTGTGGTCGTAGAGTTGATCTGTATCTATACCCACGAGGATGGATACTCATACGGTATCCTCCACGTGTACAAATAAAGCCCAAGAAACTGGCATGAGCATGTGGGTTAGCTCATTGTGGATATAAATCTTGGGCTCAGGATGTCACTTGCTAGAGCACATGCTTCATATGTAGGAGGTTTGATTTTGATCCCTGGCGCACCCGCCCCCCCCCCCACACACACACATACATACTCCATAGCTGTGCTCAGGACTTCCTCATGATTCTGTGCTCAGGGATTGCTCCTGGAGGATTCAGGAGACCATATGTGGGCTGGAGCGATAGCACAGCGGTAGGGCGTTTGCCTTGCACGCAGCAAACCCGAGTTCGACTCCTCTGCCCCTCTCGGAGAGCCCAGCAAACTACCGAGAGTATCTCGCCCTCACGGCAAAGCCAGGCAAGCTACCCGTGACGTATTCGATATGCCAAACACAGTAACAACAAAGTCTCCAATGGAGACGTTACTGGGCCCGCTCGAGCAAATCGATGAACAACGGGAGGGCCTTTACCTTTACCTTTTTTATATGTGGTGCTGGGGATGGAGCCCAGGTTGGCTGTGGGCAAGGCAAGTCCCCTACCCCCTGTACTATTGCTTCAGGCCCTTTGGTCTCTGTATTGCAGTTTTACAAGATGCAAGCATTAGGAGGAGAAGTGAAGGAAACAGATTTTTCTGTATTTTTTATGTATTTAAGATTATTTTATGTGTTTAAGATAATTTTGGGGTTTTTTATTTTGTTTTTTTTTTGTTTTCTGCTTTTCAGGTCACACCCAGCGATGCTTAGGGGTTACTCCTGACTCTGCACTCAGGAATTACTCCTGGCAGTGCTCAGGGGACCATATGGGATGCAGGGATCGAACCCAGGTCAGCCGTGTGCAAGACAAATGCCCTACCTCCTGTACTATCACTCCAGTCCCAGATCATTTATTTTTTATATGTTTCAGACTATCTTTAACCTGTATAAGTTAATTGAGAACAACCTAAAATAAAAAGGTGAACTGGATAAATTATTTTTCTTGGGGTACTCTCAAGTGCTCAGAGGAGCCATGCAACGTGGGGGATCAAACCCATGCAAAACATGTGCTCTGGGGCTGGAGCGATAGTACAGCGGGTAGGGTGTTTGCCTTGCATGCGGTAGACCTGGGTTCAATTCCCAGCATCCGAGTACCGCCAGGAGTAATTCCTGAGTGCAGAGCCAGGAGTAACCCCTAAGCATCTCCAGATGTGACCCAAAAAAGCAAATAAATAAAACCAAAACCAAAACCAAAAACAAACAAGCATGTGTTCTGGTCCCTTGAACCATTCTCTCTGACAAATTTCTATGGACAGGGATGTTCATAGCATCATCCTGAGAGAAAAACATTGGAAATAACCAGATGAGCCTCTAGTAGAAGTTAGCTAAGACCCTAGGGAGGAAAATGCCAGGGAGAATTATTTAGTCCTGATCAATTACAAATCTGAACACTGTGTAAATATGTGAGATGAAGCGAGCAGTGAGTGAAGAGGATCTCTCAGCTACCTCGTGAGAATTTGATTCGATGGCAGAGAATCCTTCCAAGGGCTGGAGACCATTGAAAAGATTAAGTCCGCTGCATTCTTGGTGGTGGTGCTGGGGGTAGAACCCAGGGCTTGCCACATGCAAGACATGTGCTTTCCTACTACATACCCAGCTCAAGCTGCAGGATTCTTTGATTTCCCCCCTCTTTCAACATTCTTACTTCAGTTTTAAATAAAGAGAAAATAAATAGAAAACGCTCCGCTTTGCCCTCTAATCTCTGTCTTGCCGTCCTCATCCAGCAGGTGGCAGCAGAGTTCCACATTTGCTGCGAACGGGTCACTGGGTTCCAACCTCAACCTCATCAGCTCCAGGAACTCAGGCTTGGGCGGCTAGAAGTCAGCGGTGCGGCCAAGCGAGGGTTAACAACCCGCATTCCAGAGCAAAGCAAAAGGCAGTGGAGGGTCACAGACAAGGGGACAACACCCCCAGCCCTGGTGGCAGCGATAGGTTCCCCCCAACAATGGCCACAGCTGTTTTTGTCTGCCCCAAAGGAAACTGACTGAGGAAGTAGGGATCAGAGAGGCCCTTCCTGCAGGGGCCTCTGTCTGGCTTGTAAAACTGTCAGAGCGGCTGCATTCATGTGAGGAGTGATGGATGATGGAGAGAAGGAGGGACAGAGGCCGCAGATGGACACCCGCCTTGCAAGTCCAGGCAGGCGGCCCCGCAGGTGGGGCACGCTGATTCATTGCCCAGTGGAAATACCAAGGGGACCCAGGCCATGGCCCTCTGCCCGGCCTCCTTCCAGGGGCAGCTTCCTTGGCCCCTGCCCCCCCCCTCCAGTTTCTTCCTTGCACCTCAGGTGTGACTGGATACCCCCCCACTCCCAGAGCCCCGAAGCCTCTCTGGTAACCCCAGACCTTTTCCTGCTGTTTTAGCTGAGTGGAGCCCGTTGCCCGTGCTTCAGGGCTTGGGTTTTGTGGTTGCACCCATTTGGGTTTCCAGCGAGGATGCAAAGTGCTGACTGAAACCATAATGGGCTGCTGAGAGACCAGAAGCAAACAAAAAAGCCGGGGCTAAGAAAACGCTGCCTGGGCTTTTACAAAGAGAAAGGAGCCTGCGTTCTCCTCAGCCTGGTCCTGAGACATCTCCACTCCCCGTGCCCCAGCCTGCAAGGCACACTGAGTGTCCCGGCCAGGAAGAGCCTGTGACCCTGCACAGGCCCCCCAGGAATCATGGGCTGAGGCCAGGAGAAGGGCTGGCATGCCAGGAGTTTGGAGACTGTTTGCCTTGGAACCAGGGTCCTCAGTCTCCTTGCCCCAAGTGGACGCTGTCTGGAGGATGCCACAGAAGGGGCGGGGAGGGAAATGACTGGGTCAGGGGAGCCAACGCTGAGGTTCATGTAGGGGTCTAACATTAATTTTAGGGTTGCTGGGGGGGGGGCTGAGCACACTCCAGCACTGTTTCACTGCAGAGGTGACTCCTACCTGGTCACTCAAAGATTACTTCCGGCAGTACTCAAGGGACTTTCCAGGGCTGGGGATTAAACCCCGAGCTCCCGCATGCAAAGCCTGCTCTCTGGCTCCTTGAGCCTCCTGGACTCCAGGGAACCTCCTTTACAACGGTCCCTCTGCTGCTTGCCCATTGCACGGGGACTGGAATAGGCACTTCTGGGTCATCTGTTGCTGGGTGGCAAATGCACTTGAACGGAGAAACGGGATCGCGCTGAACTGCAGTTTCCTTTGTTGAGTTGGTCCCAGGTTTGTTTTGAGAAGGCTAGAAGGCCCGGGGGAGGCGGAGATTAAGAGCCCAGCACCCCCCACCCCCCCACCGTGCTATCTGCAAACCACAGCCGCCAGCACGTGGGAGGCGCTGGGGAACTGACTGGCCCCAGCTTGCCCCCTCTCTGGGTCACCTGGGAGCACCAGCCCCGATTTGGGATTTTTTGCTGTTTGAGCAGTGTTTGGGGGAGGGCTGCTCTGAGCACACCCCGTTCCCTCCCCCAGGGTGAGGGAAGCAAGCTCATTGGCTGGCATGAGGCAGAGGGGCCTTTAAAAAGGCCAACGTGTCCAGGCTGGGGACCGGAGCCTGTGTGACAGGAAGGCCCGTGGGTGCCCTCCTTCGTGGGCACCATGCAGCTCTCTCTCGCCCTGTGTCTCGTGTGCCTGCTGCTGCAAGCTGCCTTCCGCGGGGGCGTGGGACAGGGGTGGCAAGCCTTCAAGAATGATGCCACGGAAATCATCCCCGAGCTGGGCTTGTACCCCGAGCCCCCGCCAGAGCTGGAGAACAACAAGACCATGAACCGGGCAGAGAACGGGGGGAGGCCACCCCACCACCCCTTCGAGACCAAAGGTAGGGCTGGAGGAGCGAGGGTTTAGCAGGGCTCAGGGAGCGTCCGCTGGGGTGGGCAGTCAGACATTGCCAGCATGGAGGCAGGGAAGGGGTGCCAGCCGGCAGACTGCAGGAATCTGAGGTTGGAAGAGGCTGCGGGGAGTAAGGACACAGCCCTGGGGTGGGCACAGGGGCTCCAGGCCCTCCCAGGCACAGGGTACTTGCTCTGGCTGGAGCAGCTGTGAGCACCTGCTGGGTACTGGACACTCAGGTGGGCTGTGCTGTGCCCAGCAGCTGTTGGTGGGTCAAGAAACTGAGGCTCTGGGCCAGAGTGGTAACACAGCGGGGCGGGTGCTTGCCTGGCAGACAGCTGACCCGGGTTCAATCCTTGGCATCCCATATGGTCCTCTGAGCACTGCCAGGAGTGATTCTTGAGTGCAGAGCCAGGAGTAACCCCTGATCACCGTCAAGTGTGGCCTTACAACAAAAAAAGAAACTGAGGCTCTGAGATGAAGTGGCCTGTAAGAGGAAGAGTCGAGTTTGCAGCCAGTTTGCTCCATGGGCCTCAGAGCCCTGTGGGGGCTGGAAACAGGAGCAGGACCCCTCAACATTTAGAAAGGGGTGCCATACAGGCACCCCCTTGGCCCCCAGCTCCATCTTTTCCCAGGAGGAGCCCCGCTATAACTGCGCTTCCGATTGAGGTAGCGGCTGAGTCAGTCCAGGGCAGGGGGGGTGGGGGGGGCTGCTCTGTTGCAGGGGGGCGGTGGGAGGCTCTGATCCCCACATCTGCTTTGTCTCATTCTCGCGGGGGGTGGGCAGAGGGCTGAGTCACAGGTCCGTGGAGGGCACCCTGGATTCCCGGTCAGGTTTGTACAAGGTGGTGTCAGGGCCAGGTAGGGGACACAGCTGGCCCTACAGCTGGGAGGACTCTTAGAGAGGACCTCGCCACCCTCCAGCTATTGTCCACGTGGGATAGGGGGACACTGCCCAGGGCCACCCCAGAGAAGATGGAGGCACCTTGGACCTATAATAGAGGGGCAGGCACAGCCCTCTCTGCCTGCCCCCTGCCCCCTCCCCAGTCAGGGCCCCTCCCGCAATGATGCTTCAGGGGGGCCGAGTCCCTGGTGCGCTGCACTCCCAGAAACCACAGCCACCCACTCAAAGCAGAGCCAGTGTCTGCAGAGAGGGCCTGGCCAGCCACTATTCTAGAACACCCTGATGCCAGTCCCCCCCCCCGCCCCCGCCACAGGAGCAAGGGCGACCCAGCGGACCAATGGGGACCTCCCCATGTCTTGTTCTCGAGCCTTCCTGGGTCTGCTTCTGGCTGTCGTCCCAGGAGCTCTGGCATCCTCAGTGCCACATGTAAACTGTCCCCACAAGCCCACCGGGGTGGACAGGTGCTCCTTGAGCCATGTAAAAGCGCCCCTTTTTAAAAGAGATACGATGAGGGTGTCCCTGGGGAAGTAAGTTGGGCCTGGAGTGTCCATCTACATGACATGGAACAACTGATTTGCCTGGCACCTCGCCTGGTACACAGCAGGTGCTTAATCCGTGCTTGTTACCACTGATGCGCGGAACCTGCAGGTTTTATTTCTAACTGTTTTTGCTGAGGTGCTGAATTTACAATGCCGTTCATCACACTTTTCGTGGTGACACCACATCATTCCAACACAGCAACCATCTGCGGGTTTCAGCGGGAGGCGAGCCCCTCCCGGAAGGCAGGAGAAGGCCCCCTTGGGTGCTCGGCACATGGCTTCCACCCTGGAGGGGGCTTCAGGGGAGCGGAGATAGGAGACCCCCTTGCGGAACCTCAGAGCAGGTGCTGGGCTGTCTCTGGGCCTCAGTATGCTCAGTGACAAGGAGGGCTGGGACCTGGCACCTCTGATCCCTTTCAAGTCTAAAGACTTCTCACCCCTCCCCTCCCAACCCATCCCTCCAGCCACTGGCCCTGATTTATTACCCTCAATTAACCCCTATTCCTTTCTCCTGCCCCCATCCCTCCCAGGGGGGCCGGAAAAGGAATTTGGGAGAAGCCAGAGCCACACAGAAGATTGGCTAAGTCCCTAAGAGGGCCAGACAAGGACCCTGGGGCACAGAGGTGACAGGTGGATGAGGAAGTCCCTCGCTGCAAACCAAGGCTCTGAGATGCAATAGCCTGTAAGAGGAAGAGCCCTGTTGGGGCTGGAAACAGTACAGGGGTAAGGGGCTCTTCTAGCAGGTGGCCAACCGGGGTTCAATCCCCTGCACCCCGTGTGCTCCCCTGAGCACAGAATCAGTAGTAAGCCTTGAGCGCTGCCAGGTGTGAGCCCCCAGTCACCCCCAACCCCCAAAGACAATCCTTACCGTGCCAGGCTCTGCACTGGCCGTGCCGGACAGTCCTTTTGGCAGCTAGGCAGCACAGAGGGCTCGAGTAACATGTGCCACACAGGCGCGTCGGTCCCCGCGCACGCGGTCCGGGGTGGGGATGGGAGGTGGGGAGGAAGTGGCAGGAGCCCCGCTCACGTCCGCCCGCCTCTCTCCGCAGACGCGTCCGAGTACAGCTGCCGAGAGCTGCACTTCACCCGCTACGTGACGGATGGGCCGTGCCGCAGCGCCAAGCCGGTCACCGAGCTGGTGTGCTCCGGCCAGTGCGGGCCGGCGCGCCTGCTGCCCAACGCTATCGGCCGAGGCAAGTGGTGGCGGCCGAGCGGGCCCGACTTCCGCTGCATCCCCGACCGCTACCGCGCGCAGCGGGTGCAGCTGCTGTGTCCCGGCGGCGCCGCGCCCCGCGCGCGCAAGGTGCGCCTGGTGGCCTCGTGCAAGTGCAAGCGCCTCACCCGCTCCCACAACCAGTCGGAGCTCAAGGACTTCGGGGCCGACGCCGTGCGGCCGCACAGGGGCCGCAAGGCGCGGCCGCGCGCGCGGGGTGCCAAGGCCAACCGCGCCGAGCTGGACAACGCCTACTAGGACCGCGCCCGGCTCCCGGCCCGGCCCACGCGCGGTTGCAGCGTCTGTGTTTTTCTTTTCAAATGCATGCCACCACCACCCCCCGGGGCGAGGGGTCGAGACCTTCTGAGTTAAGCCCCGCCGATCCCAAGGGGCTGGCATAAAACAAACAAAAAAAACCTTAATAACCCTCTTCCCGCCCACTGAGGGGGTCCCCCAGGGCCGGGGAGAGGGCTGGGAGTCGCATGGACACGGAGCCACAAAGTCCTACCCCCCTGGGGCAGCCTCCCTTTGTGGGTCCCCGCATCAGACCCGCAGCATCAGACGAGGCAGCAAAGGAAGCATTTCCAGGGAGCGCTGGGGAGTGAGAAGCGTTGGGGACCGGTTAAGAAGGTTCCAGAAAATTCCATCCTTCAACAAGCTTGCTGCGACTTATTGGCGCAGAGAACGCAGAGCCGGGGTGTATGGAGAGGGTTTCTGGTCCTGGCTCTGCCACCGACTTGCTGGTACTGACTTTGGACTCTGCTCCCGTCTACACCTCAGTTTCCTCTTCGGAAAAACAGAAGTGGGGGTGGGAGTCGGAATCTACAGGAGGAGGAGAGAGAGGTAGAATCACTGCCCGGCCAGGGTCACTTCCAAAATGAGGTTCTGCTCCCCGCTCCCCCACCTAGGACATCCAAAGGCGGAAAAGGAGCAGGAGAAAAGAAAGGGGGGGGGGTGAAGAGGAAAGGCATTTATAGCCGCCAAAATGTTTCCCCACCTGTCCTTCCTCCATCTTCCATCCCTCCATTGCTAGCATCCCACCCAGCGGTGGAGAAGGAGGCCGGAAGTCATCCCCTCCCCTCCCCATCCCAAAGAGCAGCCCCATTCCTACCCATTGTCAAATCTCTGTCCTAGACCACAATAGGGTCTGCAGGCTTCCTTGGCCCCTTGCACACACCGACCTGGAAAGTCATGCATGGTGGCGTGACATGTCTTTTGGTCCCTTATGTTTCTGAGGACCACGGCGAGGCTGCAAAGTCAGGCGAGGCCTGACTGCAAAGCCAACTCACTACCTTCCAGACATCTCTTGGAGAATCATTTCCAGACACCTTTTTCTCTCTGTGTCATTTTTCATTGTCATTTTTTTTTTTTGGAAACCAGAAGCACATGCCCTAGTGAAACCTGCCAGGCGGCTATTGTTTTGTTGTGTTTTATTTTTATTTTTTTGCAATCCTTTGATGTGTGGGATTTGCTCACAGGAATGAAAGTAGTGGTTTCTAAAAAAAGGGTTAAGTTACATATTTATTTTCTCACTTAAGTTATTTATGCAAAAAGTTTTTCCTGTAGAGAAGGGCCACGTTCATTTTGCTTTGTGAAGTACCAATCTGTTCTGCCGAACCCAGAGGCGTTGTCAATAAAGACCGTGAATCATTCTGGCGAGGATGTGGTGTCGGGTGATTTTTCTCCATCACGCACTGTCTTCTCTGTCTGAGGTCACCAGGGCTTAAAGGTTGGAGCCTGGGAACTGCCCAATGGTTGCCCCTATGGCTTATGGTCTTCCTTGAAAGGTCAAGTTTGGGCTGGAGCAATGGCACAGCGGGTAGGGCATTTGCCTTGCATGCAGCTGACCTGGGTTCGATTCCCAGCATCCCATATGGTCCCCTGAGCACCGCCAGGAGTAATTCCTGAGTGCATGAGCCAGGAGTAACCCCTGTGCATCGCCGGTGTGACCCAAAAAGCAATAAATAAATAAATAAAGTCAAGTTTAAGTTCCTCAGCTGCCTTTGCACACCTGGACATCTTCCTACGGCAGATCAACGTGATCACCTCAGCCTCGTTTCTCCTTCTATAGCGCTTTCCCCAGACTGTTCTTTTCTTATCCCACCTCGGCTCAGAGTTCTTCCCTAGCTCCCCGTTATCTATAGTTCACGTCAGGCCCTTCCTGGCCCCTCGCTCCTGAGCTTCTGAGCTTCTCCATGGAGCACCTTCTGTCCTCATCCTGGGAACAGCCACTCCTGCTCTTTCTTTAGCATTCATGTTCCTTCTCACCTCTTTCTGAAACTTTCCAGAGATATTCTAAGCTTCCTGGCTCTAATGCTCTCAGAGGTCTCGGTCCCTACTTTGGCTCCTGACTTTGGGCCTCCCCTCGCATTGATTCAGGGATCACCGTGGGACAAAGCCAAGTTCCATTCAAGACCAGCTCACAGAGCTCAGCCCAGCCTTCTCCCCACCCCCTCTGGGAATTTGGTGGGGAGGGTGCCAGGGATTGATCCCAGTATCCAAGAGAAAGCCCGCATGCTCCCCGGGGGTTCCATCCCCAGCCCTTCAGCAGGAAATGTAAGATTTTGTCAATGTCTTGCTTTTCTCTCCAAGTTCTGTTCACCACAACTGCCGGTGGGGTTGCTGGCTACATGTGGGGTGCCAGCTGGCACTCAGGAGACAGAGACTGGATGCAACCAGGAGGAAAAACTAATTGCAAAGCTTTAAATCAGATCCAGTTAATCTTGAGGTAATTCAACCTCACCATCCACTGGAAGTTGAGGCCTGCCCCCATGAGTTTTCAGTTTAACTCTTTCTGGCCCGTCCTCAATCCATGAACCCCGAGACTAACAGATATCAGGGGGTGTTACTGCCTCCAGGCCCTATGAGGTCTCACTGAGGCCCACAGAGGGATTCCAGGCTGGGTGAGGAGCGTTTCTGGGACCGTGTGGCACAGTGAGTGGGGGGACACAGGCCCTAGACAGCCATCCTGACAATTCACTCATTTGGCAGAGATTTGGCACCTGTTGTTCTGTACAAAGTGTCCTGGGACCAGGGACAGAGGTGAGGGAAGTCTGCAGAGATGGGCTGAGAGGTTTGCCAGGGGAGAAGGGCACAGACAATGCCCGCAGATGGCCTGGCTCAGGGAAAGGCGCAGTGCCCACCCGGCTGCGATGGGCACGTGGCCTGTGTGCAGGCAAGTGAGACTCCATGATTCACCACTCCTCGGTGGGAAACGAGTCCGCCCAGGAAATGGGGATTTCAAAAGCTGCACACACGGCCCCACTGCACTGGGTCTGGGATGCAGAGAGACGGGAGAGACCAGGCCAGGCTGCATGCCTGTGTCATAGGGAGAAAACACAAAACAGAACAGGAGATTCAATGGCTGGCTTGGAGTTATTTACAGAAAGTTACATCAGAAATACTTTGCTGGGGTGGAGGGAGGGCAGGTTTAACTGCAGGAGACTGTGTTCTGGGGTACAATCAGACGGGGCTTGTAGTAATAGTCTAAAAAGCAGACTCAGAGGGACAGAAAAAAATGGGTCTCTGTCTCTCACATACTCCATGAAGTGCTCCCTATACTCCAGATATTCATCAGGCCCCCCCCTTTTTTTTCTTTTTGGGTCATACCCAGCGATGCTCAGGGGTTACTCCTGGCTCTGCACTCAGAAATTACTCCTGGCGGTGCTTGGGGGACCATATGGGATGCCAGAGATTGAACCCAGGTTGGCCGTGTGCAAGGCAAATACCCTCCCCACTGTACTACCACTCCGGACAGGCCCCTTTTATGATCAGGCTCACATATTGTCCTGAGAGCATCACCCGGAGTAATTCCTGAGCACCGAGTCAAGAGTCAGCACTGCGCACCATCGGGTATAGCCCCCAAAACTAACCCTTTTATTTAGTTTGTTTGGGCGGTACCCAGCAGTGCTTAGGGCTGACTCTTGGCTCTGTGCTCAGGAATCATTCCTTGGGGTGATAGTGCCAGGGATTTTACCCAGGTCAGCCACATGCAAGGCAAATGCCCTGCCTGCTGTACTGTCATTCCTGTCCCCTGAGCAGCCACCTTTACAGAGGAGGGAGGGGCAAGGAAACTCAAACCTACCCCTCGCCCTTGAGGCAGGATGGAACTGGGGTGGGATGGGACTGGGTGCCCACGTTCCTGTGACCAGCCTGTCCCTTGCCCTGAGGTTTCCAGCACTGCTCCCATCCCTCACTGCACCCTGCACCCTGCTCCTTCCGTCCACCAGCTGGCACAGGGACAGGCGCAGGCTCCACTGTGTGACGGCTCTCACCAAGAGCTGAGTTGCCTCTGGTAGCAAGAGGGGAAGGACAGGGGATGTGGCCCTTAGTTCATGTGCTCATGAGCCTGGTTTTCTCAGAGGTTGTACCCATGGACATCACTCTTACTCTCAAAAATTGTTTGGGCTGGGGCCAGAGATACAATACAGGGCTGAAGGCACTTGTCTTGCACACGACCATCCTCAATTTGATCCCCTGGCACCACATATTGTCCTGTGAGTATCACTCAGCGTGATTCCTGAGCACTGAGCCAAGAGTAAGCCCTGAGCACCACCAGGTATGGCCCCCAGACCTAAATTAGTAAATAAGAAGTTTGGACAATAAGCTCTATGCTGTTAAGGGATGCCACTTTCTGTGCAATGATGTGTCCTACTGCCCCATGTCTCATTGCCACTACTTCTGGCATCCCCATGTGTCTGGTGGAGGCTGGTCACCCTCAGACAAGTGTCACTGCCCCTGGCCATCCAGGCCAGTCCCAACCTCTTTGCTTGTACTTTCAGAGCATTGCTGCTGAGAGCTGACCCCAAAGCAAGCCCCCAGCCCTAGTGAACCCTGACTCAGCTCTGGGCATGCACACCGACCCCTTTAGTCTAATTAAGATTCTTCTCTTTGGAGCCCAGGTGGATAGACAGAGGGGGTGGAACATGGTGGCCGAGGGAGGGGAATACTGGATTTCTGGGGAAAGGAGCTGTTTGCCTCCAAGGTTAAGTTTATCATTTCACTGGGAGTGGAGTGGAGATGGCAGAGAGGTGATGTTACGGTATGTAAGATCCAGGCATGAAGGCTCCGGAAAGGAAAATGAAGCTGGTGAGCAGAGAGAGCCCCGGAGGAGAACAGACCAGGCCTCTGAGGAGGTGGCATTTGAATTGAGATCTAAATGCAACTGGGGGTTTGGTGGAGTGGGAGGGGGGGCTGCAACATGACTGGGGCTGCATGTATCAGGAGGGACACACAAGTGCCCTGCAGATATGTGGGGGTGCTGAAGGACACCACTAATTGCCTTGGATGTCTTTCAGGCGTCTTTGTGCCAAGACTAACCCCAGATCTGGAAGCCAGCGTGGTAATTATAATTATAGTGGGAAGGTGTGTGCGTGCATGTGTGTGTGTGCGTGCGTGCGTGCGTGCATTCGTGCGTGCATGCATTTGTGCATGCGTGTGTGTGTGTGTGAGTGTGTGCGTGTGTGTGTGTGTGTGTGTGAGTGTGTGCGTGTGTGTGTGTGTGTGTGTGTGTGTGTGTAAGAGGTTTCTCTGTATGCTTTCCTGTCTCTCCAGGTGTCGGATCAAGTAGCCCCAGAGGAGAATCATTTGCATGTTTAATGACTTGCAGACTGGTACCTTTAAAGTGCCTCACAGGTTGGTTAAGGTTGGCTGTGCGCACACACCTGGGCAGGTGATGTCTTTCTTCCAGAACACATCTACACTGTGGAATTCAGCGACAGTGGCCAAAGTCTGCACTTTCCCTCTGCTGACTGCCCGCAAAACGCAGCCTCCATAGCCACAGGATAGCTCAGCCCTGGAAAGCACATGTGTGCCGGCACCCCCTCCCCTCACCCCCAACACCTACCCTCGACAGGTAAGTCAACGTCAGTTATACGCAGGGTCAGACTGTGCAGGTGAGGCCCTGGGGCAGGG